TTATTAAAAAGTTTGGGGGCCTGTAACGAGAATTTCGCAAATTAAAAGCCGCTTCTGCTTTGACCGAAAGAAACTGAAAAATCCAGTCAAACTCGATATTTTTTAAGCAAACATTTAATACGAATTCCAAAAAAATACCTCTCGCTATAAAGTGACGCCTTGGACAATAAGTACGTCGACACCCGGTACAAAAATAAAAATAGTTTGCCACCAGACGTCGGCGAAGAGAAGGCCGTAACGCTAATTCAATTTTGTCCGCACTATCTTCCTCCGTTTCAAACGATTCCGGTAAATAAGTTACCGGATCCCTTTGGCGATGGTATATATGCAAAGTGAGTGGTGACACACGCCTAATTGTTCGGGGCAGCTGCCGGGGTTTCAACCCTATTCGATGTCACTCGAACAGAATATTCGCGACCGACAGAACAGCGCCCTTTTTATTCGTATCAAGTTACCCAGGGCCGCACTTAAAACGTAAAAGTGAGACGCAATTGTTATTGTTTACGAACGAATGCCGTTTTATTCTAATAATAACAAGAGCCTCTCTCAAATAATAAGAAATGAGGTTAGTAAAAATTACCGGAACGATTTCTTTAGTCACCGATTTGGGAGCAAAAACTAAAAAAAAAGTATGCTACACCTTTAGAAACTTCTCTGGGACTCGGAAATTAAACATGGTGTTTATCTAAGCATAATATACTACTAAATTAAAGAATAATTACCCTAGACAGAGAAATACTGTGAACAAAGTTAGAGTGATACGGTGTAAGAGGTTCGGCATTGGATAAAGCCAACGTGCTCGAATCACAAGGTGAAAAATCAAAAGTTTTCTATAATATCCATGCCGTATCTCAGGGAAGCATTAATTTTGTTATATTTATCAATACACGGTTAAAGAAACTTCCAGAGATATAATAATAAATTATGCAGATGACACGAATATCCTAACTCCTTAATTAAATTATTATATGGTTTCTGGATACCAAATTAATTCTTGACACAGACAAACCAAATGCCGTATTCTTCAGAACCAAACAGTCTAATACAGAATCAATGGGCAACCTCGGCGTAGACAATACGTCAGAAAATACAAAATATTTGGGCTTACATCGGAATCTGGCCTTTTCATACAACTCTATTCATAAATCAATCAATTAAATTGAATCTGCTATGGTATTAGGACGGTTGCTAGGTATATGAACAAATATATATTAACAGTATTAAATTTTGCTTTCGCTTTGGCAGTTTAGGCGCCATACATATTTGAATGCCTGCACAGAAATAAACATGTATTCCAATGACTAAATACAGCAAATTATAGTACACGATCGTAACATTACACCTATCCCTTGCATCGCTGGCAAATCACCCGAAAAAAAATATATGTGTGTAAAAAATAGGAATGCGTTTAAAAAGGAAATTAAAAAACTCTTAATTGAACTTGAGCCATATAGCTTAGACATCTATCTAAACATGTAAATAATCCTTATGTAACATTAAGAAGATAATGTAGTATTACGATTGTTCTGGCAATAAGTACCTACTGCGTGTCTTTGTCGTAATTTCACCTGTTAACAAGGGTAACAATTTTTGAAATAAAGAACTATCCTACTCTATTTATCTATGTAATATAAGCAATAAATAATTTTAAAATTTTTAATGAGAACAATCTTCATGTTTCTATAAGGAGAAAATGTCAACAATTCAACTGTATAAAAAATTCATACAACTTTAAAACCTTACTTAATCGGTGCTTTACGAAACTTTTCTTTATTATTTCAAGTCTTGTTTGCAAAATTTGCAAATGGCGAAATCTAGTATACTCATACTTAATCATACATGATTTATTTTACTATATAGAAAAATTAAGAGAATGAACAAAATGTCATGTTATCGCCAAACCACCAGATGGGCCTTATAAATATATTGAACGAACGAACGGATAACGAACATTCTGAAGCTTTTCTAACCATTTTCTGCTACGATTCAACTCTATTTGATATAATGGATGTTTTTTCTTTATGTATAGAACTTTAAGTTGGCATTACTGTTCAAGACGCTTGCAAATAGTGCAATTTTATTTCAAAAATAATGGTTCTGTGCGGAATACGTATCGCGCACTAAGTCTTTACGTTTACTCTTATTGATAACTCGCATCTCCAGAGACGTCGTACGGTGCGTACAGAAGAAGCTATTGCTGCTGTAGAGCGTAGCATTGAGGAAGATCCGAATGAGTCCATCCGCCATCGAGCACAGGAATTGGATCTGTGTCCATCCACTTTATGGAAGATTTTGGGGAAGGATCTTGGTTTACGTGCTTACAAAATCCAACTCGTGCAAGAATTGAAGCCAAACGATCATCAAGTAAGGCTTATTTTAAGGTGCTATTTCATTATTTTTCAATGCTTATATCGTAGATATTTTTTCTGTTTTATGTTTAATTGCTATTTTGGTACGAACGCGTTGACCCGCCGATATCCGATAATAATTTTACACGCCCTACCGACTTTACACCCAATAATTTTTAATCTGTTATATTTTTTATCGATCCCATGAATACACACACACATACGCACACACTTATTTGTTTACAATTCCCGTCCCCCTATCTGACAAAATAAACAAACGGGGCAATCACTGATATTGACTTACATATGTTCGTTCTGAAGATGGATAGATTTATCTTTTAATACCGAGACGGTTGTCCAAACAAATTCTCCGCGGGACAGGACAACGTTTCGACGCGAATACGCCGATAAAAACCGGGTGGTTCCGCTGCCTGTACACATACAGTTAATAGTTTGCCACGGTTGACAGTGGACCGTTCAGTTCCGAAACCATAATGTGTACGGATCGCTTTGTCGAGGGCCACCGATCAAATATTTGTAAAATTGTCAGGTCCGCGTGATAAATCACGTCCTGTATAATATTATTAAAATGCAATAAAAACGGGGTAACGTTCGTCGGGGCGTTATCTGCGACGTTGCTATACTGTAAGTCCGCGGAATCGGCTACTGAATTTATCGATTTTACCGGTAGATGTATAAAACGCTTCCGCTACATACGAAAAGAAAAAATGATTCGTAGCTCTGATCTGTAGAAACCACGTCCTGTAGCAAGCGCAGACCTCTATCGAACTCGTTATTATTCATTGCCGTTAGAACCCAGCGGGTTGCCGAATGAAGACATGGACGGACTCTTTACTGATGAAATGAATCACTTTTAATAGAGAAATAAAGAAAGAAAGAGAAGCGATTAATAATTCTCACATTGGTTACAAATATGGATTTGGAAGTGCTGGTTTACTAGCTAGCATTTCAATCAAAACGGACTACAGACTTTTATGAAGACATGAATGTTGACGTTTTTTATCTTATTCTTGCCGGGTGTGTTACCACCCCCGAAAATCCGAAAAAATACCCACGTCTTCTTGAAAAAAAATTATCACAATGCCTACAATTAACAAATAAAACTGTATTACAAATAACAGATTTTTTTAAATAATAATATTTATTACTCTCATTTTATTCTCACTTCTATACAACCCACAGTAGGTATGCAAAAATATTCGTAAACAATAAAAAGTTGAGAAAAAATAAAATAAAGCGATTTGTTTATTGGGAATTTTTCTATTTGAAAAACTGTAAAATATCAAAATACTGTCCATTCTTCAATTCAACATATCTGAGCAACAAGGGTAAATTTAAAAAGTGTAAAGTTACGGAAATTGTCATTTAACTCCTGGAGAGGCTGTTAGGGCAGTTTTTCTTGTTGAGGAGAACCGAAGCCACGTGACAAACTTGATAAACGTCCAACAACGTTTGCGTCTTAACGGCTATAAAACAGCTTCATGTTGCAAGCTGATCTCTGGGAGACGCGAAATGGTTACATTATCTTGGCAGGTTACAATTTTCTAGGGATGATATAAATCGGGGGCTCGAAGAATGATTCCAAAATCTGTTTATATGCCTCGGATGCATGGACCTGAAGAATGTCACCAGTGCAAATTTATCTAGAGGGACCGTTTTGTTGGAGGCTGGGAAAGCAAATTTTATAACGGACGCACAGAATTGCTCGCTGTACACGAAGGTATGTTAACCCCTAGTTGGTACATAAGAAAGATCGTTGAACCTCACGTAGTCCCTTATGGGCCTATATAAGCCCAATAGTTACCGAATACTTGCAGGAAGTTAACATTACTGGCATGAACTCGCCAGCAAGAAGCTCCGACTTAAATCCGATTGAGCAAGTCTGGGACTATTTGACATATCAGATTCAACAACATAAAAGACCATTTAGAACCACAGACCGAATTCAAAATATGTTTCTTCGAATATGAGAGGAAATGCCACATTGGTACATTTTTAGGCGTATGGAAGCAGTAATATGGCCTCGCGGAGAAAATGCAGGATATTAAACAGCTTACTTCGGCTTGATTTGGCTTATATGCTGCTGTTAAGACGTTAATTGAAAACTGGGCCGCTGGTAGACTGTACAACACACAGAAAAAAATTGGACCCCGACAACGTCGTCACCAAAAAAATTGAGAAATACGATACCTTCGGGGCTGTTAACTGTCACTAATAATTACTTGCTTGAAAAGAAATCATATTTCAAAGGCGGATCGGCATCTTCGTGAGGCAAAAAGTGTCAGACCCAAGTGACACCGGCCACGTTTTTAGGTCTACCAACACCATTTGGTGTCAATTGATTAACGTGCGGCCTGAAAAACGAAATTAAAATTTTTTTAAACTTTTTATAAATATTACGACGTTGTTAAGAAACGTAACTTGCTGAACGGGCTAGCACGTTATACACCCTTTACAAGGGAACCTCAAATAGCAAGAAAATTATTACAAAATCCAATGGCCAGCACCATCTATCGGAGAGTGACTTAATCACCTGCCTGTCCGTGGAATGATATAAAGAAAACTGCACCTTTGGGTTTCAGTGTTTGTCCAAAGATGTCGTGCCTATTAGAATATCATCCCGCAGCTAAATACTTTTGTTTTGTTGGTGTGATATTCTGTTGGTATCTTGGTCAGGTTTTGTTGATCGTAAGTGGCGTCTATAAAAAAATATATATATTAAGTTGTCCACCTACCGTTACCAATCCGAGAGGGAACGATGAAACGAAAAAGCAGCGCTAGAAAAAGTGGAAAATTGGATGATCCAAGCAACGGTGTTGCGCTTGAGCAAAATGATGACGCCGACGAGCCGCAGGACAAGAAAAGCAGGAAATCTGGCAAAGGAAAAAAAGCCAGAAACCAGGCAGACGGCACAAACAGTACGACTGAGACCAAAGAGGTACGCCGCTCTAGGTGGTTTTTGTTGTGTCTTAAATCTAATGTGAATTCATAGCTTCGAGGTGGTTATTGGTAGACTTTTTTTTTATTGATAGTGTAAACAGTTAAATAGGGGGAAAGGGTTTTTCGATCGCTGAACTGTTTAAAATGGGGTTGTAAAGTTTGTTTATTTTTTTATTTCCAATAGGAAGGCTCTCGAGACAATGCAGAAGCAGATCCATTGGCAGACTCAGATAATGATGCTGAGTATGAGGTAAGTTCCGCTTTAAAATATGGACCGGTGCTAATAACAGGGAAAAGCTATGAAATATTTATCAAATGTAATTAAAAATTTATATAGTGAATTTTCTATTCACCACTAGAAGGGGAATATGAAAAATCAGAGCCAGAGAAAATTGCAATGCTAGTTTTCCTTATTTCAGTTTTTTAAGCCCTACACACATCCATACATACAGAAAGACCAGTGTGGTAAACTTACTACTTTATTGAAATAATAAACGCAATAATTTTAAATTGAAACATGTGAAATCAGAATAATATGAAAATAGAAAGTAATTTTACCAATGGCCCTTTTATTTATTTATCCAAATTTTATTCAGTTTTCCCTTCGAAAATGTTTGGTTGCCCTCAAATGTCGCAGATAATTTAAAGTTTTTTAGCGCCGAATAATTATCAATATATGAACAATACCGTAACGCCACTGTGTTAAATCAGCCCCAAGTGATAGTTCCTTGCCTACGCCTCAATTAAAGGAGAGCGGCAAAATCGTCACATACCTTGAACCAACCATATGGATTCCTCTAGTTCGCTTCCCAAAAACCGAGTGAATTAATTATTTCGTAACAGTCTAAATTTAACAGTCTTCCTTATTTTTTTTGCAGCTTATTTTCTTCTTGTACTTCTCTTGGGTGACCTGATGGGGCAGCGTTTATCCTCGTACACAAGTTGGTATAATGTTGACTCTCCAACGCCAGACGTATATATACATTTTATCGATTTTTGAAGCTCCGAATATTAAGTTTTAGTGACGAAAAGCTTAAAGCTTTGAACATATTGAGAATAATAATTTTCCCATTTTTATAAAGTGCAGTTTGACAATCCATTTCTTAGCAACAAATTGAAAAACATCCATTTTAAACAACGAAGTTTGCCAACAACTGCCGGAAATTAACTATAAATCTAATTTTACACACTAAGACACTCTCGGGGCCCTTGAGAATTATCATATGTACAAGACTACTAAATTTTACAATTCCAAAATGATTCATAACTCACGCATTAAGAAACAGAGCAGAGAAGTCAGCAATTTTTAATTTCGGAAAGACGTATTTGTCACATTTTTTTCTCGCAGTGTTGGTTATTAGCATTATATTTACTCAATATGTTGGTAGTCAGGGAAAATTCATTCATTATTTTTTCAAATCTTTTAGAAGTCAATATTTTTAAAAGAATCCTTTGTTCCCCTAATTAAATTCTTGGATTTCACTTAAATCCTTCGTTGCGTTTGTAGGATTCTCAGATCTCTCTGATCAACTTTCATCACCAGGCATTGACATAATACATGCTCTGCCTTTTCATCACCCCAAGCACAAACATTAGCTCTTGCCTGAAGTGATTTTAATGCTTTTTTGCACAATGTTGGTGAGACTGGTACATGTAATCAGTACTAATATTCTCATTGGTCAAAGGTTGAAGCAATACTCAGCGATAAGACACTGAAAGGTGTGCATCACTATCTCATCCGATGGAAGGGGTACACAGAAGAAAGCGACACGTGGGAACCGGAGGACACCCTGGACTGCGCAGATCTCATAAAGGAATATAAAAACAAAAAGAACGATAAAACAAGCCTAAGGAAGACAGAGAAGAAGAAAAAAGAGAAGAAAGGCAAAGCGGCAGTTGAATTAGAGGAGGAGACTTGGGACGAAAACCAAGATTTTGAGGTAAATTACTGCGTTGGCGTTGAAAATTGTGTACATTAATTTATCCACGCAGGTCGATCGCATATTGGACGTCTATTTCCACAAGAACGGGAAGCGGGAATTCCTCGTTTCATGGAAGGGGTACCCCACGTCAGACAATACCTGGGAGCCTGAAGAGAACATGGACTGCAAGGATCTGATCAAAAAGTTCATGGACAAGGTGGAGCGGGCCAAAAAGGTTGACAACAAAGAGCTGAGAGTGCAGAGGAAACAGGTGCAGAGACTGGACTTCGCCATGCACCAAAGCGCCAGGCGACTCAGCAAACGGCACAGCGGAAAAGAGAGGTGAGGTTTCTTGTTGATTTTGTGGTGCTGGAATAAGGTCATTTGTGTTTAGCTGCTCACGATTTAGGAATGCAGCTCGTTCGTTGAACAAGACCTGTAATAATTAGGTGTTTGGCTTTTTAGGGTGCAGTACCATGACGCAGAATAAAGTCAAAGGCATCAAAAATTGGTACTAAGTATTTCATGCTGTACATAATTATAAGTGTTTTTCATTTAAAATTAAAGTTGATTTTTGTTATATATATATCTGGGCAGTATTTTCTTTATGCGTGGCGGTGTAAGACAGAGGACGCTGTTTTTTGCGACCACGCCAGATATCATTAAAGGGGACTATGTTCCGGTGTGCTTCCTTTATGAGGACCGCAATTGAAACGCTTACCTCGTTTTCCTAAATTTGAAAACGGCGTCTGGTTTGCATGCGGGTATTTAGTTATATTATCAATTAGTTATATAGATCTGAACTCCCCCGACGGAAAGCTATTTTTATTTATAAATTTTGTGCATCACACTCGTACTAGAAGTAGTTTCAGTACGAGAACAAAAAGTTTATTTCTATAAATTTAAGAAAGTTTCTTTTCTTCATATAAAAGTTAATGTAGATGGAAGTTTGTGTGTATTGAATAGTAATACAAGATTTTTAAAATACGATCTGTCGTTTTTTTTGCCTACAAAGACTTTTACAATATTTAATTGACCCTTAGGGACTGGCTTTCATTTTACTAGATTGAAGCCACACTGCAAAAATCTATCTGAATTTATCGTTTTAATAATGCTCCATCTCTAAAAAACGCCTGCTTTTAGATTACAATTTAAATACTGTAAAATGGATTTCATTGCCATTTCCCACAAGCCACACTTCACAAAACTGTTAACTGGTGCAAAAATAATGCTGAATTGTGGCTTAAGCAGGCAGAATGAATGAACTGCTCGAAGGTTGAAAGGTTGGTTTACAGCCAGCAGCGAATAGACTTCTAGCATCCTATAAACGAAATCAATTCTTTAGCAATTATTTGTGAATGTTTTATTTCAATTAATAACAGTATGGAAAAATTATCACTCATCACAAACAAACATATGCTATAGATACGAATCGGTACCGAACGGAAAAAGTTCCACCGACTGGGTCAAATCTTCGCCATCGCCCAGTTCTAAACTATCTGTTTCCCCAATGTCATTTTTTTTTCTACTACTTTTGGCATTTTCAACTTCCGAACTAGCAACGCTGTGTCGAGACATTTCTTCCGAGTTGTTACTAAACGCGTCTCCCTCTGGCGACCCGGAAGAGCTCGGCTCATCTAATAAATCCGGTTGCCTGAAACACGCCGCATCGCTTTGTTTCGATTCCAAACCGGAACCGTTGGGTTCCTGTTTACCAAATATACTCCTGGACTTGACTTTCTCCAGGTAACTGAAGGGCTCTTTCTTGATCTTTTGCTCTTTTTCTTCCAGGGAATTGTCAGTCATCCAATTATTAAACCTTTGTTGTATGATACTGGACCCCAGCTCTTCATACTCTTCTCTAGTCACGAGGAAGCTATTAAAATCTGCAGTTTTGAGCAATGCGTCACCACCTTGCCAACTGTATGTTACTGGATCATCTGGCTGATGGACATTAATCTGCCAAAGGTCCGGTAGCAATGAGCGCAGTTCGGCAAACATTCTTTCTTTGAAACCGGGAAAATTACAACTACCCCCTATTAATACTATGTTCCGTGCTAACTTTTCTTGGTGGTCTTTTGGGCAACTAAATATAGATTTCATGGCGGCTTCCGCCACTCCCATACTCTTCATACCAATATCGGACGGATGAAACAAAATTTCGGGTACCACAAAACGTTCATTGTTTAACCTCAATATTTGACAATTTTCATCTAGATTTTGACCCTCCTTCTCCACTTCTTGAATGAAACCCCTACGAATATTATTAAAATCAGGTAATACATAGTTCCGCATTATTCTATTATCATTAAATGGTTTTGATGCTTCCACCAATTCGTCTTTAATATCCATACACACATAACAAGTGTCCTCTTTCACTTGGTTAATAACATAAGTTTCTTCCATAACATTATACTGCCGATATGAAATAATATCCTTCAAATGGTTAGTTAAAAGTTTACCGCCAACATTCAGTCTTCTAATGCCCCTCAGATATTTATTACCATTTATGTATGGTATAATGTGAGTAAAACTGAATCCGGTATCCACTATAAGACATGACTCCTCCTTTCTTTTTCCTAACTCTTGAGTGTACCTTAGGCAAGCTAAATCCGTGGGATTTAGACGAAACAAGGACGCCACTTCATACTCTTCAAAAAAGATTTCATCTATGCAGTCCTGTATCGATTTGAAATTAAAAAGAGGCTGCGTTAAGACCACTGGATTGTCATTAATGGGGCACACGTTTCTACTAAACACATGATCCCAAATAGGCTTTTGAATTTCCCAACGGGTGACATAACCCCGCTCGCAAGGGAGTAGAAAATACAGGCCGGAACAATCTCTACATTCGTTAATTTGGCTGCCTATGAACAGTCGCTTCCGTTCCGACTTCGCTTTCATAATACAGTTCGGTACAATTACAGGTGTGTGATCTGTAGAATGACCTATTTTAATCGAATAGGCCCCGCTGTCTACTATAATAGCACTTAAATTGGCGATTTTAGGTTCTTTAGGTTGATCGGTGCTACCGCCACTACTGCGTCTTCTTTTGTATCTCTGAGTTTTATCAAAGTTTTTATTTGATTTAAGCTCCCAGTGCGACATTGTGGGTTAACAATAAAGGAACGTAGTGAAATTTCGTTAAAAAATAACCTCACCTAAAAGTAAACATAAACATTCAAAAAAAACAAAAAAAGTTCTATGCTACTTTGGCAACTACAAAAAATATACATTGGCATCACTGATTCAATATCAAACAAAATTAAAATTTTAGGCCATAGACAAATAGTCGTAGTAACACCAGCGCGATAAACATTTACATAAAACCCTCGACCTTTGAATTACTTCAAAACATTAATCGTACTTTCCGACCTATAGAAACGTAACTTTTCTCTACATTTATTACACTATCTCTCAAACTAAATCATGATCTTTAGCAAAAGTTCAAATGTATATCTCCCTTAGATGTGGTTATTAATAATTAATATATCTACATCTAGTTTAAACGTTTTAATATATCTAGGTTTAATAAGTAGTAACAGTAACACTTTCAGTCATTTTGCTTTTGATTATTAAAATGGGGTATAGATTTTTATGTCAAGCGGCAGTGCTGCCAAGACAAAAACCATGTAAAACATCTATTGTTTTTACGCTTAGTTTTGCCGAATAAATGCACGATAATGCATTAAAACAATAAAATTGTGATGATGTGCGAGTTCCAGAGGGATATTCTAGCACTAATAAGTTTAAAAACCAAAGAAGATATCCAGGAAACGGGTTGTTTGTTTACTAGAGTTTTCATAAGGTACGTAAAAGTCATCTGTCAAACATTTGCTAGGTTAGTTATTTAAATGAAAGGAACGTTGAAAATTTCGACGGAGAATTAAAATTATTTTCCGGGCGTACATAGATTAATAATTTCGAAATGTTCACGGAAGTGAGCGAAAGTGCGGGAAACACATCGACAAAACTGCCGAATATTCACGACTTTTACATAATTAAACCGATAAGCAGGGGTGCGTTTGGAAAAGTGTTTCTCGGCGCTAAAAAGACGAATATGGATGTGATGTATGCTATCAAAGTGATGAAAAAGACTGAGATGATTAACAAAAATATGGTAGGTCAAGTGGTGAACGAACGTAACGCCTTAGCTCTCACCAAAAGTCCATTTTGCGTGCACCTCTATTATTCGCTTCAAACGTCATCGTCGATATATTTAGTTATGGAATATATGGTTGGAGGGGACCTTAAATCGCTTTTGAGCGTCTACGGTTTCTTCGACGAATCTATGGCGTCGTTTTACGTGGCCGAAGTGTGTTTGGCTTTGCAATACTTGCACCGCCATAACATCATCCACCGCGACATTAAACCAGACAATATGCTGCTGTCCAAAGAGGGTCACGTGAAACTTACCGATTTTGGCTTATCGAAGGTGCACATATCGCGTGACTTGGAAATTGCCGACTTTGATAATTCGACCCCCAACCTTTGCACCCGCACTCCTGGACAACTTTTGAGTCTCACCTCGCATTTTAGTTTCGGCTCGGGCAATTCCAAATATCCCCGCGTTAGCAACAATAATGATCACAGTGAGTTTCTTCCAGACTCGTTTTCTAGCGAGATGGACAGTTCCGTTTTACATTTGAACCACACTTCCACGTTGGGCAAACACACAACATTGGAATTGAACTCCTCGATAGAAGTTAGCAAAAAATGCTTGCCGAATGTATCTGGTGTAATGTTCCTAACTGCTCAGAACGAGAGCAGCACCTACTATACGGCTACCTCGAGCTTGCATCTCGACGACAATGGTGCCGATAACGCGAACGTATCTTCTCCGTTAAGTCGTAAAATACCCAGCCGATTGGGCCTTTATTACAAAGGCCGCGATGAAAGGAAGAGAAAATGTAGATCCCCATCACCGAATCGCTCTACCAAGACTTATGTGAAAACGGGTCTCACCGGCGAAATGGAAATATTGCGGATCGATTCTGTCAGTCCACCGAAAGGCGTCACGTTTTCCACGCCCGTTTCGATTAACAAAAACGCCAAAGTAAAATCCACAAGGTTTGACTTGGTAAATGAAGACAAGGGTTTGGAAATGGAAAATCCTTGCAACGTCGTGAGCCCTATCGAATCGGATTTCATGACTCCAAAAACCCTGCACACCCCTTACAGAACCCCTAAGTCTGTTAAGCGGGGTCAGTGGAGTTCGGACCAGAGGATTCTGGGCACCCCCGATTATCTGGCCCCTGAATTACTGTTGCGCAAAGGTCATAATCACGCGGTCGATTGGTGGGCACTGGGGGTATGTTTCTACGAATTCGTCACCGGTATACCGCCGTTCAACGACGAAACGCCGCAACAAGTGTTCAAAAACATTTTGGAACGCAATATCGAGTGGCCCACCCAAGATGAGGCTTTGTCGGATTCCGTGGTCGACGCTATAGAAAGGCTGCTTACTCATGATGCGGATAAAAGACCCACGGCTACAGAAGTAATGGAAATGGACGCGTTCAAGCATATAGAGTGGGAGAATTTGTTGTTCATTACACCGCCATTTGTGCCCGACCCTGGTGACGTTACCGACACGGCCTACTTTCAAGCCAGGAACGAGCTGTTGAACTTTAATTTATCCAGTTTCGAGATGTGAACCACATTCGAAACGAGTCGCTGAATTGGCTGTGCATCAAACCGATATTTGATTTCGTAAATGTTAGAATAAGGCTTAATTTTAAGGTACCGTTTTTGTTATTCATATAGGAATCGATCCACTTTGGTTACATTAAAAATTATTAAGTAATAGTGACTTTTTTCATTAAATTTGCTACCCGAAAATTGTATTTGCCATCCAAAAGTTCAATTTCTTGTATGATTCTATTATTACTTTGGCCCGTCAGTTACGTCAGCATAAGGAGTCCGCAACCGAAGAAGAAGAATCGTTTTCGACATACAACCTTGCCGGTAGTCGTTTTCTATGGTTTAGCGCCAATTATAACCTACGAAACGAACATTTTGTAAATAATCATGGATTTTTTGAATTGCTCCGTGCAGCAATGGCTAGACAACGAAACGGAATATCTGAAAATTATACGGCGAGACGAAAATTGGGACCAAATACCGTTATTCAATGCCAACGAGCAGCATAGTTTTAAGGACGGAGCTCTTGTACGATTCAGAGGAATGGTACAAGATATGCATGGTCCCGAATATTATTTAGAAAAATTCGAGGTCGTCCATGAGACCGAGGGTAAAAAATACTTAAAAAGTGGCAAGTATTGCGACTTTGCCATTTCGGGCGAGAACGAGGAAGTTAATTTAGATAGCAACAGGAATGTTACCAGCGAACGACAAAAGTACGTTGTAATATCTACACCCGGGATTAACGAGTGGGTCGAACATTTGGAATATCAAAAGTACGTCATAAAAAGTCCGGAAATTGATTCAAGCAGCTTTAAAAAGAGACCACTTGAGGATGATGATATGGAAACTGATGAAACGACGTCCAATGTCAACGAGTGCCCGAAGAAATCGTCATTGGGCAAGCAACCCACGGATAATTCTGTAGCCATATCACAGGAGCACGTTTTAAATTTTCCGATACCCGGTTCTAGAGGAAAAACCTGCCATGTAAGGTTATACAGTGATTCGGAAAATGTAAAGTTAAACGACGTGTTTGAATTTGCCGGTTTTTTGAGCATGAATCCTTTTATTGAGTCAATATATGACAGGGATGATATCGAAAATCAAATGGAGATTCAAACGCATCACCCGCCATCTTCTTTAGTTCCGAGCATCCACGCCGTCCATTTCCGCAAGATGTTGCACAACAATCCCTTAGTAACTAATCAGGCGAGCCTCGATTCTTCACAAATGAACCTTATCAAGAAAAACTTGTTAGTAGTACTTAGCCAATTACTGATGGGCGATACCCTTGCGGCAGAATATTTGATTTGTCATTTGATATCTGAAATATATTCAAGGAGGCATTGCATGCCGCTGGGAAAATTCACCTTGAATATTTCGCAGGTGCCTGTGTTTCAACATAATAATTATGTCCCTGAGGTGTATACATTTTTAGAAATGTTGGTCCCCAAGAGTCTGTATTTGGCCATGACCTTGGAAAATATGAACAATCTTTCCTTCATTCCCAAGAAAGATTATGAATGCAACAGATTAACTAGCGGCCTCTTGCAGTTAAGCAAAAACACCATGGTTGTTTTAGATGAGACTAAATTAATGGAAGGCAAGCTGAATGCGAGCGGTATCCACAGCGTCAAAGCTATCGCCGAGGCTATTAAGAACCAAAGGGTCATCTATGATTTCAACTTCTATCCTTTGGAGTATGATTGCGACATCCCGTTTTTGATTTTCTCTGAAGGAAAATCGATGCTACCTTGTGATTACCAGATCGTTCTAACACCGGAAGAGTCGTGTTTAAACACGTTCCCTGAGATCTTGGAAGCGGCCCGACATTTCTTGAAACCAGACGTGCTAAACGACATAAGGACTTACCTGACGCGAGCTCGCCTCGCCGAATACGAAATTTCCGGCGGCGTTGAGGAACTGATACAAGAGGAGTTCGTGCAAATGAGACAAGAGGGGGCGGTGACGGCGGACGATCTGCACCACCTTTTGGTTTTGGCCCGCCTAATTTGCCTATCCGAAGGTAAAAACACGTTGGACAACGAGTGTTGGAAGAAAGCCTGCCAGTTGGAGAAACTCAGAAAGAGTCGACTCAAGAAATAGACCATTCATTGCAAGTTTTTGTATTTTGTTAAATAAATAATCGCATTGTACGCTTGTTTTTTTATATATGCGGTGGGATAAAACCTGGTGACCTTGGCCTATAATTTTTTCTTCCAGTGCCGTCCCCCAGCGGAGGTTGGCGACCATTTTTCTAAATGCGTCTTTGTCTTTTGCAACGCTACAATCATCTGAGTCCAGTCTTTGATGTTTCTTAGCCAGGATTTGATTGTAATCATTAATTCCCTTTCTTGACCTATTCTTCTTAACACTTCCTTATTAATAATTCTATCAGTCCAGGGTATTTCTGTGATACAGCCACATGTCAAAAGACTCTAGTTCATTGATGGTCTGAGCCTTGAGAGTCCAAGTCTCTACTCCATGCAGTAGTTGTGACCACACGTAGCACTCGATAAACTTTAATCTTGGTTTAGGGCATAGATTTTTGTCGCTGAATAGTGTTTTAAATCTTAAGAAAGACTGCGTCGCAATTTCGATTCTGATTATTTCGTGATATTCGTCTGGGTCTGAAGTTATGTAAGTTCCTAGATATTTATATTTTTCCTAATATTTGTATTTTTTCCCGGGCAGAAATAAAAACACTTTTTGCAACGAGTCTGTACCCGAATTGAGCGAACCCGAGGAACCTGACGAACCAATTCGGACCGAAGCTGCGCAAAAGGGCGACGACCAACCAACCGCTTGCGCAGCCAAGCTCGACGTAAGAGCGTTTTATAAAAACCTCTCGTCGCCGCTCACGGACGCTGTTTTAGAACGAACACGAGAGCTGCTACTGCTCAGCATCTCACACGGACACCGTATCGACAGACGAGCACGACAGTTTGAGAGACAGTCAAGATTCAAGCACCGTCAAAGAGATAAAGTTGTGTGACAGTGGCGCCGACCTCACAGAGTATGTCCGAACCGATTTCGAACAGGAGTGGCAACAGTTTTGGTCGCGGAACGGAGAGAAACTCATTTGGGAATCGTGGATAGCGAAGTACAGTGCCTACATCAACCCCAGTTACTTGGGTTACGGCGGCCAGAATATCGCTTTGGACGCGAGCCTGTTGATCTTGTCGGGTAATTGTATCCTTGCAATTGTGTGTGTTTGTGTGTTTTTGTAGTACTAAACCGTAAAAAGAGAAGTTTAATTTTAATTTCTAGGTAGCGACAGCGGCAACAAACAATCGAAATCAGATCATCAGTCATCAGGTACAGAAATAATGATAAATGATTGAAGCAATGCCCGCATAAACAAACCCTTCTGCCAGTGGGAAAAATAATGTTATGTTCATTATCACTGACTACGAGTTTCACAAACGATTTACCAACTAAATAATGAAGTATTCTATTAATAAAAGAGTGAAAAAACTTAAAACAATTTTTTAAAAGTTATTTAAATTTCACAGCATTAGGTGTTTCTGATTTCGCCCTAACTATTCTTGGATTTTTTTCTATGATCAATTGACTTGCAATAAAATTGTTTTTATTTTTGTCTCGTAAATGAATGAAATGAAATCATTGGCGCACATTTTTTGTCAATAATGTTTTATGTTGTCCACTTACTTCACTCGCCTAGTTGTGGCCAAAGCACGCGCATTATTACCACAGACAACAAGAAAGTATTTCGATTATATTTAAAAAGCGCTATTAAAGAAAATGACACCTTGCGTCTTTGGCATTTGCGCACGTATGTACTGGGTTTTCATGTATATTTTGACGCCCCGTACAGAGTTTACTAAAAGGGTTCGGTAGAAACTTTTATATAGAAATTGTATGTTTTTTCTCTATTATTTTCTGAACTTGACAAAACTTGATTTTGAAATAAGTAGAGTTTATTTACGTTGTTACATTGTTTGAATAAAAAAGAAAAATTAGTCATTAAGTTTTTAATCTTCCGAATAACGCATTTTTTAAACAAATTGTGTTTCTAGAAACTATAATTAGTCATCGTGACACTATTAATATGTGTCAGGACGCCATCTAAACTTGTAAACAATGTTTTCTTTTCTATTTCTGTTTTTAGAAAAAAAACATACAACTGTTATGTAAACAATTTTTGCATATCCCCTTTAATAAACTCTGTATTTAGGTGTCAAAATGAATGAATGTGTTTTTTTCAAGCTCCCAATTTCATATACTTCGGTGTGCTTTCACGGCCCGTAATGTCATTAATGAGTTTTTTCGGGCTGTTAGGCTGTGGTCTATTGGATTTGCCACCAAAGCAGCCATCCTCAGAGGATCGCTGACCAATAGATCACGGAATAACAGCCCGGAAAAACTCATTAATTGCCAATTTAATGTTATACATATTAAACTCTCTAAAGGTATATTCACGAGATCTAGGAACAAATTTGAAATGTGGCAAAAATGGTATCAATGTCCACGTATTCAGAGTTTGCTCATCGGCCGATCTAAACGTTCGACTTTTGCAGGCAGCAGCGGCAGCGGCGCGCCAATCAAATCAGACCTGTTCACGTTCGACGAGAAAGACATCAAAAGTTTCGAAACCAACCCGAAAATCACCATCCTAACGCGGCACCTATCCACTAGCGACGATAAACTGTGCAACGAAATTTCCGAAGGTTGGAACCCGCTGTCGCCGCTCAGCATCGACTGCGAAACCGAAGCGGAACGCTTGCTCAGCTCGCGGTGCGGATCTCACGCTAGCGGTTCCATGCGAACCGTCGATTCCATGACCAACGTGACCCGCATGACCGTCTCCTCGTTGGACATTAACAGTAGCTCGAGTTCCGACAGTTTTTCCTCCGTCAGCTCGGTGCAGAGTTCCGTCAGTTCGGAAGAATCCGGGGAGGAACACCAGAACCAGTGGAACCAGCTATGGCGCATGCATTACGAGCAAGAGTACATGTTGCACTACAATAAGTTTATGTCCGACGCCGGCACGATAGAGATAACGGAATTTTTACTGGACGACATAACCTCGACTACCGCACGAAAGCCGATAGCCGATTCGGAAACCGTAACTTCGCTCGGAACCTTGCTGGACACGCTAAGCATGACGGAAGGTAAAGAGTCGGCGGCGTCCGACCTAGAGGAAACGCGCGACGGCGAAGAAGTCGCCGAGATGATCGCGATGGGTTTGCCGACATCGTTCGGCGCCGCCGGATATCACAGGAGTAACCGGAATTCCGGTTTGAAGAGAAAAAGGTATTTCAAATTTATATAATCTGGACACGCCCCAACTTAAAAATTAACTACTGTAGGTACTTACCGTTTCCTCCGTTGAAATTTTCACACTTTTTCGAAACAAATCACATACACTTCATTCGCCGCACGGGAAAGTAGACATGTCGTTTTTAAAAGCAGAGCCTACTTCGTGACACCAAGACTTTTATATAATTAAATAATTATTTTTTGTTCGGCACACACTGTCAAAATTACATACCGAATAACGCACGAAATTGCAAAATTTGGTTTCAAATCGATGGAACAGAAACAACAGCGTATGCAGTCCGAGATTAAAGACCGTCGAAATTGAAAATTTTATAGTCCCGCAAGGTTTCTGGCATACAAAATTCAGGTTTCCACTTACCGAGAGTTTTCACGGGCACTTTTTTTAAAGATAAATCACTCGAAATGAATTCGCGCCTAGTGAAACTCGAACCGTTATTTTTATAAGATGATAGATATCGCAATAGTAACAATAATCTCGGTGTGAAGAGAAAACGATATAATCTGGACATGCGTCAACATGATAAATAAAATTCTGTGGGTACTTACCAGAATTTCGTCACTTGAAATCTTCAAACCCTTCACAGCACAAGTTACATACCCTTAATTTGCCCGAAACTAACATAGTTATGTCATATTTTTAAAAGCAAAGCCTACTTCTTGATTCTCCTTGCAAAGCCAACTACACGGTTATTACGGCCAAAATTGCATACCGAATAACGCACCAAATTGCAAAGTTTGGATTCAAATCGAAGAAGGTATATTTTTACGGGATTTTATTGGTCTCAAAAACAACAGCCAATATGCAGTCCGAGATTAAAAACTGTCGAAATATTTCGGGCATGCAAAATTCAAGTTTCCACTTGCCCAGAGATTTCACGGCCATTTTTAAACAGTTAAATCACTCGAAATTTATTCGCGCCGAGTAAAACTAGAACCGTCATTTTTGTAAAATGATAGCGCGATATCACAAGAGTAACAATAATCCCGGTTTGAAGGGAACACGATGTAATCTGGGCATGCGTCAACGTCCTAAATAAAGTTCAGTAGGTACTTACCAGAATTTCGTGTCGTCACATAAAATTTTCAAACTTTTCACAAAATAAAATCACATACGCTTAATTTGCCCCAAACGAAATTAAATATGGCATATTTTTAAAAGCAGCTTTTGTTGACTTTTATATTAAAAAGTTACTTTAACAACATTTTTAACAAAAGTTACGCGAAATGGATTTGCGGCCTGTAAAACTAGATCTGTCATTTTTAACACCAAAGCTTACTGCTCGATTCTGTGCCAAATTCACGGAACACTGTGGTCAAAATATAGAGCCCACTTCGTTCAATGTAGCAAAAACACTTAAACCTCTGCAGTTATCGCTTAAATGTCGAAAAAATATTTCTTTAATCGAATCGGCATTACCAAGTTTGGATACTTTAATTTTTTAGTAAAAGAAATATGCGTTTTGTTGGGCGTGTGTCCCGCAAATAAAAAATCATTTTCAGCGAATTAGAGAGGAGCGATAGTTTCGAAGCGGGTCGAAATAGGATCCATGCCGCTTTTAACCTAATCGGGGTGGAATTTAACGAATACGCCGGTTCTAAAATTACCGGCCAGGTCGATTACAAAATGAAGCACATCAGATTGCAAAACAGGCACTTGAAATTGACAAATAAACCGAAACATACATACTTCGACGACGAGGGTAACGCCGTTGAGGCGGAACCGGAAGAGCCCGAAATCGAGCACAGTATATTGTCGGACTGTTCGGATTATTCTGCCGGGGAAGAAACGTCGGCGGCTAAATCGGACGAGGTCAGGTGCGCGCCTGCCAAGAAGAAAAAGCGCAAAAAGAAGATCAGTTACCCACCGGAGATCAGGGAAAACGCCAAACTGAAAAAGTATTGGCACAGACGTTTTTCGCTGTTCAATAGGTTCGACGAGGGCATCAAGCTCGACGAAGGTTTCGTCGTCGATTTCGCAGCGGTGGCGTAAATATTTCAAGTTGGGTTTTTATTTTAGAAAGTTGGTACTCGGTCACTCCGGAGAAGGTAGCGCGACACGCGGCCGAGAGGTGTCGCTGCGACGTCATAGTTGACGCGTTCTGCGGCGCGGGCGGCAACGCGATCCAGTTTGCCATGACGTGCAACAAAGGTCGGTAATTTACGTAAAAGAGCGAGTAATTCGATAATTTAGGTTGCGTTATAGTTGTCGCGATCGATATCGACCCGAAGAAAATCGAACTCGCGAGGAATAACGCGAGAGTTTACAACGTAGAACATAAAATCGATTTTATTGTGGGCGATTTCTTTCACCTGGCCGATAATTTGAAAGCTGATGTCGTTTTCTTGAGCCCGCCGTGGGGCGGTCCGTCTTATTTGAACCAAAGCGTTTACGATTTGGAAGAAATGTTGCAACCAGTCGCATTCACGAAGCTGTACGAGACAGCGTTGAGGATTACTAGTAACGTCGCAGCGTTTTTACCGAGAAATAGCAATACATTTAAGGTACACACCGTTAAAAAAATTGTATTCAGCTGTTAATTTTTCTGTTTCAGTTGGCCGAAGTGACCGGTTCAGGTGGAAAAGTTGAAATTGAACAGGATTTCATAAATAACAAGTTAATCGCCATTACCGCTTATTATAACGATCTTATTAAGGAAAAATAATTTTTTTTCAGTTCTTTGTTTTGTCTTGTCTTGTGTTGCTATTTTATATAACCGGAAAATGGAGAAATAAATTCTTTCCCCGAGTTTTATCTGTTATTTTGCCTATCCGTAATATCCTGTAAGTTTGAGCAGGTTATCCGCCGAATTACGTCACGTATCACAGAATGGAGAACACGCAACAATCCTATAGCGCTAACCTCTCGGCGGCAACTTGCATCAGTGTAGCCAACGCACTGCGCCAAATTTTCGCGATTACGAAAATACATCGGATCCACATTTATTTACAGCTTTTCTTATTAACACGAATAATACGTTGCATAATGCAGTAAAATAACACTTCTGGAAATTTACGATCGCCATTGCCGAATTAGGGATTTTCGTGTTTTAACCAGACACAGCCAAGATGTTCTGATCATATTCTGACGTTGAAATCTCCGTGATAATAAAAAAATGTTTGTCGATATTTGGTGGGTGCTGCTGGAAAAAAGCCCGATTTATTCAAAATGAAGTGCAAGGTAAAAGGTAAGGTGTAACTGTATTTTTATCCTCCGTAGGATTAAGCGTAATTGACTTTGATATCGTAATGCGGTCATGAACGCGAGATATATTAGGCGTATAATCATTTAAATGCATTTAATCTGTTCGGCTGTTATTGTTCAGATTTGTAACCGACTCGAATAAAAATATATGTCCTTGATCTGTTCGCGATATCATTTGGATGCCAAAATAATGTCCTTTGTCCTGAAGCGATTAAAAATAGAACATATCGGCTTTGATGGGTTGTGTCGGAAATATGAATGATAGATTTTAAGGGGAACGTATTTTTGCTTCAGATTCGAATAGCTATTTGCATCGAGCAATAACATTTTTTTATCAATTTTTATGTTTTCGTCGAGCCCTTTTAGACCCTATTAAGAAAACATTTAGATAGCGGCTTTGGGGAAATGTAGGTTTGTTTATGTTTACGATTGTTAATATCTCTTATTACACCTTAGGTATATATGCTTTAGATAATGAGAGTGAAACAGATTACTAATTTTTATCTAGAAAAAAAGTCGAGCAATGAACGTTGCATGTTGATAGCTGATATAATATGAATTAAAAATAAGTATCGACTCCATGAGGTAAGCAACTTTGGGTCATTTTGTTTTGTTTGAATAAACACATCTTGTCGAAAACATTGCGGTAAACATTTAAGTTCATTTTTTGTATTTCATGGGACCAATCCATCGAAATTCTCCCAAGAAATGATTTTAATTAAGCAAGCTTAGTAATTTAACACTAGTGGCAATATGCTTCTCAAAATATTCAATTTTGCTATTATATTTTGTATGAATAGAAGTTATTTGCTGGTATATCATACAAGCATATTTGTCAATTAATAGTTTTGCAATATACTCCGGTTATAGTATAGTTCATACAATTGTATTTTTTTTTTATAAATAAAGGGATATTATTATTATATAGGATGCAGTGAGTGGCGCACCTATCCAGTCAGTGGAGTATAATTCTTTGAAATGATCGTAACGGCGACTTACCTGATAACGTTATTAATGTTTACTTTTCCATTTAAAATGATTTTGATTAGATTTAATGGTTATAACACAGTAAAGCAAACTATAATGAGTTATCCGCCGATATTTACTCGTAGTTCGCCTGTAATAGTATCTAGTATTTAGACGCAATTGCTGCCGCATACCGGAACCTCACTAATTAATAGAGAGTTTTCGTCGTAATGCAAAATTAAAACGATTAACCATAGAATTAATACATACTCCTAGAAGGCTGGTCACAAGAGTATAAAAGAGAAAGGACATACATGTGTTAGAATGCAATACAGATACAAAAGTCCACGCAGTGAAAAATCCATTATTTTAATTGTTTATTATAAATATAAATGAAGGAGTGAATTTGGCTATAAAACAATGTTTGAATATTTATAAAAAAGTTATTCTACATCCAAATAACATCGAATTCTGTAAACATTTTCTTCTTCAATGACATGTTCTACACATTTTTTCAGACTAAAGGCAGACATTGTTTCTACTTCACTTGTAATCAATTCTATTGCCCCAGGACTAAATTTCGGCGACGTGTTGTTTCTTCTTAAACTGGGTTTCAGCTGTCCCCATATCAGTTATATCGGATAAAAATTGCAGTGATATGGTCTACATTCTACTTCTTAAGAACTTATAATAACTGCTTCTTTGTGTAGGAATTTTCAAAATACATTTTCAAGCAAAAAAAATTCGAATGACTTTCTTAGTCGGTGATGAATTCGATGTTGCTCCGCTTGTGGAGAATGGTAGCTGGCGTTGTCCGTCACGACCATATTGGGAAGCAATTTATCAGAAAACCATGTCATTTTTTCGTGGTAGTCAACCTTTGCTTCTTTGGCATCTTTTCCAGAAAGCAACAAAGCGTTATCTACCCAACCAGCTTCAGAGCCCGCATGTAGTATGACAATTCATTTGTCCCGCGAAACTGGCACATTTAAATACATGATGGGGATGTTTTTAGCACAAATTTATTGGATTTGTCCCAAATATCTTGTCCTCCACTCCGAAATTCTTCTCGATTCTATCGTCATGTTGTGCAATCAAACAACCTATGCATTATAATATGAGGAATTTTAGGACCGATTTACAGTTACACAAAAAACGGTGTTTAACACAAGGTATTTTGGCAAATATACTTCCAACTGACAGTGGTGTTGCCAATAGTTGCTGAACTGAAAATGCTCTAGCATTGTATCTAGAAAATATATAAAAATATTATTTCTGATCTAGAGGGTTACTCAAACAAGCCTCAATTGAGTTAATATTAAAAATTTACGTAAAATGGGATTTTTTCCTTTTTTGGTGACAGTGCGAATATATTATAGACTTATTATTTAACAATTCCGCTCAAGCGCATATCAACCAAACTTCCATTCCTTTCTGTCTTTCTTCGTGAGGGATTTCTCGCTCTGCCAGACTTCTAGGAGCGTTAATCGATATTTGACAGATCGTAAAAAGAGCACCCGTACAATCCGCTTAATGTGAACGTTAAATCAAATTCGTTAGTAAAAAAATATAGATATTTTTTTGTGCTATATTTTTTTGCTTCGCTTAATTTCCTAAATTTTAAAAGATAATGATAAACGAAAGGTGCTACAAAATAATATTGTACCAAAACAAAAATGACAAAGTTGTCAAATAGCGGCCATCGGTAATGGCTTTGAAAAGACAACGAAAACTCTCTAGTAAACCTAGAGAGTAGCGCTTCCAAATCGAAATCAAAACGATCGAAACATTTACTCCGTATCGGTAACATTGGTTCAGGTATTAATATCTTGCAGGAGTGGTGACGGTCACACGGTCAACTAAACGGTTCTGGCACGCTGCAAAATGGACCTTCACGCATCACCATTAACTCTAGACTAATTTAGGCTATATCCTGGTGGTTGGGACATTATCTCGTACCTGTAACTTAGCACTTTAGTCGTAATTAGTTACCTCTTCGGTTTCGGGCGTTTAAAACTCCATACAATTTCTGCATGTAACCCACATACCCCTTTACGTACACGAGTCGATCTAGTCACGACCAATTGATAACCAAAACGATATGACGTTCTCGACGGACGACAAACCGCGCAAGTATCGCTGCGACGTATGCGACAAGCGCTTCCTGGGCACCAACGACCTAAAGAAACACAAAAGGGTGCATACCGACGAACGACCGTACGTATGCAACGAGTGCGGCGTCGGGTTCCGTCAGGGCGGTTCCCTGAAGAACCACATCGCTTGCAAACACTCGCCAGGACTGCAGAGCAAAGAGGTGTTCGTGTGCGAGTACTGCAACAAACACTTCCCGATAAAGGAAAGGTTGCGACTGCACCTGCGCGTCCACACAGGCGACCGTCCGTACGATTGTGACGTGTGCGACAAAAAGTTCGCGCGCGGCGGCCAGTTGGCGCAGCACATGCGCGTTCACACCAAAGACAAACCGTACGTTTGTCGTTTGTGCGACGCGAGCTTCACGTGCTCCGCCAACCTGAAGCTGCACATGAACCGACACCTCGACATACGTCAGTTCGTATGCGACATCTGCGGCAAATCGTTCTTCAGACGGGACGCGTTGAGGAAACACCTCAATTGTTACCACTCGAACGTGAAAGCGTTCCACTGCGACGTGTGCGACAAAGACTTCAAGGGACACCTGCAACAGCACATGAGAACGCACGTGAACGAAAAACCGCACGGCTGCGCGCACTGCGGCGCGAGGTTCGCGCAGAGATCGCACTTAACGGTCCATCAGAGGATACACAGCGGCGAGAAACCTTACCGCTGCCAGGTGTGCTGGAAAGCGTTCGCGCACTCTACCGCGCTCAAGCTCCACACCAGGAGGCACACCGGAGAAAAGCCGTTCCAGTGCGCAGTGTGTAACACGGGGTTCGCACAGCTACCGCACTTGAAGAAGCACATGGTATGCATCCACAAGAGTGACAAGCCGTACTGCTGCGGTTCGTGCAGGGGCTTCTACAAGACGAAGAGCGAGCTCGAGGGTCACGAGACGCGGTGCAAGCAAAAGAAAAAAGGCGATACGTCTAAAGGTCACGACCCGAAAGTAGAGCCGCCGATGTCTTTGCAAAAGATGCGGCTCCTGTTGGCCGTCTTGCTGAAGAAGATATCGACCAGGGAGCGACTCGACGAGCTGGGGTTCAACAAGAGGCTGATCGACGACATCCTGGTGGATTCGATCGAGAATTCGGGCAGGAAACCCTGCGCCGAGGACGGACTGTCGATTGCTGAAAAGTTAAAGAGGAACATCCAGATTTTGCTGGAGTGGACCGTGCCGGATTACTATATGGAGAAGTTTAAGACCGAGCAGAGGTCCACTGAAGAGTTGCTCGAAGAGTTGACCTCGTAGAGCGCTAGATAACTATATTAACCCATTTAATTGACATTGACCTATCGTTGACGGCAAGAGAGGAGAGTTTTCAAATAGTGAATTGTCGCTGGCGACTTAGTATAGTTTTTGATAACTAGACTTCTTTGCGGCCTGCGACAGGTCAACTTCAACTTCACATTGTGAGAAATATCAAGGGGACAAAACTGTTATAAAAAAACGAGGTGTCCATTGAAACAACCCCTTCAGCTTTCGCAAATTCTTGTTGGACTGATGGTCTCACACGATAGAAGACATTTCTTCAAAACCCTTTTGTTATAAGAACCAAGCTGGAACTGACAGACTGACACTTGTCTCACACACACAAACGGTACAAAGCGTCTAACATTTTTTTAAAAGCTTGCCATAGGATCTAAAGTACTAATTATTACGACTAAATTCGGTATAGTAAGTAGTTCACCTCAACCTTGTCGAATACATTTTTTAGAATTTGATATTTCCCACGGCACTGGCAAATGCAAATGCCACTTTCTTGGGGAGGATAGTGAAATTTTGGTGGGTAGCTTAATATTCTTGCCACGATATCCATTTTGTAAACCAAAGCTTCTTTATACGATTTTAGTGTATATCGATGTCGTGTGTATAGATGTAGTTTTCCTTTCGACGGTCAATTACCAAAGAATATTACCATTACGTTTGCGTTACACAGAATATTGTTTCTCTATTGTATTTTGTTAGTTTTTGACTTAGGATTTTAGGTGCCATCACACATACCAAAGCGAATTCGTTACGATTTTGTGCCATACGTTCTTTCTAGAGTGTTCCTTATCACGACGCGCAGTCGAAAAAGAAAATTGTAATACCGGGCGATTTCAAATAAAACGAATTATAATTGTTGCGTAATTTGTTTTTATTTAACACGGCCTCGGAGAGAGAGAGGAACGTTACGAATAATTATCACTTTTTGGTAACGCTGGAAAGTAAGTACACACGCGCAGAGGGCGGGGCGGGGGTATCTGCCAAAGCGGCAACATTGCTTTTGTGCGCGGGCTACAAAAATACGTGCGGCGATAAAATACATACAATATATAAAACAACCTTTAACTTCTAACGGCTATGTTTAAATTTGGCAACAACGATCACTAATATTGCGGATGGTCAACGCTTAGAAATTTTTTCATAGGAAAATGCTTTTTGTATTTTGTCGGTTATTCTTACTAAACAAATTGACCATGATGTTAAGATTACTTAGAACACGCCGGGTGGACTGTTTTTTATTGGATGGATGGATGGATCTCAGAACTTTTAGATAGATCAATCAGTAGATTTACCGTAACAAATTTACTCACCTACCAGCAATTTTTATTGAACGTCTTTGAGAGGCTTGATCAAGTGGGTTGTGTTTTCACTGATTTTTCGAACGTCTTTGACCGTGTAGGTCATGTGGATCTTGTCTCTAAGCTAAGTGCTATCGGCCTTGCGGCTGGACTGATACAGTGAATTGATTGCTTACACTGTACCCATCTTTTTTAACTTGTTTATAAATGATATAGCTAGTGTAGTTGTTTGCATATGGTCTAAGATTAATAGTCTCGCGTTCAATGTAAAAAAATGCTGTAGTATTAGTTTTAGTCGTTCGTTGAGTATGGTTTACAACCAATATAGCACTGATGTAGTCGAGATCGAGGCCGCCACTACATTAAAGACTTAGGTGTTTTCTTGGATTCTAAAACAAGTTTTTGTGACACATTTTGCGGAATTGGTAAACAGGTTTATGCGAATCTTTGGATTTGTTGTATGCAATAGAGGCCAACTTACTTCACATTGCTTTAGACTCCTCTAAATCCCTTTGGTTCGCTCTACTGTGGTATGGTCTCCATACCTGCTATATAGATAACATCAAAACCGTTCAGAAAGTATTTTTAAAGGCGCATATCAATATCTATATGGGTAATTATATTTATTTTTATTATTGCATTTTATTCCTGTTTGCTAGCTATTATACTGCTGCATTTATCTCTGCCTTTAAAAATTTTGCAATATGGTTAAACCGTAAATAAATAAATAATATATCCAAACACTTTCAGTCGGAGAAATCGAAATTATCGATATTATATATGAAATACACCGAGAATTTTCCGAGGGATTCGAAAATGCGTTAATATATAGGCTGTTCTATTTAAAACAAATTTGTTGTTACGGGAAAATACACAAACCTTGTTCTGCGATACGAAGGCATCTCATAATAAACTGACCACCCGGCACAAAATAACGTTGAACATTGAACATTGAAAGTGACACTTACCTATCGGTTTGCAAAACTAACGTTTACACAGTCAACACCCTGAAATCATCGGAGGTTTAAAAAATATCACAGGACATTTGGGACATCTCATTGTAAGGTCAACTGGCGGAGTAATTTTATCAGGGAGTTATCATGCAACTTACGGAATACAAGGGAGGGAATACAAGACCACGACACCAGAAGTATCCGTTTTCCGATAGTCACGCGTTCAAGCATTAGAAACCAGAACGACAAACATCGGGAATGTTTCCTAACCTAAATCTTTGGGTAACGTAGGGCGCAAAAAAAAAAATTGTATTTTACTTCCACGATACTGCTAGCGGACTCTCGAGAGAAACGTCCAAATCGTCAATGACCAGATACTAAAACAAATCTCTTATCGGTATCAATCAACGGACCGTTAGTTTCCGCTTACCTTGTGGACGGTATCAAATCGAAACGGGTGGGTCACATTGTTAACCACGACCTCAGAGACCGACCGTCGCAGCCCTAAAACCGTCACCAGTCCCAAATTTGGTGGGCCCTGCGCGTACTGCAAAATTTCGCTGCGCAGAACGTCGTTTTCCAAACCGAACTTGATCAGAGAATAATGCTGCTCTTCTATGGTATCTAAATTTTTTTTAATTTGACTTATTAAATAGCTCATCCGGTCAAGCATAAAATCGTTAAAGCTAAAATTTGTGCCAATGTTCCAATAATTAATAAAATATTTTTCGCCTTGAAGACGAAGCTAGACGCAAAAAAAAAACGGAAGAAACAAAAAAATTTCATTTTTTATTACTTGATCTAAAAAAAGATTAAATCTTCCACTAGACGGACGTCACTGAAAACAATAATTTTATTTTAATTACAAAAAATAAAAGGCTCTTGTAGCGATAAATAAGCATACCAAGCTTTACCAAAATCAGCTAAACGGTTTTTGAGTAATTGATAAAAATCCGATATGTCCTTAAAATCTCCATCTTGAATTTTAAACCACCCCGTATAACCCAACGTACTGCACCCGTACTCGTTTAAAGACAACTTACTCAAAGAGTCGCCGTCGTCCCAAAACAACTCCCCGTAGGCCTGACCCTCCTCGTCCAGTGCCACCAGCAGTTCCACATTAGTCAACCTAGAAGCCGTGGTGGTCTGTTTGACGCCCTGCTGCGGTAAAACGTAGCCGCCTCTGACAAGTACCGGGATCGTAGTAGCGGGGGCGGACAAGTTGTAGTAATCGCCCTTACTACTGATGGCCGATTTTGTGTAAAAGTCGTACCACGTGGCCTCCGGCAAGTAAACGGACACCGATGTAGCGTCGTCCTTCAAAATAGTCATCGAGTTAGAACACAACGCCCCCAACTCGATCCTCCGTTTACCTCTAATACGGGAGCGATCATGAGCGCGGGACCCCAAAGGAACTGCGTGTCGATGCCGTAGGTTTTGTTGTCTTGTGGAAATCTACAACATTTAGGACGTTAACCCCTCAAAAAGCCACCTCCATTGTCAAGATTGTCACTCACTCGAAGAAGAGAGGCCTGGCCACGGTATCGCCTGATGTGTGAGCGTTATAAAATAGGGTGTACAAATAAGGGAGGAGCGAGTAACGTACGGTAAGGGCTTGTCTGGTGGAGTCTACGACCGTTTCGCCCATCGCCACCGGGTCTTGGTCCTGCACAAAACGGCATTCTTGTAATGCTACAAATTAAAAGCAAACAACTCCCCTCCCCAGAAAGTAACATAAGATTACCGGAACGAGACATCGTAATTTTTAAAATTGATCTATAGGGGCACAAATTATTCTATATAACCGAGTTCTACCTAAATTACACAAAGGCAAGATCTATCTATTCAAATGCACTTTGTTAGAACTCATTTTTAAACATTAGCAATTGATATCCACTATCTTCGCTTTACTGATTTGTATACGATTGGCGCTCCACCTAGACCGAGAACTGGACTCATTGTAAAAGTGGGAAGAGAAATTTGGCCCACGACGCTATCGACCTATCTTCTTTTAGCCCTGTGATAATTGCCAGAAAAGGAATAGGCCATAAGATGATGACGGATGTACAGGGTGTACCTTTCGATCACGCCGAACTAATTTTGTACTTTTATCGCCTTGTCTTCTAGAGGGCGCCACATCCGCCAATAGTTTTGTACCACACTTTAATCATTTTCAACTCCCCAGTGAAATGCAATCGCGGAAAGAGCCGATTTAAAGTTATATGAATGGAAATTGGGATTAATAACCGAACATTATGTAAATATTTTGACAGTTAAAAATAAAAAGTAATCATCGAGGAATTAGCGATTCTTAAAAAAAATCCACATTATAGATTCATTACACAATTAATAGAAGTTTAGTTAAATGACTTAGCTTGAGAAAGACTCTTCGGTAAGTTCTACTGACGTTTCAGGCACAGATTACCAACAGAAATTTTGATAATTCCGTATTTGTCACCAAGTCACGTGAATGTCAATGTCTTTTATTGATCTTGATGAAACGACACAGAAAAAGCGAGAAGGGATGAGACCGTGCGTTGTTACGCTAGGGCGGCGCTAAGCCTAATGACACAACAATCGTCACGAAAGATTGGTCGAAAAAGTGATACAATATCGTGCTTTGGCAACGAGATCCTACATTGCTAGGCCAGGCAAGTGCTTAGCGCTGATGACGCAACAAACGTAATTCAAAGTTGGTACAAGGGGTGATACAATTTCTACAATCATTGTTTCTGGGGTGATACAATTTCTACAATCATTGTTTCTCACTGTTATTGAGAAGAATACTTTATTTATACTTTTTTTAATAACTAGCCTCTAAATATTGATATCAGAAAGTTAGTCATGTAAAATTCCCGCAAGAAGTCGATATTCATTTCTACCTAAATGAGGCCCCCCCAAAAGAAGTTTTCGCAAGTTAGATTTAGTTTTGATTAGACTACTCACGATTCCGTCATCGGTGTTGTGGTTCCTCGAGAATGGATAGAAAGCGCCCAGCTGGTGCCACCTGTTGCACAGGGACTCGGTGGTGTTGCCGTTGAAGCCGCAAATGTCCGCGCCCATCAACGGGACACCGAACAAACTGAAGCTAAGCAGATCTGAAACGAACCCCGGCTACCGAAAACGCTAAGAGTTGGCGTCACGTGACACTCACGTGGTACGCTCTGACGCATCGCGACCCACGTCGAGTAGACGTCGCCGCTCCAATGACCGGCGTAGTGTCCGTGTCCCGAGAACGTCGACCGCGATATGATCAATGGTCGCTTGCCCCTCACCTCGGCCATCGCGCTGAATTTGGTAAAACCACAACCAAAGAACGCTTTTTAGACCATTATGTCAAACTGTCAAATATTGTGTTTCGCCCACGCGGGCTTCATCACACATACAAAACTCGCTAAGTTGACGCTTTTGTATGTCTGATGATGTCCGCGAGTGGGCGAAACGCATGTGACATATATGTGATATGTGATAATTGATGTGATGAATTGTAGGTTTGCTCAAAAAATATTTAATTTTATAAAGCCTGGCTTCGTCGATTATAGCAGATTTGTTTCACGTGTGTGTGTGTGTGTGTGTGTGTGTGTGTGTGTGTGTGTGTGTGTGTGTGTGTGTGTGTGTGTGTGTGTGTGTGTGTGTGTGTGTGTGTGTGTGTGTGTGTGTGTGTGTGTGTGTGTGTGTGTGTGTGTGTGTGTGTGTGTGTGTGTGTGTGTGTGTGTGTGTGTGTGTGTGTGTGTGTGTGTGTGTGTGTGTGTGTGTGTGTGTGTGTGTGTGTGTGTGTGTGTGTGTGTGTGTGTGTGTGTGTGTGTGTGTGTGTGTGTGTGTGTGTGTGTGTGTGTGTGTGTGTGTGTGTGTGCGCGCGTGTGTGTGGGCGCGCGTGTGTGTGGGCGCGCGTGTGTGTGGGCGCGCGTGTGTGTGGGCGCGCGTGTGTGTGGGCGCGCGTGTGTGTGGGCGCGCGTGTGTGTGGGCGCGCGTGTGTGTGGGCGCGCGTGTGTGTGGGCGCGCGTGTGTGTGGGCGCGCGTGTGTGTGGGCGCGCGTGTGTGTGGGCGCGCGTGTGTGTGGGCGCGCGTGTGTGTGGGCGCGCGTGTGTGTGGGCGCGCGTGTGTGTGGGCGCGCGTGTGTGTGGGCGCGCGTGTGTGTGGGCGCGCGTGTGTGTGGGCGCGCGTGTGTGTGGGCGCGCGTGTGTGTGGGCGCGCGTGTGTGTGGGCGCGCGTGTGTGTGGGCGCGCGTGTGTGTGGGCGCGCGTGTGTGTGGGCGCGCGTGTGTGTGGGCGCGCGTGTGTGTGGGCGCGCGTGTGTGTGGGCGCGCGTGTGTGTGGGCGCGCGTGTGTGTGGGCGCGCGTGTGTGTGGGCGCGCGTGTGTGTGGGCGCGCGTGTGTGTGGGCGCGCGTGTGTGTGGGCGCGCGTGTGTGTGGGCGCGCGTGTGTGTGGGCGCGCGTGTGTGTGGGCGCGCGTGTGTGTGGGCGCGCGTGTGTGTGGGCGCGCGTGTGTGTGGGCGCGCGTGTGTGTGGGCGCGCGTGTGTGTGGGCGCGCGTGTGTGTGGGCGCGCGTGTGTGTGGGCGCGCGTGTGTGTGGGCGCGCGTGTGTGTGGGCGCGCGTGTGTGTGGGCGCGCGTGTGTGTGGGCGCGCGTGTGTGTGGGCGCGCGTGTGTGTGGGCGCGCGTGTGTGTGGGCGCGCGTGTGTGTGGGCGCGCGTGTGTGTGGGCGCGCGTGTGTGTGGGCGCGCGTGTGTGTGGGCGCGCGTGTGTGTGGGCGCGCGTGTGTGTGGGCGCGCGTGTGTGTGGGCGCGCGTGTGTGTGGGCGCGCGTGTGTGTGGGCGCGCGTGTGTGTGGGCGCGCGTGTGTGTGGGCGCGCGTGTGTGTGGGCGCGCGTGTGTGTGGGCGCGCGTGTGTGTGGGCGCGCGTGTGTGTGGGCGCGCGTGTGTGTGGGCGCGCGTGTGTGTGGGCGCGCGTGTGTGTGGGCGCGCGTGTGTGTGGGCGCGCGTGTGTGTGGGCGCGCGTGTGTGTGGGCGCGCGTGTGTGTGGGCGCGCGTGTGTGTGGGCGCGCGTGTGTGTGGGCGCGCGTGTGTGTGGGCGCGCGTGTGTGTGGGCGCGCGTGTGTGTGGGCGCGCGTGTGTGTGGGCGCGCGTGTGTGTGGGCGCGCGTGTGTGTGGGCGCGCGTGTGTGTGGGCGCGCGTGTGTGTGTGCGCGCGTGTGTGTGTGCGCGCGTGTGTGTGTGCGCGCGTGTGTGTGTGCGCGCGTGTGTGTGTGCGCGCGTGCGTGTGTGTGCGCGCGCGTGTGTGTGTGCGCGCATAAAGAACATAAAGAACTGGAAAATTTGACGAAAATAAACAGATAAATAGACTAAAAAAAAGACTCACAAGTGGGTAATAATGGCCTCGGTGTACCCGAACAAGTTGTGGACGTCGTAGTGCAGGCCCGCGTAGTGCTTCGCGCTCATGCACATCGTTTTGTAGTTCAACGCGCCGCCGTCGACGGCCGGTACGTACGGCGGACTCTCGAGGGTGGACTTGGGACACCCGGTCACCGCCCCGTTCAGAAAGTTCGAAGGCTCGTTCATGTCGATCCAGGCGCCGTCGAACGGCACCTGCTTGTGAAAGTCCTTGATCAGGAGCGTCCAATAGTCGACCGTGTTCGGGTGCGTAAAGTCCGGCCACACCGTGGACCGCGTGTTCCACACTTTGCCGACGAATATCTGTCCCGTGCTGTTTTTCACGAAGATGTCCATTTTAACACCTTCGTCGTAGGGTGGGTACGAGCCCGCCGCCTCGCTACCGCTCACGCCCGGGTCAATGAGAATAGTATAGTGCATTCCGCGGGCGTGAAGTTCGTCGACGAAATGCGGCAACCCCGCGAAATTTTGCCCGTCGTACGTAAAGCCGTTGCTGTTGTTCATGTAGTCCAGGTCGTTCCACTGGGTGTCCTGCGAGGTTGCCAGATTTATATGAATAGATCAAAATATCGCACATATATGCTGTTTCGCACAGGGCATGCATTGTTTTTAAAGTTTGCTCTAGCAACCAACACTTCCCCGGATGTCTGGATAAGCCTTTGTCTATATCAGCTTATTATCCAAGTTAAAGACTTGATAACCCAGAGACAAAATGGTTTCATAAAAGGACGGAGCACCTGGAAATATCTAGGAGTACAACACAAGATGATAGATTGGAAAAGAAAATTAGAGACAGAAATGCGCTCAGCAGGAAAGCAAACGGAATCCTTTGGGACAAAAGCAATCAATCACAATAGTTAGAGCGTCATAACATATGGATCAGAAGTATGGGTAATTATGGAAAGTATGGAGAAAATCCTAAGAACAAAGGAATGGAAAAAAAATAACCAACGAAGGAGTTAGGGGGCTACACACAACAATTATTATAGACGATATTCCAAACAACTCGTATGCAATAGGATGGACCCGTCAAGAAAGATTCTCAAAACAAACGCAGGAATTGCCGCCTCACTGCTCGCGGCTAGGCACTTACCAACGGGATGCCGGCGTTGATGTTCCTCTCCATAACCTCCTTGGTGCGATCAAGCGTTTTGTAACCGAACCTGCAGAGGTGAAAGCCCAACGCCCAATAGGGCGGCATGTAGGGCTTACCCACCAGGGTCGCGTATTGGGCGACGACGTCCGCCGGCGTCGGTCCCATGAAGAAGTAAAAATCCAAAACACCGCCGATCGTTCTGAAGGTTACCGCAGGCGCGGGTTGAAGGATAACGTCTAAAGCATAACCGTATCACTTAAATTTAATTTCCAGAGTTCGTACAATGAAAGAATTAAATTTGAAGTTTAGCAACTTTAGCAAGTACATTGTGCATGCATATTAGCGCGAAAAAAATATTGATTAATATCACTAAAAGTGATAGTAGGTCAAAGTATATTATTCTCAGGATCACTGCTGTAAGCTTGGGTTAATGGCTATATTTAGACGCAACATTAGCTGAAATTATTTTTATGCCCTCCTCTTTTTACTACCTATTCAATTCTCAAAATAGTACTAGAAATAATCCAAGAGCGTTCATACAATACCAGATATTTACTTATCATTTAATTTCGAAGAAAACATGGACAACTTTGTTTGGTTGTCTCTGATTCTTATATATTGCTGTTAATTTGCTCAATTCACATGTTATGTAAAAACCGGAGGTCTGGATTTGAATGGATGCTATTTAATTTCCACAGGGAAGGTGTAAAGTCTTTGTTTATGTTGGTCGACCCCTTCTATTGCCTAGTGATTGGCTTGGATGTCTATAATTCGTTTCACACTTCATTACTTACCCATCGCGTTGCTATTGAAGAGAAAAACGCCGTGACTCTTACTGGTATTCTCCATTACCAGGTAAAACGGGTGGGTGCCGTACAGATTCGTCTGAAAAGTGTTGCTCGAAAAACAATGCATAAACAAACGTGGCGAAATCACTTACGTCAACCGTCGGCGGGTTGTCGTGGTTAAACAGGGTGTACCGGGTCCACCGGGTGGAAAGCAGCAGGTTCGAAGTGTGCTCGCCCAAGCCATAAATATTTTTCGACGGCAGTTTCGCGCTTATTTGCAAAAACTGTTTCGCGTAGATGAAGTTCAAAAAATTGTTCGAGTCGAAACTATAAGGCAACATAAAAGCCACACCATAGAGAATAGATCATCGTTTTTTTTTACGAACAAGTAATTTTTCTTTGATTTTTGGACATATAAAACCAAAACTTTCGAAGAAAAAAAATTAAAACGTCCACCATTTTTTTTTTTTCACCCTAATTTGGGGCAGCCAGAAAGACGTCAAAACCCACATCGGGTACAAAGAAGCAAATGTTTTTTCGCAAAACGCACACATACTTAGACATAATTGCATCCATTAAGATCACTTGGACGAAGCCTTATTTATCTGTCCTAATTAAAAAACTTGAAAAGTAATCAACAAGTTGACATGTCGTAGGTACCCCCCCCCCCCCATAGAAGGGAATGTAAACGTAACATCTAAACTGTACCGGCATCTCTCGCGGAGTGGAGAAGCTCAGTCCGAATTCTTTATTAGCGCAAAAAGAAATCTACTCTTGCGATCACAAGTACCACGGAGGGCGCAGAAGTTTGGTACTTACACTACTACTAGGATAAAAATGTAAAAAAAATGAGCACTACATTTTTTTTTGTATTTTTATCTTTCTTATTCTTGGACAGGGTCTACCAATGGGGTGATAGAACCACAAGTCTCCATTTTGTCGATGACGCATGAGCCTTGGCACCGATAATACAAATTTTCATTGCATGAAATGTTATAAATATGCCAATCATATTGGTAGACCCTTTCAATTTCAAGAACTACGTACACGGTGGTGTTGTCCGCTTTCCTGACGACCTTGAAACCGGGCCGAAAAATGTCCATCTCGAAGACGTATTTTAAGTTGATGGCAGCGCTGTCCACTATCGGCATCTCCGGGTAAGCGGGCTCGTATCGGAAATTATAGGGATCCACAAACTAAAAAATCGATCGAGTTACCTACTGAACCTTCGAACCTTTGCCGAACGCACCTTGACGTGTAACCGGTCGTCCGTTTCGTATTTGACGATCATTTTGAGAGTTTCCACGTCGTCCGGGTACGCGGTCCTGTAGGTTCTTTTCAAAAAAGCGACGAGACCGAACGCGGTTTCGGTCACGTTGATGTACTTGTAGCTCTCGTAATTCGGCGGGTAAAAGCAGTACGGTACGTTTAGACTTGTCTCGAAATTTCTAGGTTTGGTTTTGGCCGGGATCCAGCAACATCCTCTAGCTTCGCACCCTGGAATGTTCACCAATATTGGATATTTGTCGTAGATACCCTAGATTTTTTTATTGTGAGCCACGAAAAAACAGTTAATGGAGACAGTTGTTTCAGGTTGGCTAACCATTTAAGGTGCACTTAGAATGGTTAAAACTCAACTCGTTATTTAAAAAGACAGTACTGTAATGTGAGGCACTCTTGATACCGTATAATCTGAAATGCGCTGCCCTCTCTCGCCGAGTGGCGAAACTACATAAGAACTCCAAATAGTTAGCGCAAAAAGAAATCTAGAGATAGCAATCCCATGGACTGAACAGACTAAAAGAAAATGTCAAATGACAAATTATTAGGATTTTCGATTATTGTTGCTTTTGAGATTTCAATCACAAGTTTTGGGAATATATTTTTTTAAAGATGTGGTTTTGGCATAATGCTGATTATGCGATTTTTGTGATTTTCAAATGAGTAATAAATTCTTTTTTAAATACTCGAATAAGCAGTTATTTAAAATTCGACAATGGTTTTACGCTGTGTAAATGAGCCTCAAAAAGAGCTATTTAACATCAGACCACTTACTAACTACTAACTGATAGAAAAATACAACGAGTGCAAAAGTATTCGACACAGTGGAACATAGCGCAGTACTGACGGCCCTGCGAAACTGCAGGGTTGACAGTAGATACATTAGCCTAGTACCATGAATCAGTTGTAGCTATATACTATCTGAACCAGAACGAACACACAAAACCAGTAAATATAGAAAGAGATGTTAAACAATGTGACACTCTGTCCCTAAACTCTTCACCTTGGTCCTAGAAGACATATTCAAAAAACTGAACTGGTTGAACAAAGGCGTAAACATCAATGACAAACGCCTCAATAGCTTACGATTCGCCGACGATATAACTCTAATCGCTAAAAACGTAAGGGAATTGCAATAAATTCAACTATATTTAAGAACTAAAATTTTTGACGAATGCATCTTGCCAATACTGCAGCACAAACATGGACCATCACACAGAACAGAAGATTCTAAGAGACACGCAACATGAAATGGAAAAGGCATGGCTGGAAATATCTGTTAAAGATAAGAGGGCAAATACATGGATAAGACAAAGAACACTGGTTACGCAGTGCACAAAGCCCTGAGACTGAAATGGGAATAAGCAGGACATGTTGCCAGGGGAGAAACTAACAAATGCCAAAAATCAGTCCTGGCTTTGAGACCAAATGAATCTCGTAGACCTAGGAGAAGACCACCAATAAGATGGATGGATGATTTAAAACTAATCAAAGATCGAAATTGGATACAAATAGCCTATAGCAGGAGAAAATGGAAGAAGGAACTTGAAGAGGCATATGTTCAAAAGTGGACGTAGAAAACGCTAAAAAAGAAGAAGAAATGAGCTTAATAAAATCATCACAAGAATCGCCATGTTCTAAGCGAGTCCGGTGAGCGCGACATATTTATGTCAATTTGTACAATTTTTTATTGATTGTATCTGGCAGTTTCTTGGTTTTTTTATCAGTGCAGTAAGCTGTAAATTTTATCACTATTTATTAGCTTATTTAGTATTAGCAAACAGGAGGAGGAGTTAGTATTGACTGCCCTTTATATAACATTTTATCATACTAGTTGGGTTTTTCATGGATGTAACATCGTTAAATGACAAGATAACCTTCACTCTTTGGAAAATATTGGTAAAAACAAAAAGGCGTTTAATGAAATTGATATGATGCAAGTCGCGCTTAAAATTTGAACCCTACCATACCCATGTATCGACTGTCACTCACCTTCCGCATTTGCCCCGTTCTCGGGGTAACAGTCCAATCTGACATCGTCGCTGACCAACTTGCATTGGTCGTAATCGGGAGCGGGCGGGTTCGGTAGCGATTTAATTTTTTTTTCTCCAAAGTCCAGCGAATCGTGGACTGCCAAGCCCGGTTCATAGTGGTCCTAACGAATTAACGTTGGTATTAGAGCGACAAGTGCCAAGCTACGTGTAAGGCGAAAGCGGAAAAGTTAAAAAACAAGCGGTACAAAACGAATGGTTTATTGACTTACTGCTTCTTTCACAATAGGGTTGTGCTTCAAATTCTGGTGTTCGTAAATAATATCAAAACAGTTCAATAGGTAGATTATTGGAAGGATCAGAAATACAGCCGACAATACAATGAACAGTAGGATTGTTGACAAACTTGGACGGGAGGTAGTGAATTCTTCTTGTCTAGCGAACTTATCGTAGCCGAGATTCTATAATAATAATAATAATAATTATATTACTTATATTTATATTGGTGGTGGTCAATTAATCATATGGTGATACCCCTATCTTGTTGCCATACATAAACTGAATTCTATCACCCCTGCATAACTACTGAATACCCCGAGTTATAAAATTTTTGAGGGTTAACTTTGCTTGGATTTTTTCTAATAGAGGCATACATTCATTGTATATTAATATATATTTTTTTTACTTAGACATACAAATAGGAAAAGCTTATCATTCTTATACCCAAGAATATCTCACATGGATAAGTTTCAATAATCTTTTGGGAACGTGTTTTACATCCCTAAATAAAGATTAAAATTAATTTTAGCATTAATTGTTTCTGACATTTATGATCTACTTTGATTCTCCTATGATATGCATTGAAAAAGATATAATAGTTAATTTTTATTGAAGGGATATATGACTGAATTAAATAAAATCAATTATCAAATAGTAAACTAATATTCACCAAAGCTGCCATTGTTAGTGTCCCTAGCTTAAATTAAAATCTATAACCAGACAATGTTACAATTTACTAAGGGGTTTCTTAGCATCTGCAAATTGTTTAAAAGTAGTTTTCAAACATAGAGAATAGTTTTACCTTTCCTTTGATTGGAGAGATATCAAAGGTATTTAGAGAAGATTCTTTGGTTTGTGAGCGCCTGCTGTCTGAAGGGCTTTCATTACAAAACGCTTCAAAGGACACAGAGTCAGACTGGGTCAGTCTCCGAACTCTTCTACTTCGGAAGCTGGTTATAATATTCCTTATTTTCATTGTTGGTAGAAATCAAGTCAATTTTCGAAAACCTTTATATTCTCGCGTGCGTTATTGTTCTTAAACTCACGTCATACCAAAGCTATTTCGTATTGATATCGGTAATTTATCAGTCCTACATAAAGGAAACAATTTATTGCGGCAACACATACAACAAAAACTTCCAAATGACAGATAGGAACCAGCAGAACACAGGTTAATAAACCAAAACTGACAGACGCCAAATTCTTCTTTTAACTACCCCTGGCTAGTGACACACAAAACGATAGTTGAGAGAAACGAATTTATTTTAAGACAGGATATATAAAATTCAACGAAGAAATGTATTTTTTTTTAATCCTAATTTAGTGGATATATGTGAAATACAACGGGATCAAGTCCAAGCGGTTCAGTCTGTTCAAAAAACGACTGCATTTCTTCAAAAAACTTAAATTTAAATCCCTTCTGCCTTTGATTACGGCACCTCAAGTTATAAGTTCTGATTAAGTTTCGCCATTTCATTTTGCACTCCTTGACCGTCACTTCGTGGCCGTCTTGGACCAGTTCTTGTCGAATTTGACGCCACAAGTCAGGCTTCTTGCTATGATCTTTATCCGCCAATTCGTGTTTTCTTGTTGTTATTATTGATATTAACTTAGAAGTGGCTTCGTCTGGCCAGCGACAAGGGAAATCTAAAACAACTTCGTTACCGCACATAACCATGTCATCAAATTTTGCCTGTCTGTTGTAATCACACATCACCTGCAACTAACCAAAATTTATGTTTCGGTTCTGTGGATTTGCCATGGCTCTCTTCTTAAACACCTCCAATTGTTTTTTCTGCACTTCAAGTAGCTCTTTTTTAATTTTCAGCTCTTCGTCGTGTCTTCGTTGCCTTCGGGCGTATTCCTCCCTTTTCATTTTTGTGTATTCGATAAATTGGCGGTCGGTGAAACAGATGGGCGGAAATGTTATAGTAGCATTGCACCCCAGGGAAGAGCCAATAGACTTACTATTGCCGTTTGTTATATTATACAAGGAGACTCCATTATCATCATAATCGTGGTCCATTGAAACAATACTTTCCGGGCCGAAGTAGTCCCTCATTTCACTGAAATACTTAAACTTCATTCGACCGGGATTTTTGATTTTGCAACACTCTTTATATGATCTAATCAAATTCTTCCACTTATTCTGGCAATCTACTAAAGCTACGTTAATTCCGTGATTGACGACGGCTTCGTGTATTTTAAGCCACACAGAACGCCGATTCCTCGCGTTTTCTAGCTCTTCCTTAAATTGCTGCACAATTTCAATAAGTTTTAGAGATTCTTCGGTGCTCCACCAGTGTTGAGTATCTATAGAAATCATTTTGTACTCGATTCATTACCAATTAAGCAAACTTAATACCTTTACGCTTCGTGTCGGGGCTCGCTTCTATCTTGGCAAAAAATTGATCTTCCGTACCTTGCAACGCATAAACTTCCGACATATCAATACATTGGACAATTTCTTCCGAATTAATTTTCACGTCGCCATTATCGACAATGCCTTCGCAATCGAACGAAGAGTCGTTTACGCAGTCGTTTGAATCGCAATCCGACATTGGATCGATTGTTTTAACTTATTTCTAATTCAGTCAAAAACGGGATTTAAATTTTTTTAAAAATGCAAGATGATCCACCAAAAATCGTTTAGACGTCGCGACTACACCCTAATATGGCCGACACGGCGCGTCAAAAAGAGAAGGAAATAAAAACCGACACGCATTAAACAGAGATAGGTTAATAACAAAGAGAAGTAGAGCGTTTTATCGAATATTCTTCAAATGTGCAGGCAACCGAACGATCACTTATTCCTAATAAATTAATTTGTATATATTTCAATGATTTGCCCATTTTCGTAGTTTTATTTTGCGCGTATGATACGGTTTGCGATTAAGAATACATATATGAATTTCGCATTCCTTAAACACATCTGCATGTCAACGCAAAACTTGAAAGAACGTTATAATTTAGGAATTTTTATTGGTTGTCAGAATAATATACTTAACGTTTAAAATCTGTAAATAAACTTTATCAGCTACTTCATTAACACTTTTAAAAATTAAATGTTTGCAAAACAAATAGTGAGATTGCGCATTGGAAATATAAAATTTGATTATTCGATTAGCGCAACAGGAATCGGCGAGATCGTTGGTTGCCGTACGAAATTGGTTAATCGACGATTTATGGATAAAATGCCGGGCGACTCGAGCAATTACAACATAGACAAATTCTATGAAGTCGTTTTGGACGCCACGAAAACTGCAGGCAAGGTAAACCCCAATCCTAACCTAACTTTAAGGAGACCTGTTTGGAATTTCCGTTTCAGTTGATAAACGACCGCATAAAACAAGAAAAGACGATCGAAACGAAATCGAGCAACATCGATTTCGTAACGGAAACTGACCAAGAAGTCGAAAAACTCCTGATCGACACACTGACTAAACACTTTCCAGATCATCAGTTTATAGGAGAGGAAACCATTTCCAGCGGGGCTCAGTGCAACTTGACCGACGCACCGACTTGGATAATAGACCCCGTTGACGGCACATTGAATTTCGTGCACTCATTTCCCCATTCGTGCATATCAATCGCACTATTTATCGAAAAGAAGCCCCAGATCGGTATCATATACAACCCGATGTTCGATCAATTGTTCACCGCTAGGCGGGGTAAGGGCGCATTTTACAACGGCGTTAAAATACACGTCTCGAACGTCAATAAACTGTCGGACGCGTTGTTAATGATGGAATTTGGCACCAGCAGGGATCCGGAGAGGCGGAAGGTGATTTTGGAGAATCAGGAAAAGCTGATGCCGCAAGTTCACGGGTACGGACACGCGCTAGCTGTCAAAACTTTGACAGGTGAAAAAATTTGACGTTTTTAGATTGAGGGCGCTCGGCTCGGCGGCGCTAGACATGGCGATGGTCGCTTTGGGCGGGGCAGACGCCTATTTCGAATTCGGTATTCACATATGGGATATAGCTGCGGGTGAGCTTATAGTGACGGAAGCAGGGGGCGTGGTAATCGACCCCGCCGGCGGCGAAGTAGACAGACTGTCTTGCAGGGTATTGGCAGCCAGCACTAGGGAGCTAGCCGAGGAACTTGTCGGCCAGCTCACGCAGTTCTATCCGAAGAGAGATTGAATGGTAATTTTTGAGGTTAGATGACCTATTATCTCTCCAATTTCCAGTATCATTTCAATTTCGGTTGGTTATATATTGGAATAAAATATAACCTAAGATTTGAATAAGCGATATTTTACGATAGCACTGTACCTTGAACGTCGAGCAAATAAAATAAAACCACTTGCAAACATTATATTGCTTATCATTTGTCGACGAGCTTTACACATTGATAAAACGATTGTTATTCCAATTAAACGAAGCAGATAAAGAATTAGCAAAAGAAATGTTCTTTTGTAGTTTCAATTGACAGATTAATCGATTTAAACAGCGTAATGACTGCAGAGAATTAAGCAATAACTGAGATTAGGTAGTGACATATTTGGTATTCATGGTTTATATTTATCGAATTTTTTAAACATAGAGAACCTTTGTAACGAATTTGTATACTTTATTTATTTCATCCTTTAATCGTTAGACTAGTTTTTACATTACAATCTATATAGTATACAGGGTGACTCAGTTTAAAATATAAATTTATCTCCCACCGTTGGAGCATTATTTTACAATTTCAAAATTTTAAAAAACCCATTAAATCGTTTTAACTCCGTAACAGCGTGAGAATCAAAATCGGATTTTTTCAATTAAATTTAATTAAAATTAAGTTTTGCATCTTACTAAAAGTGAAAAGGCCGTCTTAAAAATTACTATTTTTAACGAACTGGTCAAAACAACAAAAAACATACATTTTGAGAGTATTTCATATGCCCATTTGTGGCATTTTCCCAATGCAAAACTTTTTTTACAGATTAACTTTTAAGATAGCTGCATTATTTTATAGCTTTACGGTTTTATAGCTGACTCTATTGTAACTTTTCTGTCATCGCAGATTCTGGAAAATATTCTCAATCTGATTCAAAAATATGTTGAATTTTTTAATAATATATTTAACAACACATAACGGCTTCTCGGCAAATCTGCGATACATAGGCAGACATATATATTGATAAAAAAATAAAATTCAAGATAAATGTTTTGCCCGTAACCTGTAAAATATTTTTGAAAAAATCATAACAAGCCACATTAAATTATATAAAGACTTACAGGGGTGCTCAATTAAAAAGAAAAAAAAACACACACACAAGTTTAGTCTGTATATTAAAACTTGTGAGTCTCAGCAGAAAACGCCACTGTTGCCAACAAGCTAACTTTATTAATAATTAATATTGCATTGAAAATGAGGGTAACTTTTAGAAGGTTTAGAAAGTATGGTACACCCGTTTGCAATTACAAAGTACTTGTATCACAGGTCCTATTTTTTTAAAATATATTTAAAGCTATCCTAATCTCCATTAATCACATTTAAATTGGTCAAAATAGAAAAGTACGTTTATGAGTAATTAAAGTAAAATCTTTAATACCATTTGTTTAAAAATATTTGGTCATTTATTGAAGAATTTAGGGATCTTAATTTACACGGATATTATACTCGCAAGGAAGAATGGACAATGGACCCATGAAATATTAAAAAAAAAACTCGAATTTTATTCAAAAACCTTTAACAAATCATACCCACGTCGTACGTGGGTATCATACTTACCTATAACCCGCCTGGAGTTAAATTTTCACTTGACAATTCAAACTTCAACGCTACAAAAGAAACAAAACAGAGTTAGCGATAGAGAACGGGACCTCGTAGCGATATACTTATCCTTTTCTTCTCAACCACACGACACTTTGCAGCCCCCGTCGATGGCGCCCCGCGCCCCTGAAAAAGAGATAACACAATCGAATTAACGCGACGCCTCGGGCGAGGGGGCGTTCGACCCTTTGGCGAGAAAGCGTCCAAAGAGTCGAACCACTCCCGAATAACCGGAACCGCAAAATATAGATATATATAATCCATGACCGAGGGTTGTTTTTACCACTTTTCAACTACCTTTAGCGATATCCGCGTGGACGACCGCCACCCTTAACCGTTTTTCGACCTCACCGCGCTTGCTCACACAGGTCTGCAACAAAACACAAATAAAAATGGCGGGCAGTCGGTACGCGCCGACGCGCGAAACTATCGAAAAAGAATACCGTGAATGTCGCAGAATATTTATTGAACAAATAATATAAACGCACATATGTTACACAGTGTTTTTGGTTCGCTTACAAATTTACAATTTTTTTTAAACCGGCCCTGCGTTTTTTTGAACTGTTTACCTCGCGTTACTCAGTAATCAGATCTTGTCCTGTATAAAGGGATGGGTAAGGGCGTTGTTGAGGCTGATCCTTTTACCGGGATCGATGGCCAATGCTTTCTCCAGCAGATCCTTTAGCTGGGTGACTTTTTTCAACTGGTCGGGAGGCAGGGCCTGACCGGCCACGAGCTCCGACTGCAGATCCCGCGACACTTTGACCACCGTCATCACCACAACCTTTTCCTGCAACAGAGGCACAAAAGAAAAACATTGTATTATTCTTGTAAGGTACACATCTTCTGGATTTTTCCTGTGATGTGCACCTACAAGTTCCACAATTTACGAGTTTTTGTGAAAAAAATAATAATGGTATGGTCCTCTAAACGTTGACCCACACGTGTCAGCTTTGCTACTGTGTGTCTCTGCAGAATGATTTGGGGATTATTGGTTCTTGGTGTGCTTCTAATAACCTACCCCTGAATACAGATAAATGTTTCCCAATGATATTTTCAAACAAAACTGATACTATAACTTTTAATTATTATCTGGATCACGTATTATTAAGAAAATGTGACAATTTTGAAGATGTAATGGATGTAACGTTTGACACAAAACTTTCCTTCAGAAATCTTGTCGATAAAGCCTTGGGAAGTGCAGTCAAAATGCTAGGATTCATAGTGAGAAACTCTAAAGATTTTGCAAGGGTTTCTGAAATTTCTTCACTTTCATGTAAATGCTTTTTACAAAACTTCTGGATTCCTTCTGAGTCTGTTTTTGCTGAGTCGAACTTGCTTATGTTTCGCCAATCATCCTGTTGGCTTCTTCAGATTCAGTCAAGCTCTGAAGAAGCCAACAGGATGATTGGCGAAACGTCAACAAGTTCGCCTCAACAAAAACCGACGCAGGAGGAATCCAGAAGTTTAATAAAAAGTATTACAGTAGCCTGTGGGAGTTTCTTTGAAATTTTTTTCATGTAAATGGTTTCTACCCGGCTAGGGGACTGCCACAGAGTGATTTATTACTAATGTTTAAGGTTCCCTGCACTGTCGAATCATAGGAGGTACTTTTTATTTCAGTTTTTATATAAACTTTGCAATTCATTAGTGGCCCTGAGTTGCTGAGCCAGCTGAACTTTCATGTTCAATTTTTTTTTGCACGCCCATGGTTCACATGATTTTATATATATTTTTTTGTTCCAATACACGTGGTTAGTTTTGAAATTATATTGTTATATTGACTTTCAACTAAATTCGCCATTTTCAATGGAAAACAATGGCCAGAAAAATTCGAAGCTATTAAACTAACACCAAAGGAAGTCCCTGCCCACAACATTTTCATAGTGTGCTTATTTTAATATAAAATCTTAAAATTTTAGTTATATTTTGAGTTAACTCTAAGATATTTAATATAGACTATAGAAAATAACAAGTTTTAGAATAGCTGCTTACAGCTTATAGCTACTAGAGATATAGAGGCCCTATGCCGATAACGCAGGAACTCATGACTCATGAATATTGTATTGTATGGTAATACAGTTTCGTCATTGTTTTACCATATATATTAAATAGCACTTACGTCACTGTTCTGGCGGAGCAGTGATATATCGAAATATTAAAATAACCCTTTTTTTAAATCTAATAAACTGATGGTACCTGTTTTTTTATGTAACAATTAAAGCCAAAATCTCACTTGGCATTTTCAATGCTCGCGCTCCGAAAAACAAATCGTTTTTCGGTAAAATTTCGAAACTCTATATACCAAATTTTGTTCTAGTAATTATGGATTATTTAATATATTCGTTGACACCCGGTATATTCTTGAAATATTTAATAAATATTCATCAACATTATTAGTTTTGTTTAAAATTTCACACAGGAAAAGTTAACTCGTCAACAATAAATTATGGACTCACCTCTAAAAAATAACCTAACCCCAATCTTACGCGAAATACAAGGATTTTTTTTTTGCAAAATTCTTAAAACACATCCGACCCTTATCAACAGACTCACCCTTTCTGTGACTTTGTCGATCTCGTGATAGAGGAAGTTACAGTTAGGGTCAAAGTGTTGATCTTTGAACGCTCCCTTGCGGATCACCTTGTTGGGAAACTTGCCCTTCACGTCCATAAAAAACTTCAGCATCTGATTGTTGGACTTGCCAGAAAACAATATCCTGCCAGCGTACAGTTCGTAAATCGTACAGGCGGCGGACCACATGTCGATGCCGTATTCATATGGGATCCCGAGTATGATCTCGGGGGCGCGGTAGAAACGCGACACCAAATATGGCGTTATTTCGTTCTCGTTGATCTTGGACGCCGACCCGAAATCACACAGCTTCAGCACCAGTTTGCTTTCGTTGACGAGAATGTTGTCCGGTTTAATATCTGAAACGAGTACAATCAACGTCTGACCTGTTAAACTCTTAGGGCACCATACATAAAATAACTTCGATGTTGAGGTCAACGCAGGTGCACCAAATTCATTTCTAATAATAATAATAATACATGTTTATTTTTTGCACTTAATAATAACATTTGTCTATGTATACTTGGAAACAATTTTAAAAAAGATCAATGTCCGGTCCCTAATTTCATAGCTACTTATATTTTAACATATGGTATGTATCAATTCATTAACATGAATAAATAAAAAATAAAAAAACAAAACTGTGCAGTATCTTACTAATAGAAATCTACTTCCGCTAATTATTTGTGACTAATAGATTGATTATAAAGAAAAGTTTTATAATTTTTTCCAAAACATGTGGGCATCAGTTTCTTCACGTCATTGGGACAACAGCATTTGTAGACACAGTAGGAAAACGATATTTCAAACAATGCTTTACGATGCGGGGGAGGAGAAATAAGACCTCCATATGAAAACATGAAAATCAGTTCGATATTTTATTTTTTCTAAGAGATATGGAGGGTAGGCATTTAAAATTATATTATGGTTAAAAACGATTGCATGAAACTGTCGAGGTTTTTGCATTGATAGCCAATTTGCCTCAATCGTAAACATGACTTTTGCACTCTCTGTATTCTGGTTACATCTTCTTGACCCAGATAAGGACCATAAACCACGGAGTTATGCACTTGATATCCTTGTCTATAATCTCCAAAACGAACCATTTTAGGACTTCAGTTGATATGAATACATTATTATATATATAATATATATATAATATATAATATATATATAATATATAATATAATAAATATTAATTTTAATTTTAATTAATAAAATAATTAATAATTTTGCTGAAAACGTGACTGTTGTTTTTCAAAGTTCCATGAAATTCTCACAAAAAAGAAAGTGGTTTGCCAGAGCAAGAACTTAAAAGATGTGTCCCTAAAAACGTTTTAAAAGTTGTATTGCTGTGAAGACAATTTCGGTGTAAATATAGCATAAGCTTAGTTTAAAATTTTGTTGTTATGTATTTTTCTATCTTGAGAAGACATGCCAAATTATATTATTACATTATCAACCTGATAAACAGATTACGAACTCACGTGTTACAAGCGCAAAGATATTAAAACAAAAGGCCAAGCTGCACTATCAAAGCAAATCAAAGAAATCAAAAGTGTAGTGAATATACAGAAATAAGTGACACTCTTAAATTAGACTTTTCTTGTCAATCTCGCGACATTCCCAACTAAGTTTACTGCCCCCACTGCTCCCAAAAGACAAAACTAAAAAAACAGATTTTTTATAATTATTTTTTTAACATCCCTTTTGGGTTGATAAATAGATGAGAAATAAATAAATTAATAAATATCGCGGAAAATATTTCGCGAACCCTGTATAAACAATAAAGCAAATAAATACAAAAACTGTAGTTGGTTGTTGTTGAATCGAACTTGGTGACGTTTCGCCAATCATCCTGTTGCCTTCTTCGGTGCTTAAATGAAACTGACTCGCATTCTGCTCTGTACTTGCTTATATATTGTTTGAGGGAGGCGGAGCTAAAGAAGGGGCATAAACATCCACGAACCATAGGCAACCAAACAATCTTAACCGCGATTCAGGTCCTTATCTTTCACCAATATGGGAATCAGTCACCCCGAGACAATGTTTATGCCCCTCAGTCAGCTCCGACCTCTCAAACAACATATAAGCAGGTACAGGTACGAGACAGTTTCAGTTAAGCTCTGAAGAAGCCAACAGGATGATTGACGAAACGTCAGCAAACCAGAAGTTTTGTAAATAGAATTTGAAAAAGACATTGAGGTTGTAAACAACAAATAAATAAATAAACCTCATCATCCTACCTGCATGCAATATTCCCGTCTTCTTCAGTAACTTTAACGCCAAAAGCAACTGTTGCGTGTAGCTGCGCACCGCCTTTATGTGCAGCCCGACATTCTTGCCGTACTTCTTCAGCACTTCGCGCAGATTCATCAGCAAAGGTTCAAACACCATGCACAAGTGTTGCTTGTGGAAGAAATGGCGTATCAACCGGAGACAATGCAACTTATCGTCGGGATCGGCGTCGTTCAGCTTCTTGAGTATCTCGAGCTCTTTAAGTCCCGTCTTGTGCCTGAAACCCGGTTTTTGTTATGACCAGTTTCGGGCGATTTTTTGAGAGCATCTTTACATGATCTCATTGTTCCTTATTATCTTGACGGCGACCTCCTGGTTGCCCCTGGCCTGATCTCTGGCTCTCACGACGTTGCTAAATACGCCCTGACCGGTATACCCGTACACCATGTACCTCGAATCAAGGATTTCACCAATCCGGACCCTATAGTAACCTTCCGCGTCATCCCAGTTGTCGGTTAACGCGGGATTTTCCGCTTTCGATCCTTTCGATTTTACTATGGTCGAAGGCGACTAAAACGCAAGTATTTTCGTTCGATTTTTAAACTTATAGCGTTAGTTTATTTTTTTTTAACCCAAAGAAGCCATGCAAGTTATAGAAAAAAAGGCTAGAAACCGGCAAACATCGCACTAACTCCACCACCACGGAAAACATAAATAGAAAACCACTTTTCTTCCCTGGGCGATTGAATCACAGCGCCTTATTATTTTCTAATTAGGGAATGATAAGCTCACCCCCATACAGCTACTAAAGATATAGAGGCCCTGCCTATGCCTATGATACACTTATGAAGCAACTATGAAAAAAAATTTGAGGTTAATTCAATATGCGCATGGGCGAGATTTAAAATCCCCTTTAAGATCCCTTTTCTAGAAAAACAAGTTAAGTGTGTAGAAATCACTGTTTAAAAAGCAAATGGCACATGCATAGAAAATCATTACCTCATATCAAAGCCGCCTACTAAAATTTGAGAATTAAAACTTTAAATATTCTGCAATTTTTCATATTTTGAGCGCTGTATTCAACTATGTTATGCCAATGGCGGTCCAATTTGTAGATTATAAGACTTTATTATATAAATGTTAAAAAAACAATAAAAATTTTAAAAAACTTACATTGGTGTTTGTTTTAAAATCTTGTTCAGCAAACATGTCCCACTCTGTTGTTTTCCCTTTCACATCCTTATTAATAGCCTTTTTATCAGTTAAATCCTCCTTAAGCTTCATATTCGGAAGCAAGGGGGGAGTTAACGATTCGTCAGTACTGGTTTGCACAACTCTTTCCTGCTTTTCCACCGTTAAATTATTGATAATTTTTTTAGGACCTTCCGGTTTAGGAGGTTCTTCTTTTGCCGGCTCAGGGGTGCTTTCTTTGGGCTCTGGCGATGTTGGAACTGACAAGTTTGAGTCGTCATTGTTAGCTCCCAATCTCTAAAAGAATATAATTTTTAAATATGTAACTCTAGATAGCAGTAGCTATTTTATATACTTTTAGTAGCTCTTCGCGTTGTTTTCTCCTCTTCTCAATAATTGCCTCTTCATCTTCATCATCTTCATTAAATTCAATTTCCACTTGGACATCGCTGTCGCTGGTCTCTTCTTTGGTTTTCTGCTGACCCTCACTGAAGGAGTCCTTGAACTTATCCTGTTTTTCTGATTTTTTGTGCCTATCTGATCTGTGATGGTGATGGTGCCTTCTATCTCTATCCTGAGACCTCTGGCGCCTTTTTTCAAGCTGCAATCTTCGTTCCCTTGACCTGTGAGATTCGCGATTTACGCGGTCCCGAGCATCATATTTGCGATCCTTGTCCAATCTTGATCGTTGATCACGATCACTTACATGAGAACGAGACCTTTCTCTTATTTCCCTTAGCCTGTCCCTTTCTTTCTCCTTCTCTCTTTCTTTTTCCTTTTGTTTCTCATATTCTCTTTGCCTCTCTTTAATTCTTCGCTCTCTTTCATACCGTTCTTTCTCTTTTAGAGCCACCTTATCTACACTAATTGTAGGCTTTTTGGGCTTAACTTTTTCCACTTCATCTTCGGAATCATCTAGTAAAATCACTTCATCTATTTGCTGGCCATTTTGCTTAGTTTTATCAGTTGCCACTTCAGCATCAGCATTAGCTAATTCAGCTTGAAGAAGTTCTTTCTGCTTCATCAATTCTTCCAGATCCATGTCTGCTTCTATTACATTGGTATCAATTGCATCACTATCGCAATCAGCTTCCGGCAAATCCTCACTCTCTGATGATATAACTTCTAGGGAATGAGTTACAGTTCCCAACCCTGAAGCCACAAAATCTACCACTGTTTGCGAGTCTGTTGCTTTTATTACACCATTATCTTCACCAATAACTTTTCCATTCACAATTTCATTAGTGGAATCTTTTGCTTTCTGGGGTAATTTTTCCGGCGTATAACGCTCATTTTCTGCATCATCTTTTTCTTTCAATTTAGTTTTGTGTTTTTTATGTTTTTTGTGTCTCTTAGGTTTTTCAATTTTCTCGGCGGTACGTTTTTTGTGCTTGTGTTTATGTTCTTTCCGGTGTTTCTTTTTAGGTGGATCTTGATCTTGTTTGGATGAGTCTTCATGGTGACGTTTCTCTACCAAATTTCTAAAATATGAGCATTATAGACGCCGTTAGAGCGATTTTAATATTTCTTACTTTTCCATTGGGCAGTTCCTTGTCTAATTATTAAATTTAGGTAATAATTACGCTACAAATTCGGAAACGACAATATATAAAATTGATCAAACGTCACCATAAACAAGATAACCATAGACCATAGAGTGCAGACAACAGAGAGTTATTAGTAAGGGAACTGCAAAAAATAAATATCTAAAACAAAAACGATTGGCATCAATGGTCATCAGTTTTGAATTCGCAAAGAATTTGGTAGAGAAAACACTTTCAATCTGAGCTTCAAAAGAAATAAATAAAATGTTTTTTCCTTCATCAAAATCAGTTCTTTTAAACATCGAGAAATTATTTACTATGAAACTGACGCCTCATAATTTTTGTTCACACATTTCCATGGCTTGAAAATCCATTCATTTATCTATGCCACAGAACATTCCTTAAACGATTGTAAAATGGTAGATACCCGTAACCCTTATAATTGTAGATGTTTTATTTCGTTTTTTGTAAAAAAATAAAAATATGACAACAATAATAAACCAAAAAGAGTATTTAAAGAAATATTTGGGTAAGAGGAGAGAGCCTGGCGAAAAAAAAAGAAAGAAAAAAAAACCCAAAGTGATTTTAAGTGGGTATGTTTTTAAATGTGGTTAAGTGTTAGTACATAAAAAAACATTAAATTTGAATTTTTAGTCTCAAAATCGTCGACGACAACGTAGATATCAAGTTGGATGAAGAAATTAAAATCGATCTGCAAGCCAATAATGAAGAAGCTCCACAAATAGTGGCAGTTATTGATGATCGTCCACCATCCCTTAGAATTGATGAAAAGACCAGAAATAAATTATGGAAACCCATTGGGGAAACGAACGATAGCATTAAACTAGAAATGCCCATTAAATTTGAAGGTGGGTTTAAACTAAATAAGTTGCATACAAAAATGCTTAATAGTCCACCTCATTCACACTCTAACTCTCACAAAGTAGTGAAACAGGAAATAGTAAATGTAGAATATGATGACCATTCACCCTCTCATGCGGAAAATAAGTTACAATTAATATCCAGACCCATAAAAGAAGAAGATGTAACTCCACCCAGGAGTCAGTTTTCAGATAATTCACCGCAACGGAAGGAAAGCAATAGAGATATTTCACCTCTTAGAAAAAGAAAGACGCGATTTCAGGATATCTCGCCTCCACCTGTACCAAAAGACAACTTTATTACAAAAAATGAAGATAACTCACCTCCAAGAAGAATCAGTAGAGACATGTCACCTCCCAGAAAACCATTCCAGGGTTCGTCACTGAAGTCTACAACAAATTCTTCAAGGTGGGTTGAAGATAATTCCCCACCCCATCGAAAGCAGGGTACTAGATCACCTCAAAGAAAAATAAAAGATGATATAGACAGTTTGCACTATAAAACATCTAAAGGTGAGGATAGGCCTCCTTCAAGAAGGATAAAACAAGGAAGTCCAGATAAGTCACCACCTAGGAGACCCAGAAGTGGGAATAGAGATGAAAGTGAAGATAATTCTCCACCCAGAAGACACAGACATGATAACAGGTCGCCTCCATGCAAATTGAAATGGGAAATTCCAAGTAGTTCCTCCAGTAGAAGTCACAGGTCTCCTTCAAAAAAAAGAAAATATGAGATTGCATTTAGTTCAAGTCTAGGAACCAATAGAAACGCTGCTAGATCACCTGCAAGAGACAGTTGCCCTCCCACATTTTCAAAAAACAATATCAAGTCTCCTCCAATAGTTGTCACACAAGAAGAGGCTGAAAATTCCCCTAATAAAACTGTTGTGGTGCGCAGAAAAGCAAACCAAATGGTAGACCCAGAGGAACAGGAAAGAAGACTGCAAAAAGAAAAAGAAAATAAAGAAAAGTATGATAGGTGGGGTAAAGGATTGAAGCAAGTTGAAGCTCAAGGTGTAAAAATTGCTGAAGAATTGCATGAGATGAGCAAACCATTGGCCAGATATGCTGATGATGAAGACCTGGAGAAGTACTTGAAGGAGCAAGAGAGAGAGGGAGATCCAATGCTTGCTTATATAAGGAAGAAAAAGAAAAAGGTTGCTATTGAATCTGGAAAGCCCAGTAAGTCAATTATCATTGTGGTAGAAATAGTTTTTTCAAGGGAAATATTCTGATTTTGCTTTTTTTTTTTTTTGCAGTGAAGCCCCAGTTTGAAGGGGAATACATGCCTAACCGTTTTCTGATTGCTCCGGGATACCGTTGGGATGGGGTGGATAGATCTAATGGTTATGAGAAGAAATATTTCGATATTCAGAATTCGAGAAAAGCGGACGTCGAGGAATCTTACAAGTGGAGTACTGAAGATATGTAACATTCAACCTTTAGAGATAGATATATTTTTTGTAAATATAGATTACATTATATATTGTTATACCTTGTGGGTCCTACCTGTAACGAGCAAAAAAAAAAAAGACGGAACAATCTTCAGCTAACGGCAAAGAAATTTTCATATATATATGGAATATGTGATTGAGGTTAGTCAACACGTCCTAAATAAATGGTGAAAAAAAGTTATTAAGTTTGGCAATATGTGTTTGGTAAAATTATGATTCAAGTTGTGGCCGAAATAAATTTATTTTGTTTACTGTTGATGCCCTAGTTTTATTTCACCATCCCCCGTGTATTGTCACTGCCCTAAAAGTAATATCAAATTGGTATTGAAAACTAGCATCCCACAACAGCCAAAACGTTTTCACACAAATAGTAGAAGCACCGATTTAAATCTTCGGTTTGATATTTAAAAAAAATTTAAGTCGATATTTTTGTAGAGAATGTCGTCCACAGTGCTGATTTTGCGCATCGCTTTGTCAAAAGTTGACAGGGGAGTGGCAAAGAGGGCGCTTCCGGCGAGCCGTTTGCAAATGTTTCGTCCGCGTCATTTCTCTAGCTTGGCAGCATTTGTTAGCAGCCCTGTTTTCGGAAGAAAACTTAATGTTCCCCTAGACAAGATCGACAAAATTTAAAAGGTTTTGGTGGTTTGGCAATTTAGCGTTTTGTATTTTGTTTATTTGCGTTAGGTTATAATTGCATGAAGTGTTATGGAAATTAGCGTACGCTGGGCATCGCCCCGCGTCTTTCGTTTAGGCGAATTGCGAACTGAGTGTTTCTTTTTGCAGCGACAATATGAATAACACTACTGGTAGTGTGTGTTTGATTTGCAACGGGAGCTGTGCATCCATCAGGAATACCATACAGATATTCAACAAAGATGTAAGTTTTCAATTAACATGAATTACCTGAATTATTTGTTTTTTTTTTTTACTATTTTAGCATCTGCTGCCTGAGGAAGTAAACCTTCCAGAAGTGCTAGCTAACCTTTTGGATAAAGAGATAAAACAAGACGGTGTACATTCCCAGATAATATGCAAGAAATGCTTTAAATTAATAGACGAGTATGACGAACTTCAGAGCAGGGTAAGCGAAATTAAGAGGGAGATTTCCAGCAGCTATGCCAATACCATAGAAAAACGCGAAAAGGAAAGTGGAGATGATTCGAAAGATTTTATTGATATGGAGGTGAGGCCGAAGTTGGTTAAGCAGAATGTTTTGCCAAAAAAGATCCTTGGCATACCATCTAGCGATGAGGAATCCATGCAGGTTTGAATTTGTGTTGCTTGGGGTTGATCTAAGTAATTTTATGTTTTTTGGAAAGGATAAGCCTCAGGGGGGAGATATTCAGATGTCTTTAGTAAAACTGCAGAATATTAACAGCGACTTTGCTATGGATACAGACAGCCAGAGCTTTCACATGTTTGGGGATAATTCTGATGAGGATTTGGGACAGGCGGCGTCCGAACAAAACAAACATATTATAAGTAAGAGTGGAATCAGCCAACACCTACATCACAAGGCCCTGCAATGCTAAAGTATGAGTCATCGCATTAAAGACCCCATAAATCCTGGTTTCTGATTGCATGGTGTTCATAATATCAAATGTGGGTGAAAGATGGTAAAAAAAAACGTTTTCATTGCTCTATATTATTTTATTGTTCAAAAAATAGTGCAAATATGTAGGATAGGTAAAAATGGTCTAGAAATTCATACAGTTGTTGTGCATACATATTTTGATTATTTTTTTAATGAATCATGTGAATCAAAATTATTTTATTTGGATCAACTAATTTATAAGAAGAAGCATTACCTTTTTATATGTTCTCATAACAACTTTCTCTTTACATTTTTTGCCTATAAATTGACTTTAACAAAAACTTAATTTGATACACACAGTACACCTGAACTAGAGATTATATTATTAGCACTGAATAAAAGCTTGCCTGTTGATTCAAGAGTGCAGATTGCCTCTTTCAATTTCATTTGGTTGAACATGATATACCATTTTTTTCTGCAAGGTCTCCCCTTGTTGGAATGAGAAAATTTCCCTCCTTTTCTCCATTCTTTCAGTTGGGAACATAGCAAGTGTTTTCCATAATTATATCAAAAAAATATAGCAACACACGAAACACGTGGCTTTATAGTTATTAAAAAAGACAAATATTTTGATCTCGCACACTAATTCTAAGAATGCTAAGGAGGACTAAATTATTCAAAATTTCGCGAATACTGTTTCTCTTAATTTGTTGCTTTTCGTGATGACTCAACGAATATTTACAGTCTGTCATTTCACGGCCTTATTGTACTGTTGGATCAGTATATGTGTAGTCACATTTACGCATTTTATTTAAGAAAACATAAAAGTTGTGAACGTCAAAGCTGAACCGGGTCTAACAGATGAGTCGGGCGGTTCTGAAACTAAACCCGACAACAAACCAAACATTTTAAAAAAGAAAGTGTCGTCAGTGAGCAGTCAAAATTTCGTCCAGACGATTATAGTCGAACAAACTGATGACAAACAAAAAATTGAGGAATTTGGCTCCATCCCGGTAGTTGCCAGGGATGGAAACATGTACACATGCCTGTTGTGCTCAGGGGACGAAACGGTGGGTGGTAAATATTGCCAAAACAGTTTCCCCTATCCATATTTCAGGTTGCAGGTGAAGCCAAAGCCATAATAAGCCACGTAAGACGCGAGCACGACACCCGTTTGTATATTTGCGACGTGTGCGGGCAGGACTTCTCGAAAAGAAATCTGCTGTCTGCGCACTTAGACGAGCATGTTGAAAATGAGGAGGGAGATTTTCAGTGCGAAGTTTGCAATAGGATTTTCAATAATCTCCGCCTTTTTAGAATCCACCGCAGGTAATTTTGGAGTGGGGTGAGTGGGTCGGCTTTAATTCTAACCTATATTTGTGTGTTTAGAATGCACTATCCTCAAAATAAGGCCTGGACGTGCGAGACTTGTGGCAAGCGGTACAGCAGTAAAAATTTGCTGGAGGAACACGTCAATACCCACTTGGGGTTGCGGCCGTACATTTGTCAGGTTTGCGGGAAGGATTTCTCCAGCAAATATACATTTAAAGCCCATGAAAAGACCCACGAAATGAGACCAAGACCATTTAAGTAAGTTATGTCGCCGCAAGATCCCAAATTTGTCTCCATAATTTGCACAACAAATGTCTGTAATTACAAATTTTTAAATTTTTCCTCTCCCTAATACTTAACTTACTTGATATTGCAACTTGCTCACCATTGTCACTAAGCACGCAAAAAAAGATCAAAATAAATAAAAAATAATCATAGTTCTCCAAAAAAAGTCAACCAAATTAATACATAATTTTCAAAAGTATTTGTCTTCCTAGACTACTACTTTATTGCCTAAGGTCCTGTTGGTGCACTTTTCACCTTTAAGGTAAATCTGACAGAAGGCTAACACCAATAAAAAGAAACTATTGTATACATATATACATAAATATCAAATTAGAAGCTCCAAAATTCTAGAAACTCCATTATGAATTGCAGTATTGCTGTGGGGAATAAACGCAAAAAAACCTATGTGTTCCCCCAGTGAGTCAGATTTTTATATGCTAAACAAAAATTAAAGCAAAAAATAACACTCCCCCCGCCCCGGACAACATAAACTGATTAAAAATAATCCGAGCATTCCCAGCTTGGTAACAGACCAAATTCATTGCCGGCCTCTGATTGTGTGCGATTTTGTTTACCCAGATGTTAAAAAACTGTGTTAGCTGCTTGAGAGAGAATGTATTAGAAATTAGACATAAGAAAATATTTTGTTATAGCATTAAACAATATTTATTTATCAGAATCTTGGAAGTTGTTGGAATCTTGTCTAAAGCTATTTTGTTACAAATATTAAAAAAAGTGGACAGTGTTAGTTCCATAGGTCCTTTTTCATTAATGTTTGAGACTTGCATTTTTAAAGTGTCTTTTTTTTCTTTCCTTTTTATTATAGGAGAGAGTAGTAGTAGTAAACAACTACAATATTTTAGCAGCAATATTTGGAAAGACAGAAGTATGGAGGGAAATTGCTTCAAAATTGATTAAACAGAATTGGTTAAGACATTCACTCTTTGTTCTAATGGAATTTTTTATGTATATTTGCAATTCCGCACGTTTATTCAATTTTGAGCATTCCTCAACCAAATAGGCCTCATCAAAGTACAACAACGAACTTCATTCGGAAAATCATAATTTAGTAAACGGCAAAGGAAAAATACGGACGACGTGGATGTTAATACCTAGATAAAAGACACTTTGATATCAAAACAAAAGCTAAGAAGATTGCAGCCTTAATTGTATTGTAATTATTTTACTAAAATTGTCAATTTTTTTCTCTAGGTTTGTTTTTGTACCTAAATGATTACTAATTATGAGTATTCATTAACATTAGTTATATTAAAGCATATTCATTTATACCCTTCATATGATTCACACTACACAGGATTCATTGGATTTATAAACCATAGGGTGGGGAATAGTGAGTGGAAAGACAACTACAGTTTTTTTTTAATTATGTTAACTCCATACATAACCATATAAAATTTACCTTAGAGATGGAACTAGACAAGTCTTTAAACTTTCTGGACATAACTATAACTAAATTACAGAATGAATTGGATTTTTCCATTTGATACAAATCCTCACACACGGACACAGATAATAACTCAAATCACCCTCACACAAACAAAATGACCGCTTTTTATTCTTATATCTACAGACTACTTAATATACCGCTTTCCACAGAAAATTTTGAAAAATTAATTATTATAAAAAAAACAGTTTTTAACAATGTTTGCGACCCCTCTCTGATAGATATTAAACACTGAATCCAAAATTTATAAAACAATAAAATTCACAAAAGAACCTAGCAAGAAATCGTGTATCTACATTTGGTCTGAAGATTGGTTTTGAAACTAAAAATACAATAGGAAAATTTTTAAAAAACAATCAAACTAAATTACGTAAATTCGGAGTCTATAAGTTAAAATGTTGATATTATGTCCCAAAATTTATATCATACAATACATTCAAGAAACGCATTAACATAAAATAGCGTCTAAAAATTAAAGTTCGGATTCGAATTCCATATGCCATTCATATAAATTCAGAAATGCAGAACTTTGACCATAATTTAAATAAAAACAAGAAGCTAAATTTTTTGGAAGCTATGGAATTAACAGAATAAATTAAAATAAAAATTTATAACCCTACAATAACGGTAATTATGAATCTACCACTACCTGTGGAAATCTAAACATTTTTTGTTCTAATTTAATTGAATAGTGAATTGTGACGTGACTTGTGAAGTGACACCAGTAATTCCAAATTCTGGCTTTCGACCAAGACCGATGTTCAACAGCCAACATGACCGCTGAGTGATCGTCAGTATTTTCTTAAAATATCCTATTAAATCTTAAGGAAAAAAATGGAGTTAAGGTGTGGGAAGCGTGGTCTAAAAAATACTGTAATTCAGTGAAAGCAGAAATTATGCATGTTTGTAAGTGGGAGTCCCATATAAACTAACTTTATTTTTTTAAAAGTAACATAACACTTACTTGTGTTTAGGCACATTCTTCTCCTTTCAGTTGTGACCGCAAAGTTTTTTTAGTGGGTGCGCATTTTTTGTCTAAAAATGTGTGGAGATAATTACCAAACATCAAAAATGAGAACAACAATGGCATCGCACAGATTGCTAATATTCTGTGATAATAGCAATAACTTTTCGCGGCGTTGCCAATAATATCCGGATTTCAGAGTCTAACATTGGGTTTTTATAAAATTAAAGCAATTTTCCAGAAAAAGGAGTAAGATTATTTTCAGCTGTATGAAAATATAGCTTCCTGCGGCGCATCAATTTTTATCTCAGTAGGGCCACTATATTATCTAATAGTTACATGATATATTACATGGTTTATTGTCAAAAGCATCAGCGCCGTACAACGGCCAGTGTGACAATTCAAGGCTTTTTTAGAAAAACCTCCATAGAAATCTTTTCGGTTTTTAGGTGTGGTGCCCCCATCTATTAGATCAAACGTGATATATAGTTTTGGCAAAAATTTTAATTTATGTCATTTAACAATTTGTTATGAATAAATACAACAGCTTATTTATCTTCTTCATTAACTTTGGTGAAACGATGTAAATCAAATGCGTGGTTTCTAAGCTGCTGCACAATTAAAAAAATGGTACATAAAACTTATTTAATCTTATTATGCATGCGTCTTTAATATGTTCGTTTTTATAAATTCCTTACTTCCAAAAATATAGTTTGAAAGTTTTGCATGCCTATGATTTTTTCTAAATTTTTATTAACCCCAAATATACTTATTACGTACGGACTTTCCAGCTAGTTTCTCTGGAATACGGTAACAAGAAAGTCGAAAAAATTACTTTCCCTAAGCGTATCTAGATCACAAACTTAAGGCATAACGCCTACTATATTTGTTCTTCTGTTGTACCCATTTATTGAACAGAGAATCATTGTTCATACAACCAATACAACCAGGAACGTCACGTTTTCTTTAACGCTCTGGATAAGCCTCCATCGTAGTTCAAGCACAAAGCTAATAATAATCCACAGATCGCAAAGCAAAAATAACAAATAATTACCGAAAATTCATTATGTTTTAATTTTAATTTTGTTTTATATTATTTTGTTGTTTACTATTTTGTTTATGTGAATCCTATTTTATATTGGGCGGTTGGCCCGTTGATAAATAAATAAATAAAATTTCACACAATCCAAACTTCAGCTTAAAGTAATTTGAATAAGGCAAATAATGTGACAAATATGGATAAAAGTGTGTGACGCAAATCGTTATAACCGCCACCCCGCGGTAGGTGTCCGAACAAAATCTAATGTGATTATCTGGTTGCATAAAAACGTAGACATTTAAGTTTCTCATATATTTTGGGTGATGTGACAATTTTGAGATTGGATTTAGTTCGGCGTGCTTAGGGATGATTCTAGTAGTCTAACAATCCAAAGTATCCCCTAACCTAAACTTAGATGTCATCTACTAATGTTAGGTGTTGGTGGAAGCTACTCTAAAACCCAACCAAAACGTTGCAGGTGCTCGCAATGCCCCAAGTCTTTTCTCAGTCAGCAAAATTTGCAACAGCACGAACGCACCCATTCGGGCGTCAAAGAGTTCACGTGCCATCTCTGCAGCAAGCAATTTGGTTCTGCGCACAATCTCGAGGTAAAAAAAAATCGTCGAGGTCCGACCAGAGGCCATAACCCCTTCCGCCCTTCGCAGGTTCACTCCATAGTGCATACCGGATACAAACCGTACGTGTGCGGCCTTTGCGGCAAGGCGTTTGCTCGCAAGGCCGAGATCAGAGACCACGAGCGCACCCACACTGGCGAAAGGCCGTACCAGTGCGAGTTCTGTGGCGCCACCTTCAGTCAGAGATCGAACTTGCAGTCGCACAAACGCGCCACACACTACGATGACAAACGGTTCCGTTGTGAGGTAATAAGTGATTTTTATTGACCGGTGTTTCCCAAATACCGCTCCTAGCGGCCAAGATTATACAGTTTTTGTTGCTGCCCAAGCAGAAAACGACAACAGCTTGTTTTTTTTTAATTGTCAAACACTTCCCAGGTAACAGAGGCTCGTCAAAGTGACGTAAAAAAAAGCGCCTTATTAATATCACAAAATGACCTCCGGAAGTCGTTATAAAATGAATTGATCATTTCCAAATATGGACTTTAAACTTAATCATTAATTTATCTATTATCAGATATTCTTATTTTTGAGCCGCCACAAGACCGTTCCTTAAAGTTTGCACACGTCCTTTTTTAAACATAAAGAGGTACGGTTTTCGCAACAGCCTGTCACTTTTTCCTGAAATGAAGATGCCGTAAATAAAATTGTCATAGCCTTTTTAGTTTTTGAGATTTAGTATTGTATCTCTTTTTTTTTCAAAATCCCACCCTGTTGCATCTAACAAATTACTGGATTTATGGCAAATTTATTAATTAATTTTAGGAAAAATCAAAGTTCCTTAAAGTACCCATCGTGGGAACAGGTTATGTATAATAAGCTCAGGGAAAACCTGAAAATGCCGGAGATGTTAATAAATAAAATTTATCGTAAAATTGTTCAACGGGTTTAGAAAAAGTTACTAATTATTTTGTAAATCTTTTAAATTTTGTAATGTATTTTGCGACAATTTTTTTTCCTGCTGACGGTAAATGCCTACGTCGCAAATCGCAATCGGTGTTCCGCGAGGTTGACTTCCGGGGCCGTTATCTCTCCCGTTTGTTGTGCAGGAGTGTGGCAAAGGTTTTAAACGACGAAGGCTGCTCGATTATCACATGAAGGCCGCGCACACGGGTGAGCGACCGTTCAAGTGCGACATCTGCGGCGCGACCTTCGTCTACCCGGAACATTTCAAAAAACACCGGAGGATCCACACCGGCGAAAAACCTTTCCTGTGCGAGGTTTGCGGCAAAGCGTTCAACAGCCGCGACAACCGCAACGCCCACCGATTCGTCCATTCAGACAAGAAGCCCTACGAATGTCTTGTCTGCGCCGCGGGATTCATGCGCAAGCCCCTCCTCTACCAGCACATGCAGGCTCAAGGTCACTTGAACGACACCATCGTCGTGAATCAGCCGCGACTCACGACCGACGACGGTCAATTGGTGAGCGCACTCTCTTGAAAGTCTCGGTGTTAATATTATCTCAATAATAATATCGAACGAGATGTGAATAAGATATATCATTTTTTCAATGTGAAAAACACGGTAAATTGGAACGGCGTAGTAGAAAATTGACGCAAATTTTGCAATAAAAAAGAACGGCTAGTAATGAGGATCTTTCTTTCGCCAATTTATATAAATGGGATGTTCTAGTTGCTCGAGTACTAATATCATAGTAAAATAACAATCTAATTAAAAAAAAACCTTTCCTATTAAAAATGCACAGCTGGATATGCTTACAAATTGAAAATATTAAACTCTCTTCAAACATGTTAAAACATAGCACTATGAATTTTTTCCAGAATATTAGTTAAAAAAAAGGAATTTCCACGTTTAACTAATATTTTCTACTACTTAAAAAAGGGGAACATTTTTCAAAAAAGTTATGATAACGAAATCACTATGTAAAGAATACAAAAATACTTATTTAGTTTTTAAATGATACTAATAATAATGATATAATTAAATAATGTAAATACTTGACTTAAAAAACTTTTTTTCATATAATAATAATAATCTTTATTGTCTAACACAACATGTATTTAGAAGACAATTTCATCTTAGGAACTATAAACTATAACTATAATAAGTATTCAATTATATTCATTCCAGCAAAGTAATACTGAATTTATGTTTAATTAATGTGGTAAACTGTAAGCGATTAATACAAAAAACGTCAATATCATTACAGAAGTCAACCTTTGATTAAAAAAATGGTTCTTGGAGTTATTGACTGAAATGAAAGGTACCTTCTACGATTCAACAGATAGGGAACCTTAAACATTAGTAATAAATCACTCTGTGGCAGTCCCCTAGCCGGCTAGAAATCATTTACATGAAAGTGTAGATATTTCAGAAACTTTCTCTATACATTTTGATTGCGGATTGCTGCTGGTATAGGTATTTATTTCAACCACCTTTTGATTGCAGTTTCCCTGGAAAACCCGCGCGGAGAGTCCTCAAAAACCACCAACCAGTTTCTTAACTTTATATCATCAAAATCCCTAGTTGCCTGCCGTCTGGCGATATAGCGTAAAATTAACAAAAATAATGCAATAAAATACTAACTCTCCCTTCAATTTTCATCTATCAGTGCGTAATGTATATCCATAAACATAAAAAAATCCCACCTTCACATGTATGATACCAGACATAAAAAAGATCTGTGTGATCACTTCATTGGTCTTAAACTGTATAACAAAATATCAGCAACCCCCAAAAACAACTGTTCCCCGATTGAATTTCAAAAAACTATTAAACACATTTTTCACAGAACAATGCTATTATGACTAAAGAGTTTTTTGAATATAACTTTAAATGAACTCTGAGTTTTAGTTTTGTCTGTGTGTGCGTAAACCGTTTGTTATATACATTGTATGTTTACTTCAAAAACTCATACTGACAACTTTAAATGTATTGTTTATACATGTTTGGACAATGAATTATTTTATTTTTATTTTATATTGTAGTTACTATAAGATGGTTTTTGGGCTGACCTTCGTTAAACTGTAATTTCAGATTTCGGTGGAAGAAATCGTGGACACGGCGAACGTCGAGTCAAAATTCGTCATCGAAGGCGGGGCCGAGCACATTATAATCGACGGGCGGCAAATCAGTTTTGCTGACGCTTCCGAGGACGGGGAAAACGAGGATGAGATGCTGGACGAAATCCAGCAGGTAAAAAAACATCCATATATCTGTGGTCTACATTTAGATTTCCACATCGTTTTTTGAAATTTGTCGGCACCATCTGTACGCAGATGATACTCAAATACACTACTCATTTCTACCCTCCGACTACCCAATATATAATAAATAATATAAAATTGTTAATGTTTCATCGAAGCATGTGCTGAAACTTAACCCTACCAAATCCGTCGTCGTTTTCTTCGGAAAGAAAATTAGCGTTTAACCGCTTAATACACACCTCCGTGACATATACGGGCAACGTCACGGTTACTGTAATTTTATATGTCTCAAAATATTACAAGTCCGTATGGGTCACGGTTAATATAGAAATATAATTTTCCAAATATTATTGCCATGCTCGGAATTTGCGTTTGCTTATGCTAAGACTAGAGCCAGATGTTTATGACTCACATTATCATGCTAAAAGTTACCTTTTTTATGTGCGGACGTGTAATATATGCAGTGATATTTGAAAATCCAAGACATTTTGCTAGAATAAGTTTTACGCTAGTATAACAATATAATATATTTTGTCTCAGTGCGATTTTTTTATTGTTAAATATTTAGCCAAATTCAGCAAAATGTGTGACCAAGAAGATTCAGAATTTGAGTATTCCAATTTATCAGGAAACGGAAGTGACGATAGCGATGTAGAATCGGATTCGGAGGAAAGCGAGGATGATGAACCATCGATTGATATCCAACAAATAAATAATTGCAATGCAATTAATTTTGCAGGTTTAGATTATTTCCAATTATTTTTTGATAATGAATTGATGAACTTATTGGTCACCGAATCTAATCGTTATGCAGAACAACGACCACGAAGATCGTATGATGGTTTATTGCTTATAAAAAACTGAGGAAGTGCAAATATTTTTGTGGATAAATATAATTCAGGGAATACTAAAAAAGCCTGAAGAAAGAATGTTGCTACTCCAATATCTAATATATCCTTGCGTCGGTTTTTATACCTAAAATAAAATTAAATTTTTTTGATAATGAACCATGTGACTGTCATACTCATCCGAATTCTTAACTAAACAAAATTTGGTCTATTTATGAACTCTAAATGGAAAATTTAGTACATTTTATATACCTGAATGAGACATAAGTGTAGATGAAAGTTTGTTATTGTACAAAGGAAGATTGGGTTGGATACCGTACATCCCTCTAAAACGATCTCGTTTTGGGAGAAAAATCCACATGCTCTGCCAATCTATTATTATTATTATTAATTATTTATACTGGAAAAGGAACTATAATATCTCAAAAATACACAGACATGCCTATGACTTCACAGGTCGTATTGTTCCTTAGCAGATTCTCTACTCGATATGGGATATTGTGTAACGACCGACAATTATCACGCGTCCCCACAACTAGCAGATTTCCTTGTATCCAAAAAGACTGATTTATATGGTACTCCGCGGTCCAACAGAAAAGATTTACCACAACTTGTGACTAAAAAAACTAAAAAAGGAGAATCTATAGCATTTCAAAGAAAAAAGTCCTTTTGCTATTTTCAACTCTTTTATTTTGTACAAAAAGAATGGAAGAGCGATGGATAATTTGGAATACAGAACAAAACTGATAGAAGAAATGAAAAATATCACTTTAGTATAAACGTCAAGAAGGCAGGGCGGACAAAGACATATGGGACAATTACGACTAAAGGAACGACATTTTCTTCCTGACTTTATTCCTCCGACTGAAAAAGAGGCAGTACTTACAGAAATTGTGCAGTACGTTGTTGAAAAAAACCAAAAAAGAAATAAGATATTAGTGCAGTGAGTGTGACGTGTTTTAAAATTTGCCATACACAATTAAAATGTATTTTTTTTTTTCATAAATTAGTTAAAATAAGCATAAATAATAATTATTTGCAAAAAAATAAATGATTTTTTTTTGTACCTAAATTGATTTAAAAAATGTGAATTAACGATTTTTCTGTATCAATAATAATTTCTCCAGGTTATAGAAACCACGAAAAGATTAGACCTCAAGTTCTCCAACCAACTGGCTCATTTTTTACATTTAAAAGGCTTTAAAAACTTGTTGAGTTCCCAATATTCTATTTTATGAATTATTTTCTTTTTGTTCATGGTGTAGTATTAAATCAAGCTGCCGTACATTGGGTATTTTTTAGTGGATTTTGTGGATGTTGACTTTCGCCGAAAAAGAATCTGGCGTTTATCTAACGTACTTTCGGAACTTGAACCATAATACACTCATGCTTGTATTATGCGTCAGTACGATAAACAATAAACGCTATATTATCTTTATCATTATTATATGTTTGCGCCCTGCTGTTTACTTTTGAAAAAAAAGGGTTCTTAGGTTGTGAACGACGCTGATGGCGAGTTTGCCGAAATAATCACCAGCGAATCGCTGGCCGGGACGGAGACCGAGCTGATCGACACTCCTGAAGGACCAATCCAATTGGTCAAGGTGCGGATCCCCAATGAGAACGGTGAGGAGGAGGAGGCGTGGATAAAAATAGTGCCGGAGTAGAGGAACCGGCCGCGAACTATAGTGTAATTTGTTTATACTGTAAATATAACTTTTTGGTATAGTGATAATTAAATGATCGGGATTTTTGATTGTGTGTTTTTATAATTTGATCCGTGGGAAACCAGCAAAGGAGCCTGCAACTGACCTCCTATTGAAAAAAAAATTGATTAAAAAATTAATACCTATTCAAAATGGTACTGTCAAATTCAACAAGGCTTACAAAATGATAGCTATTTAAAACGGTGCTACGCTTATTCAAAATAGTACTTCATAAAATAAAACATGATCAAAATGGCTCCTATTCAAAACGGTTCTAAAAATTACCTATGCAAAAAATATTTTTCAACAAATTAGCAGCTATACAAAATAGAACTGTCAAATACAACATCTGTTCAAACCACGCCTTATAAAATGACAGCTGTTTAGAACGATGGTTATGCTTATTTAAAGAAGTGCTTTAAAAAATGAGACATGATCAAAATGACTCCTAGTCAAAACGGTGCTAAAAATAACCTATGCAAAAAATATTGTTCAACAAATTAAAACCTATCCGAAATAGGACTGTCAAGCACATCTGTTCGACGCCTTTTAAAATGACATGTATTTAGAATGATGCTAATGCTTATTTAAAGCAGTACTTTAAAAAATGAGACATGATCAAAATGATGATATTCAAAACGGTGCTGAAAATAACCTATGCAAAAAATATTGTTCAACAAATTAAAACCTATACAAAATAGTACTTTCAAAGACAATACCTGTTCAAACGACCCAATGTGTTAAACGGTGTCTATTCAGAAGAGTGCTTAAAAATACATCTGCATAAAATGGAGCCCATTCGAAGCAGTACTCTGAAAATGATCATAATGATGCATATTCGAAGCGGTACAAAATTATACCTGTTGAAAATTGCACTGTTATAAAATGGCACCTACTAAAAAAATTGCTACTATAATTTTGGGACCTAGGATAAAATGGTACCTATTCCATTTTGATGCAACGATAATGTTACAAGCAATTATTTAATTTATTGGAGTTTTTTAAGTTAACGTAACTCTTATTAAGTATACCCCTTTCCGAGGACCTACGGACCTACGAATCACCCAAACAAAGCAAATAAAAAAATGTGTCTCATGGCGAATCACTAAATCCGGTACATTTTGCTTTCTGAGGTATTTAATTTACATTTAAATAATTGCGGGTTGTAATTATGGCTACCGAAAGATTACTGTGTTTGCTTACTTACAATGAATAAAAATACGTATGTAACTGTTTAAAGCGGCCATACATGAACAGTTTAGCTTGCCATATTAGAATTTGTGTTTGATATTGCGAAAAGTAGTTAGACCTATTATGATCCTGTCGTTTATAATTTGGATTAATTTTTTCACTATTAGCATGGATAAAACAACTACTATAGGGCTAAATATACGGTTAAAGGGGTTTTTGATATGGTGTTAGTTTAGGAATCAAGTTACTTTAAGTTATGTAATGATAGTTATTATTTGGGTCTTATATGTTTTTATTAGTTTTGTTTCATTTTTTCGACACCGCGTATGGAATATTTTAAAATTTCGAAATTACGTGAATCATATTTTGCTAACGTATTTTTAGCGAATTGTTGTATTAAAAAAAAAAAATGAAATTAAAAAAAAAAGAAAGAATAATTGAATTAGGTTTTTATTTTTTAAGTAATTTGTTATATAATTTTGTACATATCTCTGTAAATCTGTTGTGTTGTCTTTTATTAGGAAAAAGGTGAAATAGAAGAGGAAAGTATAGAAAAGGTAAGAAAAAACTAGTTATTATCATTTAATGTATTTATTTTTTATTTTCAATTTTATTTATTGGAGTGAAACCTCTCAATACGAACACCTCTATTAGGCGGACATGTTTTTCGGAACGAAATATTTGCCTACACTTTTACCTGTAAAACAAACGCTTTTAACCGGACCCTTAAACGGTCCTGCCTTTAAAAAAATTACTTCTCTCAAAGGACGTGAACCTTCAATAATAGAACAACGCAATGCTAAAATATAGTATTATTTATTACGCCGTGACTTGCAGTTTTATTCTGCAAGCAAATCCGTGGATTCCACAATTTTTAAAATGGCACCTACTAAAAAAAATTCTTAATTGCGAGAAAAAATGGATATTGTTGACGTTTCGGAAACGTTTGTGAAAAATAATGGCAGCATTCGTGTACAGTGGGAGTCGGAAAGCAATATTGATAAAAAAAATTGTAAAAACTAAAGGATCTTCGAATTGCGAGGTCAAAACATTCCAACATCGGGTCACTTAGTAAAAATAATTACCGACCTAAATGTTGCTAAAGAGAACTACATTGCATTTCAACACCTTAAAAATGTAGATCATTTTCAGTCAAGTTAAAGCAAGAAAACAATAACTATGCGTCAGACTAGTATCTTAGAGTTAGTAAATAAATAATGAAAGTTCGTTCACCTACATTTTTTCTATAGTTTTTTTGTATGTTTTTAAAGAAATAAATGTAATGCATATTTACGATTTATGTTTATGTATATTTATGTTATGTTATGTTCATGGATCTCTAATGAGCGGATACCTCTAAATAAGCGGCCAAAACTAGAGGAACCGTGAGTGTCCGGTTGTGGGAGTTTTCACTGTATTTTTAATTTTTTGACAATAATGACAGTGTAATTTAATTTATATTATTATTATTATTATATTATTATTATTGCAATACTTTTTTCCAATAACAAATTAAAATTGTTATACAACCTCTATTGTTTGAAAATATTTATTTAATTCTAACTGATTTAATTAAATACTTAGAAACTTAATTTAAGTCTAGTCCGGCAGCGCCTGTCATCAGTTTATGTACACTCCGGGAGGGAGCAGTACGTCTGTTAATATGCCCGCGAAACTAGAACTAGAACGATTCGTGTAGTCCAACCTTTACAAGACCTACTTTCAATTAAGTAATCGCGTTCGAGATTGTATAAAGTAAACAAGCTCTCGTAAAGAGACAAAAGCTTTTACACCAAAGGGTCCAGAATTAAAATGGCTCTCCTGGGACATCTCGACCAAATTTTCAGGTAAATACGAATTCCTACGGAAGAAATCGAACTTTTCCAATCGTTTTATTAGAAAAATCGACGAAAACGCGTCGCACTTCGTCGAGAACCTCGCCGAAGCCGTCGCCATAGAATCTATATCCGCTTGGCCCCACAAAAGAAGCGAACTGACCCGTATGGTCCGATGGACGGCCGAGAAGTTGCGCAAGTTAGGGGCGCAAGTCGAGCTCAAAGACCTGGGCGAGCAAACATTACCCGACGGCACTCGAATCCCGTACCCTCCAATTTTACTGGGGACCCTGGTCGTGGATCCTGATTATACCACGGTGTTAGTCTACGGCCACCTCGACGTCCAACCGGCAAGACTCGAAGACGGATGGGACAGTCCTCCGTTCGTCCTAACCGAGAAAAACGGAGCCCTATACGGAAGGGGCTCGTCGGACGACAAGGGTCCCGTGTTGGGGTGGATTCACGCGATCCAGACGTACCAGAGCCTCGGAGTACCGGTACCTGTCAACTTAAAGTTTGTCTTCGAGGCGATGGAGGAGTCCGGCAGCGAAGGACTGAGGGGGGCGCTGGAGTCCGAGAAGGAAGGGTTTCTGAAGGACGCGGACTACGTGTGCGTCACGGACAGTAGGTGGCTCGGACCCAGCAGGCCGTGTCTGACGTACGGCCTGAGGGGGGTCAGTTACTATCACGTAGAAATCGAATGCTCTGTCAAGGACCTGCACAGCGGCGTCTACGGCGGTACAGTGTATGTATTTTTAAAATTATTAATTATAAGTGTCAAATTTTCGGTTGATCAGAAAACTGTACCGGGTGGGCTAGACTGATATCGGCGTCTGGGGCTCGATTTTGACAACGCCGGTAACGGTAAAAACAGCACTAGGGTTTCTAGTATCGTTTGAAATTGCTGTAACATTTTTGTCATAGAAAATTTTGTATTTCAATGAAGACATCGCCAACGCAACTTTTTGCGCAGCGTTTAATGGTTTCAATAGTTTTACAACTAATGGTTATTAGTTATCCACCAAAAAATTGATTTCTTATATGGAAAAGTACTTCAAATCACCTTTCCAAAAATATCGCATTATCGTGCCCATTGCAGCGGACCCCTTTTTTTAAGCCACAGGATTATGCCTTTACCTTACATCTTCGTTTTTTTATTTGCCTTAATTGAAATGCATCATCCAGACGTAAATATCACTCTTATAATTTCAGAAATGATTTAATCACTATCCCGCTGATAGGAGGTCAAAGTCTGTTTCTAATTCTTCAATAGACTGTCGACATCTGTTAAAATCCTCTCTAATAAAAAAATTAAAAGAGCATTGAAATAATATCTGCTTCCTCATTGCTCCTATTGCCTTCAGGAATACGTTGAGAGTAATTTTGTTTTCGACAAAAATAGTTAATTCACTTTTTTCCTTCTTTTTTTTTTAACTTTGTCTTTGTCTTGACAATAACATATAGCCACACAGTTCTGTTTCTATTTCTAACTTTATGTACTTACACTCTAACATGGCTGCAGTTCGAATTTTTTTAAACGTTTTCTAGCTGGTCAATATTTAATTTTATTCGCCCTTAAGGGCATACAATTCAAAGGATACGAAAAAATGGGATAAATATGAATTCACGCATTTTATGTCAACCAGCGGTACATTGAACTTATGTCATACTTGGAAACTGAACAATCTACAGTGCGTCCTTAAAAACTGTATACCCTTGTAAAATCTTTCATTATGGTTCAAAAACGCACTAAAATCTTATTTTATTACATGATAGACATTGGATTGGTAGTGAGTAGTCCTGAATGAGAATTCGTTGTCAATTTATTTTTTTTTATATCCCTAATAGGACTTCCCTCTCTTTTGTTAAATAGTCCCAGTTGCAGCAGTTGAAGCAATAAGCAATCCAACTAACAAAAAAAAATGATCAAAATCGATCCATAAACAAAGATTTGTGGGATTCAATGGGCCATTTAATAACTTTTAAAGCTTTGCAATCATCGGCAAATCCCAAAAGCGTTCCATAAATAACCCTGAGGTACACATTCTAGATTATTAATCGAATAAATTTAATTTAGACACGAGGCGATGACTGATCTAGTGTATCTTTTAAACGCGCTGGTGACCAAAGATGGGAAAATTCTGATACCACACATCTACGACCAGGTGGCGCCACTGTCGCCCGAAGAAGCAGACATCTACAAGGCGATCCACTTCGATGTGGACGTCTATAAAAGAGACGTCGGATGTAAAGAGTTAATCTACGAGGAGAAGGAAGACATTTTGATGCACAGGTGGAGGTTCCCGTCGTTGTCGATCCACGGTAATAGCGAGTCGATGACCACCGAAACCCAATTTAATAGTTGGGGTCGTTATTATCGTAGGTATTGAGGGCGCTTTCAGTGAGCCCGGTCAAAAAACCGTCATCCCCAGAAAGGTCGTGGGCAAGTTTTCGATAAGGACCGTTCCCAACCAAAGGCCTGAAAGCGTGGAGAAACACGTCACCGATTACATCACACGAAAGTACGAGGAATACGGAAGTCCCAACAAAATTCGGGTATACTTAACTCATAACATGTCTAAACATGCGTTCTTAATCGCCGATGCTTGAAAAATGAAACTAACTTCTTGAAGTGAAGTTCCATTTTAGTTTTTATAAGTTACAATTTCCGAACTAGGTTACTACGTAGAATAGTTTTCCGGCCTGTTATGGACCTACAAGTATGTCATCTGTCAACATACCTAACCAACTTAATTCTACATTTCACTGAATTTTTTTTTAGAAAAAATGATACGTTCGAAGACTTTTTGGTGACCCAGAGATTGATTAATTAAGAGAATTAGAAAAGTGGCACAATAAATGAGTTTGCAAAGGAAACTAAACCAACTCTCAATAGATTTAAATATGATTTGAAAATTAGTTATTTCAACAGTCGGTGTAAATCTTTACCTAGAAAGAAGATTTAAATTGGCATCTTAGTTTATTGCTACTGTGAGCTTTCCACAATCGGCAATGTTTATAAAACTCTTCTTGTAAGCTACATCGTCTTTTTCTATCGACATCTTACTTTATTACACCTGCCTTTTCCACACAAGGTTATATTTTTAAAAGGAAATTATGATGGATAGTTTTATTGCCTTGGTAGCTCCTTGCTTCCATAAAAAGCTGCAACACGGGGAAAAAATGACTCGAAATCCTCCTTTAATTTTCGCTAAAAAATCACCCACTAAAATATTTCGAGTCAATTTAAAAACACCCTGTATATAGATCCATTCGACGCATGCCACCTCGTGGACCGAGAACCCCTACCATCCCCACTACGAGGCCGCTGCCCGGGCCACTAAATCCGTTTACGGAGTGGAGCCGGATCTTACCAGGGAGGGTGGCACCGTACCAGTTACTTTGATGTTACAGGAGGTCACGAATAAGAACGTGTTGATATTGCCGATCGGCGCTTCGGACGACGCCGCGCATGCACAAAATGAGAAAATTAATAGGAGGAATTATATCGAGGGGGTAAGCGCAAAAGAAAACCACGCGCTGATTAAACATATTAAAAATAATTTTTTCATCCCCAAATTTTCAAACCATCTTTAAATCCTATGCAGGTTATGTTCTATTCGCTTTAAGTATCACTAGCGATATGAATCAAGTATCAGTTCTAGTTTTTTTAATCCACTAAACTGCATAAAACTATTTACGTTGTTTGAGCGTAGTTACCGTCAAACTTAATACACTGTGACCATAGACGATCATGAAGATAGGATTACTAAGGTTGAATATAGTCCCTGGCATAGAATAAGAATGGTCAGAGCGCCCTAATAATTGTTTTAATTAGTTTGCGGACATTTTTTACATATGAAATGCGCCATTGTACATTAAAAAACAATCAATTTAAATTTTGTATTTACATTTTACATAAAACAGGTAAAGGCACAAGTATGATGATGATGATTAACACATTTTATGACTTTCAGACGAAATTACTGGCAGCCTACCTTCATGAAATGGGAAAACTGTAATTCAATCAAACCGTCATACAGCTCAGCAAGTTATAACAGAAATTTCCAAGAAGACGGCAAATTGTTTGATCAATACATTTACTCTGTCAGTGTCTGTGTCCTGTGACATTATTTCTGTTGTTATTTAAATATAATACAGTTTACTCGCAATGTCTGTAATTTATATCACCCACCACGATGAAAACATTCACAACATCACGAAGACTCAAACGATGCTCCACAAGAAATCTCCAAGATACAAATCAAGGTATCGGGATAAGAGCCAGCAGTACCATTTTTATGCAAGGAATCTTAAAAGCCACGCCACGATGGGTTTGCCGGAAGGGGAACTTCCCGACCCAACGAACTTTTTGAAAAAGCGAACAGGCAAGCCGTCTTACACAACGAGTAAGGTGGAAAAACAACCAAAGCCATGTCAAAATATGGTGCAAAAGGGGAAAACCCCTACGAGGAAAGAACTGGCATTGCAAGACAAGGAAATCAAACCGGATAAGAATTTTATCAAAGAAAACGTTCGGGTTATATCCCAAATGAAGCCGAAGGAGCCTGAGCATAGAATAGTTACCGACAAAAATGGGAATACTACAAAACCGGAGCTGTGCGGTTTGGAACCTGTTTACATAAAACTACCGATTTTTGGTCGCACTCCAAATTATCTTATTCGATTCAACAAGACTAAGGAGAAAGAGTATCAAATGAAAAAAGACAGAAGCGGTACCGAACAGCCGAAGTGTAGATACATTACTAGAGATGAGCGAGAGAAGTTATTGAATGTGACTATTGTAACAAAAAGTTCTGCATACAAGTAATAATGCGCGTTTTTAGGGATTGAAACAAAACTGGGAGGAGTTGCAAAAACAATACCAGGGATTGCCTATTTTAACAGATACCATACCGAAGAAAATTAGAAAATCTAAACTGGAAGCAGACTTAAAACAACTTGAAAAAGACATAGTCTTGGTCGAGAGACACCCATACATTTATGTTTATAACGATTCGGAATTTTCTTGAGTAAATGACACCTATTCTACTCAATATAGTTATTTTTAAAGAAATATAATGTATTCCAAAAACCGAAATACTACTTACCAAAAATTGTCTAAATGCAGTCAAGATTTTAGGTTAGTTTTTGCACAGAACCTATTTTGGAAGGAGTTGTCAATGTTGATTGTCTCTAGTTTATTATTTATGTGACATACTTTATTGACCCAGAAGGCTTTCCAGATGTCATAATTAAGTTATAAAAAAAAATCCTCGAATCGATTCAGAAAATTACATTGTGCTAAGAAAGAATTGTAGATTGAACGCACTGGCAATTAAAACTTTTAGAACAATTTCTGACGTTGGTACCACTGAAGTTATTGTTTGGAAGCTTAATGGCAGGTCGGCGTGGTGTTTAGATTGTCGTGTAATTTTTACAGTTTTTAAACATAAATTCCCGCTGGTTGGCGAGATATCGCCTTCAAGTTATAATTAAACCACATAAGGTATCAAAATGGCCATGACTTCGTCGCAAGTGAAAGCGCAGCTCCAACAGCAGCAGCAGCAGCAGCAACAAAATAACATGGCGGGTAGCGGCACAGGGTGGCCCCGGAGAAATAGCCAAAGCTCAACCCCCACTGGCGCCGTGGAAGCAAAATTCACCCCTTCAACTGCTATTAATAGAAATATTAATCTGTAAGTCCTATTTCTTTTCTTATAAAGGCTTACATTAAGTGATGGTGCCCTTGCAGTCTAACAAACTATTCTTTTTCTGCAGTTATCCACTGACGAATTATATATTTGGCACCAAGGAGCCGCTTTTTGAGAAAGACCCAAGCGTTCCTGCACGATTTCAAAGAATGAGGGATGAATTTGAAAGAATAGGCATGCGTAGAAGTGTGGAGGGTGTATTGTTGGTACATGAACATGGTTTACCTCACGTTTTACTCTTGCAGTTGGGGACCACATTTTTTAAATTACCTGGGGGTGAATTAAACCCAGGTGAAGATGAAGTGGACGGCCTTAAAAGGTTACTCACAGAGGTATGTGTGTTGTATTGTAGCGGTTTTATAAGGTGAATTGTTAAAATTTGAAGACCTTGTTACAACAACTGTATTGGTGTTAATTAAACCTGTAAGTTTGGAGTGTTATAAAATAATAATTGAAGTATAATTTTAATACAGTTAGTATAAGTACATGAAGAGGTTATATTCAAAGGCAACATTTTTCTTTAATGATTATTGTCAACATTTAAAAAAACATTTTTTTTATCCGCAAATATTCAAATTTTTTGTTTTCTCAATGTATTCAGGAACTTTTGTGCGACAACTTTTACAAATTATTCAAAACAATTTTGAAGCTTATTACTATCCTCTACCTTGTAGAGTGTGTAACGAAGCTTTGGTATTAAATGCACAATCATTGATTGCAAATGAAATTATGTTATGGGTTGTTAAATTATACCAAAAAGTTTAATTATATTTTGTGAATTTAATCAGTGTCATTTTATTACTTAATACAAGATAATACTCTTTAATGGTGTGTGAATATATATTTACTTTGTATCGAGAAGCAATGAATTTTATTGCTAATCTTCAGATTTTTTTGCAACTGCAAGATTTTTCATATTTAATGAAGATTGTGTGTACCTCATATTTTATATGTAGTGTTAAAATTTTTTATTTAGGATTGAATACAAAAACATATTTTATGCAGCCAGCTCGTTCTCGTGGCGCTTTATCTAAGACGGTGATTTCATTTTTCATTTGGTGTTAGTAGATCACAATAGGTATTTTTGGTAGCTGTTTATTCCACCCACTAAATATCAAAAATTAATTTACCTATTTTAGCGCCGGCTGTCAAAACAAAAGAAAAATGTGCATTCTCAGTGCTTATTAATTAAGTTAATCGTCGTACGTGTATATAAATGTATTTATAAACTTGTATTCATAAACTGGAGCAGAAATTGTAATATGCTTTTGCAACATCTCCAAAATATATAATTTTAATTTAAAAAAAGTCTGGAGAGCGGAATGGTCATTTAGTTTTGTGTTACTAACTAACATGTCTCCACCAAGGCATTTGCGCATCATACCGTGTCAGCATCTTCGGGAGAGACAAATTGTCATAGTAGTGCAAGTTAACATAAGATCAGTGTTTCCATTTGTTTCTTCCGATGGTGCCACAATTGTGACGAAATTTTTAGCGGGATTATTTCGAACACCGCCACTATTTTTTTTTTAATTTACTTTTTAGTTGTTACTCGTTGCGTATACTGCATGTGTATATAGCTTTTACGTAAGTTCAGATTGGCAAAATATTTGCGTCTCCAGTTGTTTTAATTTTTCCTTGCGTTTAACCAAAATAAAAAAAGCGATTCAGAAATGTGGGAGACCTGTATTATCGACCAGCCTCTTTATCTGTGGCGACAGCATTTATCTTACCTGTGGGTTGTTAACTAGTGCCCGGCGGTTCATTGGTGATGGTTAGGTAGAATGTCTTGGGAACTAATGGTCCTAATAGTTTTAGAAATTGACAATTTTAAGTTTCCGTCTCAGCAGCAAGTGGGTTTAATTGCTAGGTTTCTATAAAAAAATTGCTCTCTACTAGAAAATTCTTCATAATAAGTTCCGAAAGAAATACTATTATATTATTATTATAATGGTGCATGTTTTTGTTTTAGAAATGAAATCTGGTCATTTAGTAAAAGAAAGTTACCATTTCCTTGATACTGAATTCCGATGTTCTCGGTACGTAGCCAAAATTTATACTACTATTTGTACCGAAGATATTCTACTTCTGGCCCACTAATGAATCATCCTTATATTTAAAGGACTGTGTAATTTATTTAAATCTAAGGATTGTTGAATATAATTTCTTAAATTCATTTGTTCAAAAAATTTTAACTGTGTAGGTTGAGTGTATTGTAATAAAAAGAGATTTTGACAACCATATTCCAACTCGGCAATTGATTGTTTAACATTTCATTCAATATTGAAAAAGTGCATTTACTAAGTTCAATGTCGTTTTGGTTAGTTTAGGTGAAAACCGTTAAAAGTTACCAGTCATATCTGGTGATTGCATTCTTCAAGCCTAGCAGTTCGATAAAGTTGACATTAGCAGTCTCTCATTAAATACTACCGTGTATAAATCGGGTGTAATTGGTCTCGTTATAAAAAGAAAACGTGATTTCAAAACCCCTTCAGTGTAAGTGAAATAGGTTAATAAATCTACTGTAATTTGTATGCGAGAGGCATGAGAAAAGTAAACTAATATTTGGTGTAATACAGAGTGGCTAAAAAAGGAACCAAACTGATGGTTTCATTGGACAATGGTTTAGAATAAGAAAATTTTGTATTCCTTTTTTACGCCCTGTGTACATAAAGAGTGCTTAAGGCAAAGCTAAAGTATATGTAATGGAAAGTGAAATTTTGAACTAGATCTTTTGCACCAAGCAATATTGTACAAACAAAATTCTGTTGAGTGTGTTTTGGCAGCATCACTGAAGGGGACCTTCTTGGTTATATGATGTGTTGCAGACTCTCGGCCGCTTGGACGGCGTCAAGCAAGAATGGGTCGTCGAAGACATAATCGGTAACTGGTGGAGGCCGAACTTTGAACCGCCCCAATACCCTTACATACCGCCCCACATAACGAAACCCAAGGAACACAAGCGTCTATTCTTAGTTCAGCTACAAGAGAAGGGTATTGTATTACGAATTGTTAATATTAAGCGAAGAAGACTGTACTTTATAGCGTTACCCGAATGTTATTTTTTTTCCATTTATTTTTCGTACGTGCGACAAAACTGATGTTATTTTTAAAGTTTAATAATTGTGGTCAACTTTTTATGTAGTCGTTATTTTAATGAAGAATGGCTACTTGTAATTTATATTTTTAAGTCGGGATTACGAAAACAATTGGTCTGTTCTTCATTTTTCATATCGTTATAATTTTGAATTATCCTTAGTTGGAAGGTTAATCCTTACAATCGATAGTTTACCTATTAAAAGAATTCTGTGACTTTGTTTATATGTTTTTAATAATGAATTGACAAATTGCAAATCAATACTTGATTATGAATTATGAGAAAAAAAAATTAGAGGTGTAACAATAAAATAGTTTTGTGAAACGGGACTGTTGTACTGATGCGGCCATTTTTGTGATGTTTCCCTTTTTTTAATTTTATAACGCCAGTCGGAAAGAACTACCAACCTTATAACGTCTGATATTTTTATTTATTTATTTTTTCAAAGTTGGTGGTCCTTTTTCAACATTCCCTCTGTAAATCCATAGTCTATAGTTTGTTGCGTATAATACCACCTTTGTTTCTACCTATAAGCGAAAAGAACAATGTTTTTAAATATTTATTATGGAAAGTGTCGGAAATCGAACAAAGTGGCGTTGCGTGACGCGGTCCTGATTTGGTTTTCCTAAACTTGCAGCCCTATTCGCGGTCCCCAAGAATTACAAGTTAGTTGCGGCGCCCCTCTTCGAACTGTACGACAATTCCCAAGGCTACGGGCCCATAATTTCGTCCCTGCCGCAGGCCTTATGCAGGTAATGTAAAACTGTTTTCCTCAGTATATGATATCTTATGTTTCGGCTCTGTAAAACTGCCCAACGTGTGGTTGCATTTCATTATACAGGGAGTGATTGAAATATCATGTAATTTATTGAGTCAATGCGAAAGCTCATCTTGACAACGCATGGTTATTTTTTGCGAATCTAAATGAAAATATTACTTTTTGGAAACTTTTTTTTTGGAGGCGAAGCTTCCGCTGATTGGTTACCTACGCTAAGAACAAAGCGCCTACGTTCATTCGCGCTCTAGTTATTTTTCACTTTTCATTGTTTTAAAAATGGAAGGAGTGAAAGAGGAAAATTATAAACAGATACGAATTTGTGTACTTTAAAAAAAATATGATTTTACTATAATTATTATTTTTATATATAATTGTTATTTTTAAAATTATTTTGTAGTTGTTATATTGATGATATAATAAATTTTGATGATGTAGAATTCGAATTTAATTCATTGAGTGGAGAACAAGGATTTCATTTTCTTTGCTTTCAAGTTTATCCGTGTTTACCTTTTTGGAAAAATATTACAAAGCTTTTTTTTGTAGAGAATTAAATTCCTTTTGAAATAACATTTGTATATTGAAAAATGGAAAAACAAGGATTTCATTTTTTTGCTTTCAAGTGTATCCGTGTTTACCTTTTTGGAAAAATATTAAAAAGCTTTTTTTGTAGAGCATTAAATTCCTTTTGAAATAACATTTGTATATTGAGTCGTTTGTTAGTTACAAAATTCCAAAAAGAAAAGCTTAAGTAAAAGGAGCTTATTTATTAATTATAATGCTTGATTTCTTGGAAACGCTTCTGGTTTTTTTTTATAGAGAATTCAACTTTTTTGTGTATTTGTCGTTTGACTATTTTGACGCAATAACGAGATCAGGTAAAAAATACAAATGGACCTCTTCCCATAAATATTAATGAATTTTTTTTTCGATATGTATTATTGATATATTTTTACTAAAACAAAATAGTCGATTTTTTTGGCGCTATCTAGTAGTCATCGATAACATTCTATGTATAAAGGCTTTGGGATTTGATTTTGATAGATTGGTTGGTTTCAGGTTCCAATTTATATACATGTGATCTCCAATCCCGTCTAGAAAGTAAGGACGATAAGTATGTGTTAGTGTCTTTGTTTATTTTACAAATTTTAATTTTTACCAGAGAACTTTTTTTTTTGCAGCACCATCTGAAGTCTTCTAATCACTAGGAATAGAAGACAGAATAAAGTTTTATCATTTAGAAAGAGTAAAGTGTCGATTGATGTGACATTCACATTACACATATTCTTTTTTCATTTTGTACATTTCTCTAGGTTAAGGTGCAAAAACATGTGACTTGACCGCGTCATTTAAATCGTAGCTTATTATCCTGTCAATGAGATATGTTTTAAATTATATGTAATTTCTATCGGAAAAGTGTGGAGGATGAAGTATAACAATGAAACGTCAACTGAAAAAAAACCAACGCTTGTTTTATTTGCAAAATGCGCTTAAAGCTGGGACACTTCGAATAAGTAGGCGCCCAAGAGTTTGGTCTGAAACAAAAGAAATTAAATAAGCCCCACATGAAAATTGGATCTTTCGAATACTGTACCCCCTCGATGTAGTTTCTAATATTAATCTTCTCGTTTTGAGAGTGGGCTCCGTCGTCGCCGGCGCCGACGGGTAACAGAATGACGTTTTTCCCGGTCGCCTCTTGCAGTACTAAAGTCACAGGTATGGAACCACCTTCGCGAGTCAGGTCAGGTTCAATCCCGTAGACGTGCTTAGTGGCTTTAATGCCGGCCGTGTAGTGAGGATGAGAAGGATCCTCGGTCCACGGAGCCCCCGCGTGCGACATATATACCTACGGTTCGTTTGATTACCATGCGTCGTTTTGCGCGATTACATGTAGCCATACAGGTACCAGATATATAGAGGCCCTATGCTGATAATAGAGGAATTTTTTAAGCGATGATGAAAAAGATATGGTCGTCTTTGACCAATAATTAGTGTTATATCAAAGGAACCAATAAGACCTAGTGGCATTCAAAAGCAACATTGCCGCTGACAGTTTGTCAATTCGACAGGTTTAGGTTTATATGTATTTCTAGTTAAGTGTGTGTGGAGATAGCTGTTTAGAAAAAAAATGGTACAAATTGCAGGTTAGTAAGTGAAAGATTATTCCCACCTTCCCAATTTTTACAGTACTAGGGCCCCTATATTAATTAATAACTATGTGTGACCTACTTTCATGGTGTTGGGACTGCCATATGCCGCCCATTTTTTCGTGATGTAATCGACTACATATTTTTCAATTTTGGCCGGTTGCTGATTGGGAACGATCCGTATGGAAAATTTACCGATGACTTTCCGTGGGATCACAGTCTTTTGACCCGGTTCGCTGAATGCACCCTCGATGCCTGCGGGATTTAAAGTGATCGTTTTTGTTTAATTTTAAGCTTAGAGGCAGTAAATAATTAAAATAAGAAAGTATATCTCGAAAGCGTTTTTTAAATGCTGTTCCGTCTGCTTTTTGAACTTGTAAGGGGAATATTTCGACAGAACGTGGTTGTACCTTGTTTTAATAGGAAAATCCTATTTCTAAACGAGATAGAGGAAAATTGGTAAAAAATATCATAAATTCTTTATAAGTACCTCAGATTTTTTTCGGTTTTCCCAAAAAATAATACAACTTACTAATGCTATATGTAAGGTGACCAGAGTCCCGATTTTTCAGAATTTGTCCCGCATCCCGCGGCGTTTTTCAAAACTCCCGACTTTTAGAATTAAGTTAAATTTAATATTTATGAAAGTCATTGTTTTGCGTTATAAGAATTCTACGGGCTACGACATTTACATTGTATTTGTCCCTCAGATGATACACTTCGTGTTCTTACTGCGTGCTAGCAAGCTAATTAAACAAATAAATATTACAAATCTGCTATTTACCATAGAAAATTAAGTTAAGTAATTTATTTATATATTTGATAAATACATAAATTTTCTTAAACTTAGCGGGAAATACTGATAGTGTTCATATTTTATATTGATGACAAAAAGTACATTTTAGAAAAAGATATACGAATAAAATTTAGCAAATATTTTAAGTCAATCAAACTAATTTCATTATAAACAACAATTAAATATGTTAATGTAAATTAGGTTTAGTGCAAATTAATTTTGTAAGTGTTTTTAACATTTTAGTATTTTTTTAGATTATCATATACATATAATATTGTAGTGTACTAGAGAACAGTTAGATAGTCATACAATAATGTATTAAAAATTATGGAATATGCACTATCTTTACATAGAACTGACGCTGCGACTGAAAGTGTTCTTTCTAAAGAAAATCAAGTATGGGCATCAGAAAAATCAAAATTAAGCGTTCAATCTTTGAAAGCCATTTTGTGTTAAATATAATTTGACAAATTCTTAAATATTTTTACAATATTTTAAAAAACAATCTACTGAAACAAATTCATTCAAATAAAAATAATGTCAAGGAATAAAATATACATTTTTTATATTTATAAATTTCACTTGTTAAAAATAAAAAAAATTTACAATATTTTTATTCTGTATGAAAATATTTGTTGATACCCCCCACCCCCCTCCTTCAGTTTCCACACTTTGTCCATCTAAAAATCTGGTCACCTCAATTATATGGAAATCGTGCCTTCTTTGTTTTTTATTGACAATGGCATACCAACCACAAATTATTGAAAAGCCCAATTATATTTGCTATATAAAATATCGAAAGCAGTATTCAATTATGCGAAATTAAGCAATTTATCAGCAATTTTATGAATTTTCAAAAATTGAAAAACGCCCCATATCCGCTGTATCAATTATCATTAATCATTCTTGCTTTTTCTTCTTCTCTTTTTGAGAATTTTATTCTCCTTCTTCTTCTTTTCTCAAATAACAAACGCAAATTACCAAAATTAAAAAAAATATAGTCGGCTAGTGAGTGAATTTTTTATGCCTTCAGAGTGAAAATCGTTAACAAATATGAAAATTTGTGGTTAAAATCACAATCGACCTTGTTTGGATTAAGTTATGGGTGCCGGTTTTATTATTATTATTTTTAGAATTAGTACATTACAACCCTATAGATGAGTAAGCACCTCCCTTTGTTTCTTAACATTTTGTTTTTTCTCTTACCATGAATGGACAGAGACGGGTAGCGCCACCTGTGCATCAAAATCTCTTCCTTCTTCCCACTGTGCAGCAGCGTTTCGCATCCGACATCGCACCTGTATTCGTCCACATTAAAATGAATCTTGCCATAAATCTTTTTTTCCTCTTCAGTTAAAGGAGCCACTTCGGTCATTAAACCGGGAATAAGAATCACGCCGTCTTTACTCACTAGCGTGTTCAAAAGGTGAACCAAGTCAGTCATTGCTTCATGCCTGTAATTGGATTGTTCACAATATGTCAAAATATATTTGTAGCGGGTAAGAGCTTACACGGTTCCGCCGTAGACGCCACTGTGTAAGTCTTTGGAGGCACATTCTACTTCAATATGGAAATAACACACCCCTCGCAGTCCGTAAGTGATACAAGGCTTCTCGGACCCCAACCAGTAGTTATCAGATATGCAAACGTAATCAGTTCCCTTTAAGAATTTATCTTTTTCGCTATATAATAACTCGTCCAACCCTAGACTGCCACTCTCTTCCATTCCTTCAAAAACAAACTTGACATTTACGGGCAAATCTGCACCAATTTGTTGATACGCTTCTATAGCATGGATCCAACCCAATACGGGTCCTTTGTCATCGGATGACCCTCTTCCAAACAATTTTCCATCTCTTTCAGTCAAAACAAATGGCTGAGAATCCCAGCCATCTTCTATTAAAGCAGGTTGGACATCCAAGTGACCATAAAGCAATACAGTCTTTTTGTTGGCATTAGATCCAAGGGAACCGAATAAAACGGGAGGTAAAGGAATTTCGGAACCGTCCGGAAGCTTTTGCGTCCCGATATCCTTTAATTCAACTTGCGTTCCCAGTTTTTCAAGTCTTTGGGCGGCCCACTGAATCATTTTCTTGATTTCGCCTCGTTTATGTGGCCATGCCGATACGGATTCGATGGCAACTGCATCTTTTAAGTTTTCGATATACTTTGATTTGTTTTCGTCAATTTTTCTATCAATTAGGAAGGATGAATCACTAGTGGTGGTGTTCTGTGAATTTTATACTTACTTGAATAATTTCGATAGACGTTCTGGCAGTTGAGACATTTTAAATGGACAATTTGGTATAAATTATAGGGCGATTATATATAAAAACTGCACTTTATATCGACGTCGGGGAGTTACAATAAGATAAAAGCGATAATTGGCGCAAATAAATACCAGTTCTAAACAAACGTATCTCTAAGTCTTTAATACCGAAATAAACATCTATCAAGATATCGGATACGGGCACATACTGACTGAAAAGTAAACAAAATATATTTTCAAATAAAAAATGCCACGTATTTTTTATCACGGAACTGCAACAATTGTCGAGTGTCATTCACTGACTGTACCACAGAAGAACTTCGAAAGTAGAATTCATGCAGCACACATTCTAACCCAGTTTTATTATTCAGGCGCCAAATTTATAACAAAATATTTTAACGCAAACTTAAATTTTAAATGGAAGAACAAAGTGAGTGTTTTTAAAAACAACTTGTAAGTGTTTAATTGCCTTGCGTTTTAGAGCTTCTAAAGAAGAAAAAAAAAGCTGTGGGTAACAACTCCAGCTTGGTATCTGCCTGTACAGATTTAGCGGAGTACTATGCGTCCCACGGCAAATATTCGAAGGCAATAAGAGAATTCGAAATTGTGGCTAATATTTATAAAGGGGAGAATAAGTTAATACCATATGCACAGGCCCACAGAGGTATTGGAGAGGCTTATATGGGGCTAAACCAGTTTGAAAATGCCTTGAAACACTTTAAAATATATTACGGTGAGTTGCGCCGCGTTATTGGAGAATATTTTGTTAATTTTCTGTCCTCGTTAGATGTTGCCAATAGTACAAATGTTGTTTTGGAGCAGCAAAGAGCCTTGGCTCAAACTGGTCACTTGTATTTAACTTGGTTTTTGGAAACTATAACTGAAAATAATAGATCACTGCTGGAAGATGCCTATTGTTATTTTATGAAAAGTATGAAAAAGTGTGATAGGTATGCAAGTTAAACAATAGGACTCTTTAGTTTTAATTTATTTTTTGCAGTTTGAATGACAATTTAGAAAAGCAAGATATGTTGGCAAGATTGTTCTCTAATTTGGGAATTGTTAAAGAACATTTGGGAGAGTATGAGATTGCTAAGAGTTTGTATGAAAGAAGCATTAAACTGTGTCTCAAACATGATTTATATGACCAGTTATACAGAGGTTATATGGCCATGGCTTCTTTATTGGAAAAACAATCTTCATACCAAGAAACAATTAAGAATTATAATTTAGCTGAAGAATGTGCCAGTAAGAATATCTTTTGAATTAAAAAAAAATATTTCCATTAACAACTTTTCATCTTTTTCAGAGAAACTGGGTGAAAAAAGTGTGGAGTTTCTTTGCGCAGCGATGCTCGCCAAGTCAGAAGTTTTTATCAAATTGGCAGACTTTAACGGAGCTAAGCAAGTGTTGCGAAGAGCGTATAATTTAAAAACGCCGAGTCAGCAGGAACGAAAGGTCATTGAGCATCATTTAAGGGTGGGTAAGTTTAAAATTTCATCTTTGTTGGGTCGGTTATTTGATGATTATGTCTCAATAGTCGCCGCATTGTGTTATACCGAGGACCAGGTTATAATGTGCAGCGACGATAACCAGTTGAAAGTATTGTACGAGAAATTGGGCGACGGGGCGTGCGATCTGAAAAATTTCTCGAAAGCTATAGAGTATTATAAAAAAATGTTGGAAGTGGCACAGAGGAGCGGAGCGAGCAACAAAGAACTGGGAGAGTGTTACTTTAGTTTGGGCGAGACTTTTAAAGATAACGAGCAGTACAGGGAAGCCGAGTTTTACTACGAAAAGGAATATAGGCTATGCGAGGATAATTTAAAAGATAGTTTAAACACTCTTAGTAAAATAGCAGATTTGAAAGAGCTTGCGGGCGATAGAGTTGGCGAAGTGAAGAAAGTGTACGAAAGAGCTTTGGGCAATTGTAAAAGTAAGGGCAGTTTGGTGGAAGAGAAACGGATGTTGGTTAGGTACGTGGATTATTTGCGAAGATTCGATTGCCATGTGGACGCTTTTAAATTGGAAACACGCCTCAGCGAACTGAGAGAGATAGAGGGGGGCAAAGAGGAGACGTCGTCTTCCGATAACGAGAGCGAAGATTCGGAACTGAAAGCGCATGTCGGGGAGGACATTGTGCTTAGCGATATTACAGGTAATAATTAGTTGGTTAATTAAAATAAATTTCCTTGGGATAATTGTTCCTAGCGCTTTAAAACTGCATTTGCGTAGGGTAGTTGAAAAAGGAAAAGATAAATCGATAATTTCGTGTGTCAAAAATTACTTCTTTTTCTACTTTTATAGTACTTCAAGTTCTAAGTCTACTTGAAGCACGTGTTGGTTTTGATTAGCATAAATACTTGACCAATTTCACCAAACGTGATTTTTTTTTTAATATTGATCGCTAATATTTAAAAATGCGTAAAAAAGTTTAATTCCATAGATCAGAACTAACTCAGTTACATAAAATAATATACAGGGTGTTTTAAAATTAAATACAATGATTTTCAGTGGATATTTATCATATGCTTTTTCATATAACCATCTGCCCTAACCTGCTTTGTTTTCTAGAATTGGCCAAAAACATGGCACGCCATTATGTATTTCAATTGAACGTGGTTAATTAACCAGTTCAGCGTCAACTTTCCACTTCTTAATTGGCTAGTCAAATTCGATCAAAGTGATAATAACGTCTTGCTATTATAGAGTGTTATCTATCATTAGTTAATAATAATATGTCTTTATAAGAAAATATTATGCGTTTGTGATGTCCAATTTACCTATAACCCTCTTCACGTAATACCCGAATACGGTACTTAGCGATTCGGGGATTCCCAATAAACAAACAAAACAAAACACGTATCCCACAATATAAATTTCACTGAATTTTTTGAGTAATTAAAAAATTGATTTCTTCGGAAAGTCCAAAAACATATAGGGCAATGGTTTTTAATTTTTATTTTGAAAACAAAAAAACTCCATTTTTTTCATTTTTGATTGCTTGATCTAAAAAAATTGTTAATTTTAAAAAATTGGCGCACCAATTTTTATTTTCCCTATAAATATCAATTTGTATCAATTAGGTCTATTGTGACAAAGGTTCCATTTTGTTGTGGAAGAGAGAACTTATTAATATTTAATACGAAAGCACAAAATAAGAAAAAAGGGGAAGTTATTTTAAATATATAATTGGTATAGTTTACTTAATAATGTGTACGGGGGCGGAGTTAGGAATTAGTTAATGTTGACCGCTTTTGATTGGCGCCATATTTTATTGCTTGCTGCCGCGTATAGCGTTAGGAGAGTCACTAATATTACTCGGAAATGCAATCGGGAGTCTGAAAATCTTATGGATTTGTTAAAAGATGTGTCCGGCGACGATTCGGACAACGATCAATCCACCAAACCCACAACCAACAGGCAAATGAACAAACGACGTAGGGCGAATGTAAAATTCAAAAAGAATCTCAACGGTGAATGGCCCTTGCACGTCGCTTGCATTCAAGGTATGTACAGAGTATCTTTGTTATTTTTATCGATAAAATACCCAACTTCAAAAGATCCTCCAAACGTTAAATGTTAATTTCCTTTATGATTGTCTCTGGTATTGTGGTATCCTTTAAAAATGCCTGCACAAACAGATAACAAGTTCGCCAAATAAATCGTTAGCAAATACCACTGGCAAAATAGTGTCCAGTGCTCGACATGTTACATGATACTTGCATTTTTTCCAAGATCCTCTCAGCGCCAGTTTTTGGCCCATTAAATTCCTTCTCGATTTTGATAAATGACTACGAAGGTGTTGCCTCTATATATCCTAAAACATCTATCTATTTTCTGTCCCTGTTCTCTTCGTTATATATTTAAACAAGATTGTATATAATTTAAACGAAATAGAGATTATAGCACTGGATCTCCCACATTTCCTGGTATATGAATTTTTCCAATAGAGTAAGGTTTTTGAGAAAATACTTGTTTTCTGTACGTCGTAAAATGAATGAATGAAATGGTGATTTTCATTTTGCTGTTTCAAATATCTCGGACAGCGTATGTGATAAAGGACAATTTTCAGAGTCTTTTAAGATTTTTGCCCATAATTGAAAAACCCTGTATATAATCGAAAAAATGCTTAAAATAGAAGTTATAGTACTGGATCTTCCGCGTCTGCTGGTTAAAGAATTTTGTCGATCGGGTTAATTATTTTGGAGAAAATATTTTTTTTCTGGAAACCAAAATAACCAACAAAAAAAATGCTTTTCCGTATTTGACTTCAATGATTTAAATTTGGGTCCGGATTTCTAGTTCTCTGTCAAATCTCAAGTCGGTAGCTGCAAGCCTTAAATTCAAAAGTTCAACCTATATTTTGGTGTAAAACAAATTGACTTCTGAATCAAAGTCTTTTAGTTATGGCAAATTTTCATTAAAAGAGGAACCTCGTTTTCAGTTTTTTGCGAATACCGGCCACACCCTATATATTTTTAAAAATTGTCAGCAATAGATATTTAGAGCATTTGATCTTACGGATCTTTTTTAAATCGCGTAAACCATTTTCGGGAAATGACCCATGCAAACGCGGTTTTAAAATTTTTAAATATACTTCCCTATCCCAATCTCAATGGGTTCCGTTAGGAGACCAAACGCTATTCACTTGCTAAATATTAAGTCGATAGTTTTCATTTTCGGACACTTATCGTGTTTAATAGCGATGTACGAAAAACAGTGGAAAGTCTAAAAAAAAGACGCCAAGGTCCGATCGCGACCATTTTTTATGGGATTATGTGTTCCGTGGGCTGCTTAAAAGGAGCTAAATTTCAGCTTCCTTGCTTAAACCGTTCGGAGGGTATTCGCATTTTTATGGAGCGTCGGCAGGCAAAAAATAGAAACGTTTTTTTTTTTGACGCTGATTCCATCTGTACCAAAAAACAGACTTTCCATCTGGATCACGTATCATTAAGATTAAAGATTTTGCAGGGGAACATACTTTAAAACTGTTATACTATAATTATGTGCGCTCCTCGAAACTAGAGTACGTTTTAACAGATTGGCAACCAATATTTGGCAAGTACATCACTCCAATTGAAAACGAACATAAAAAATTTCTGAAATTTCTTCACTTTCATATCAATGGTTTCTATCCAGCTAGGGGACTGCCACAGAGTGATTTATTACTAATGTTTAAGGTTCCCACACTGTTAAATCGTGGGGGGTTCCTTTCATTTCAGTTTTTTTTATAAACTTTACAATTAATTAGTAGATTGCCCTGAGTTGCTGAGCTATCTGAACTTCCATGTTCCCTCAAGGACTATAAGAACCACTTTTTTGACTAAAGGTGTTCTGTATCAGTTGATGAAATTATTTAATGACTTCTGCAATGATATTGACGTTTTCTGTCTTAGTCGCTCACACTTTACCACATTAATTAAACGTAAATTTGAAATATTGTAATGGATTGTATTTTCACTATTACTTTGCAGCAGTGTATGTAGTTGACTACTTATTATAATTATAGTTCTCAGGATGAAGTTGTTTTCTAAATGGATGTTAATCTGTTAGACAATAAAGATTATTATTATCATTACAATAATAATAATAATAATAATAATAATAATAATAATGATAATAATAATAATAATAATTATTATTATTATTATAGGTGACTTAGCTTTGAAAAAATAATTTCTAAGCGTATTATATTTTTGATAATTTCAATTATCAATTAAACAAAATTACCAAAACAACAAAAAAAAACCTTTGCAAACCAAAAGTGGTAAGTTTTTACTTTTCGCTTTATAGCATCTCGAAACTCCCAATTTTCAGGAAACTTAAAACGGGTACAGTACTGGCTGGACGTGGACCACCCCGTCAACGTTAGAGACAACGCGGGGTGGTTGCCGCTGCACGAGGCGGCGGTCCATGGCCACCTGGATATAGTTAGGTTGTTGTTGGACCACAAGGCGGCCATAAACGATCGCGGCGGCGCCGAATGCAACGGTACTGTCGATTGTTTCCATTTTGACAGTCGCGAGGTCACCGGGTATGGTTGTAGGTATCACTCCGTTGCTCGACGCGGCCAGCAACGGTCACTTGGAGGTGGTCGAGCTGTTGCTCGATCGGGGGGCGTCGGCGGTAGCAAAGACCGACGACGGAAGTACCGCGTTGAACGAATTACAAAAATGGCGGGAAAGAGCTAGCTCCGAGTTGAACGACGAGGAAAAGACGTCGTTTAACAAAGTGGCGAAGCGACTGAGCGACGCGCTGGATAAGGTTGGGGAGAAGTGTGACGATTTCAAGGTTAAGAATCGTGCGCAGGACAAGGAGAACGTTTGTTTGGGGAATCTGAGGAGGCGGTTAGATACTTCCGGTGATGAGGTTGTGCACCAAGACGACGAGCCGCCACACAGTTTGGCGGATGAGTACCAGCAGGTGATGAAAACTCTGCGTCATAAAAGCTATGGCAAACCGACGGGGAAGGGATCACCTGCGAAAAAAAAGGTGGGCCTCCTGGACGCGGAGGAAGATCTGTCAGACGATTGGTTGGAGGACGACACGAAACCGACGAGGTCGAAGAAACGGAGACTGGACGACGCCGAAAAGGTGTGGAGGAGAGAGAGGTCGTCTGGCAGCGTGAGGTCGGCAGGATCGCAGTCGAGATCTGCGCAGTTGGTTAGACATACGTCGTACGGTAGCTGTTCGATGTCGCCGGCTAAATCTATCCTCGACGGTAAGAATAGTTTGTTTGTTTATTAAGGTGGTACATATTTAAACTGGTCAAAATAAACAGCTTGATGGTGGGAAGAATAATTTGGAACTAAATGACAAAAAACAGGTACAGGAAGCTATGGTGAAGCTTAAAACCAAACCAAACGTAATAAAAAATAATAACAATAAGGGCATGTTAAGATTTTGAACAGTTTTTACATGGTTTAAAGCTGTTTTATGATTAGAAAAAGATCAAGAGATCTTTGTTATAGTGATAAATTACCGTCTTCACAATATTTTAGTTTTCTTCCACTATTTGTTTAATTTTAAGCCTTAAAAGCGAAGCTTTGGGCTTAAAGGGGCAATTTTGACGATCAACGTGAAAGTTTTATCTTTAAATTACCGATAATTGGTACAAGAAGTTATCTTATGTTGAGCAGTCCATTCCCTTGTAAGAGTGGTTTTGGTTTTTTAAAGAATAATCCTTGGTAGTCATTTTTGTACGCTTCCCATCGCACTAAGATGAGTTTTAAAAGCAATAAGTTAAATTAGCGACACAGACAATATCTTTAGATAACCAAGTTCAAGATACTTTTTTAACTCCTTCAACATATCAAATGAAGCATCGCAATTTATTGGTCACGCCTGCCTCTATTATTTTTGATTATATATTACTTTTTGACAATAACTACTACCAACCAGGCCCTTTCGAAGTCGAAGACACATCCGATAACTTTTTCATCGCGGACGCAGATGTTCAGCCTGTCGCCTACGTCGATCCCACCGAACGTCGAAGATCGAACGAGAGCAAAAGGCGCACTCAAACCTCTCTCCTCGAATCCGGTTTCAGCAAAAGCCGCGTCAGCATCTCACCGTCGTCCAATCCGAGCTCGCAGAGATCCAGCAGTTTCGATCGCAGTCAGCAGAGGAAGTTGACCAGTTTCGGTCATACCAGGATCGTCGTGGAGGCGGACTCTACGACATCGAGAACGCCTACGAAGGCGAGAGAAGGGGCGGATCTCACGCTATTCGTGGACGTGGAGATCGAGCGAAGGTTGTTTAGGGTGCCGGTACTCTTCTCCCAGGTCCAAAGCAGGACAATAAGGTGGTTGGCGGAGGAGGCCGCCCAAAGATACGCAAGGTAACTTATCACTCGGGGCGGGGCTGTGTCTTACCATCAATTAATAACAAATTGAGGGTAATATGCGTATTCTGGTGTGGAGAAGGTCACCTAGAGGACCTTTAAGCTCAACATTGTAGCGTTTATAGGTTTTTCTGAAACGTTATTATAATGTAAAATTTCTGGTAACTACCCGGAAACCATCTAGAAAAAGTGCTGTAATATCCTAATTTTTTATATTTGCGCATCCCAAAACCTGATCGATTCGCACTCGTAACGCAGCAAGGAGTTCATGAAGCCTTCGCTGGAACTGGAAACCGTCAACGGCGCCATCTTGGCGGACGACGATATGCTCGGTCTGTTGTTTCCGATGGGGAACGTACAAGCCGAGAAGGTAGTCGCCAGGGTAGTAGACTGGACGCTACCTTCGCTCGCGCAGAGGTACAAGGAAAGCTGCGCGCACATGGGGGCCGGTGAGTTTTCATTTTCAGCACTATATTTTATAATTTTATATATAATTTCGTTCTTAGTTCGCGGGCAACTTTTAAATTGATCCAAATTTTAGTAGTGCGTTAATTTTGATGCGAGGAGACTAATCTGTTAAAGTCACACTTTGTGTTTTCAATTTTTTTTAATGCCTCCAATATTAAATTAAAAAAAATACTATATATGTTTTGAAATATGTACGTACCCCTTCCTCAATCGCAACCGAGTTGTATGTCAAACGGATACAGTTTCGAATATAAACGATGGATATACACAAGAAAAATTAGATCTTTAAGGCGACATAATGACCAATACAAACAAATATTTTTACGGCTTGCGATTTGATATTGTGCGGCGTTTTTCCAGACATCGATGAAGACGTGTGCGAGCTCTTGGATCGCGTGTCCATCGGCCTCGACCTCTCTGACAGAGGCCTGACGAGCAAAAACGTAACGCCGTTGGTGAAAGCGCTCAGCCACCAGAGCACGTTGGCGGCCTTGAACCTCAGCGGTAACTTTATCGACATGCAAGCCACGAGGGCGCTCTGCGCGAGCCTCGTAACTCTGCGCAGTCTCCGCGTGTTGAATCTAAGCTGCGCGGGCATCCGCAGCGCCGAAGTTTCGATCCTGCGCCGCTGCGTGTGCGAAAACGATTTTCCAAACCTTTCCGAGTTAGAGTTGAGCGATAACCCGCTAGGGAGCGATAGCGTCGAACACTTGGCCGCGATTTCGACGCGATTGAAGTTGAGCGCGTTGAACGTCAGCAATGCCGGCTTGGGCGCGACGCCGACCGACGCCGAGTTCGATTTAAAACTTTTGCGGCGGTTAGACGTGAGCAATAACGAATTGGGCGTCGACGATATCAAGAAACTCGTATCAGCGTGCGATCCGAGCCGATTGACGAGGTTAGACGTGTCGAATAACAGGGCCGCAGGGGTGCTTAGGGGTATAGTCGAAAGCTTTGCGCCTGCGAAGGTCGTCGCTTTGGAACGGGTGAATCTAAACAGGTGCGGGGTCACCGATTCGGATCTGTTCGGGCTGTTACGGTGAGTAATTCACCAGACAGCTCCAATCTAAAGAGAAGCGACAATGGTCGATCCGGTTTTCTACGCGTATGCGCAGAAGTCCCGTTTGTTTATTAGTCCTAGAGCTTATTTTACGTCGTTGAAATGTGCTTATCACTGTGAAAAACAAATCTATACTACGATTCTAAACCTACCTCACAAACATCTTTCTGAAACCTTAAAAAATTTTCTGTACAACCTCAGTTCGGTCTTTGTGAACCTCGTAATAAGGTGACAACTAGATTGTGCATTTTTATTTAAAACTTAAAAACTATAAGTCTAAATATAATAATACTCGACATTATTCTGCACATAAAATGTATCCCAGTTTATTTTTCAAATTCATTTTTGTTATATTAAAATGAATAAATTTGTCTTAAAAGCTACTCTATTCTACATAACACTAAAAATTTAAGCTTCTTGGGGTCGGTACGTATAAAAAAAAATCCTATAAAAACCATAAAGATATTTACAATATGCTAATTTTATTGTTAGCTTAAACCGAATTTAATATAATTTTTTTATATGTGTATTTGAAAGTTTCAACGTTGAGAGTTTAACAGTGTTTCGCACTTCTAATATTTAAATTATGTACGTAATCACGAAATATTAATCGATCGCGAATAGAGGTGAGAGCAAGGGGTTCGCTAATAATTTTAATTAAAAAACCACTAAAATGTAGATCTCTACGAGCATCGATTCTCAGCCAAAACGGAGACATGAGTTTTGAACTCTTTAAATTCGGGGTCGACTCTCATGATCCAAACAAAAACCGTAGACAAAATCACAATAATTAAAGTTAGACAAGACAAGTGACTCACATAAGTTTCTTCTCAAACTTTTACCTAGTATGTGACTGTTATTATAAATCGTGTTTAATGAGCAGTAGTTTTTTTTTTTAAATAGATTTTAAATTTTCCTTAAATCGAAGCTGAGTATCCAACACCCAGATGTTTTGAAGCAGTTACAAATTTTAATTTTGTGTCATTAACATTAATGTTGAGACTAAAGACATTTTACTTCTTACTTACTGTTTTTACATCCGAAAATCATGGCACATGATTTCGTATGGTTTAATTTGAGGTTGTCGCCACTAGAGTTCAATATGTTAGCAGTATAAACTAAAAAAAGCAATGGCCCTAAAATGGAGCCTTGTGGGACTCTAGAGAGCAAAGCAACCTGATCTTTGCAACCTGTTTGATAGATATGATCTCAATAAACTACACGATGCTGATGAGAAACTATAAAACTTTAACTTACTTATAAGCAAACTGTGATTAATGGTGTCAAATTACTTTGAAAAATCTAAAAGTACCAATATGCTGACCATCTTTTTGTCACATGCACTGATTATATATTTCTAAAAAATATTCTTGGTCTATAAATTTGTTTATCAGCAAACAAATTTCTTTAATTGTGTAACGGGTATGAATATCGAAAAGGGATCGAGACGAAAGCTGGGTCAAAATATATGGACCTTTGCCTTCCACTTTCGAAGGTTAATATCGCCTCTCGTTAGATTGGAGCCGTCTTATGTCGTCCGTCAAACACGCAATGCAATTGTTTCGTAATTTTCAGGCTGGCACCGAGGTTAACCGATGTAGATCTTTTGTACAACTCCGACCTAACTTCAATTTCGTTGCGGAGACTTCTAGAACGCGGAGCGATGAAACGGATAAATTTGATCGGTTGCGCGGGGGTGTGGAAGTATTTCGAAGATGCGGCCGATTGGAGCATAGGCTTCGGCACGGGGGGCGGGGATAAGATGCTCAAAATGTCAGCCGAAGGAGGCGAGCGGCGCGACGCGTTGGTGAGGGTCATCACTGAGAAGTGCCCGCGTTGCGTGGTCGAAATATCCGCCTGTTCTTTGTGTCTGAAGATGTGAATTGTATTTTTTATTCTTGTTTAGGTCTGTTTTTAAAATAAGTCTTACTGTTTTACTTCGGCATTTTCATTGGCATTCATCCCTTCCTAATCAGCATTTGACAGATCATCCGCAGATAATAATTTGACATTAAATTTCTAATGTCTATATTATTTATTATTAGAGTGTTCTACCAGTCGCGATGGGTGTCAAACTTTCAAGTCGACTCTCGAAAAGCGGCTTCTGTAATCCCGTTGCCAAGTTTTTTTTGTCGCAAGCAGGGTCTCTGCCAAATTTACCGTTCCCGTGACAGTGCAAATAAATAAAAAATACTGGTTTAGCGGTCACTACGAAAGACTTTATTTTTGACACGAACATTGTTAATTTTAAACATTTAAAACGAAAACGGCCTATTTCGTTATTGGTTGCCAAATTGAGACACTATTAACTTAATCAAACCAATATACAGATCAAGGTGACTCCCAACTTAACCAAAACACTAAAAAATTGTCTCTTCCTGTGGGTACCAGCTTCAACAAATTTCATAGCGTTAATGTTAACTTCCACTGAACGACGTTTCATTAAATGTCGCTGGTAATTCCAAATACACTCTCATCGATTAACAAAACCAAATATATCAAAAGAAAAACAAGGTTTTTGGATTAATTTTATAATATGACTGGAGGTTGACAAAGGACAGAAACAACTGCAGAGACTAAAAAGAACTTTGGGGATCGTAAATCGGAATGGGAATAAAACTACAGCCGTTATACAAGAGAATTTGTATTTACATTGACTTTCAATTAGAAGCCCTCAAGAGACTATAAAATTACAACGAATTTAATACTACAATGCTTCTCAAGAAAAATGGTGAATATCCGCCTCGAAGGACCAAATTATATGCTTCCAACGTATACTTTACTGTATGTATTTAAAAAAGAATCAAACAGCCTACAAATCTTATGTATATACAATAGCGACTACTAATATAGTAGTACGTGGATACAACAAAACCGAAAGTTTATACGAATATCGAAACATAACCAATAACTCTATCTGAAACGAAACCTAAACACTAAAGATAAATTTACACTTGCGTCAAATATATAGGCCTCTCCCATATTTTCTCGCCGTTTAGTTCTTTCACGGCCCTGAACGCGTCCTCTGGCGACGGGAAAATGATTTTCGCTTCCGCGCTAGGGGTATTATTAGGGTTGTACCTCCTCGACACGTTATTGGTGCTGTTATACCCTTCGAAAAATTCCAAGATCTCGTTCGTGCCCGCCTTGTAGGGCACGTTGTCCATGTAAACCGTGCACCCAGGTGGTGCGTCCTCGTAACTCGCATCGTGCGATCTGGGGGCGCTGTACCTCAACCTCGGTCCTCGGGGTCCGAATCTGGGTCCCCTTGAACCCGGCCCACCCATCCTCGGAGGCATCTGACTATTAAGCAGCATTGGTTTCAGCAGCGGTTGGTTCTGACTGGGGGTTAACAACAGGGCTGGCGCGGGTGGCTCTTTTTTAGGCGATTTCTCAGCGTTGCCCTCTCCCTCTTCCGATTCCTGATGCGGGATCGTTTTGCCCAATATCGCCATCATTTCCTGTCGTTTGATCGGCTTCACCGATATGGTGTTGCTGCCGAGGACGGTGCTGTCTTTGGAGCACGCGGTCGCCGCCTCCTCTTTGGTTTCGAATTCGCAAAAAGCTTGGCCAGTGAAACCGAGATTGTTGCTCATCAAATGGATTTTCAAAGGGACGATGCCGATGTCGGAAAAGAAGTCGGAGATGTCCCTATCGGAGGTCTTCGCCGGCAGTTGGGATACGCTCAAGCAGTCCGTCTCCAACGGGCCCGCGTTTTCTTCTTTTACCTCTTCTAGAGGCGCGCTTTTCTCCTTGTTTACCTGCAATTAAACGTACAAACCCTCAACTCTTAGGTCTTGAACTGTAGGCTTTCTTCAAAGACTCTCTTCTCCGAGATAATTTATTTTTATAATGAAAAAGAACCTGGTGTTGGAAATATTGAAACATTAATGCAATTCTCAGAAAACTCAAAAAATGTACTATCTGTAATAAAAAGTGATAAGAGGAATAATATCTACTTGCTCAATGCTTTTAAAGTGTTTAGGAATTGCTTGAGAATAATTTTGTTTTTGATAAAAACTAATTAAACCTAATTTTATGAATAGTACACCTGGTGTGAATTTTACTTATTCTTTTATTATTTTAGTATTTTTTGGATTTGTGTATGTTTATATTGAATTGTTTTACATGTATACTCTTGAAATGAATTTATATAATGCTGTATGATTTTAGTATAATGTATTTAGTAAAACGAAAAAGCCTATAAATATATTAAATTCTATTTGTCAGTCTGGTGGGAGCAGGACGTGCAAATTTTCACCTATTCTTTCACAAATTGGCTAAGGATTTGAAATTAATTGAAAAACAAAATTTTGTTCAGAAATTTCACCCATCTAGTTTCGGCAATTCCTTGACAAGGAGTTTCATCAAAATTCAACCCCATTGAAAATATATTTACCACAAGTAGATAAGCAAAGCCGGTTTCAAAGTACAAATAAAATAATAATAATGATATGAGGAAGAAACTATGGAAAATGAGATTAAAAATCCTCACTACGTTTGGCGTTTAAAAAAATGTCTTCTTGCAACTTGTATGTATACGACAAATGAAAAAAATTAGGCAGCACTACGATCCCAATATAAACAGTATAACTGTTTTTTAGCGGCTGCTACAAACGTTTTACAAACAGGACAAGCTATTTTCAAAAATATATAATTATTCATTCAATATTTAGTGTCTATCGAAATCATAAAAATTAGGGACTTACCCAGACACACGCACACACACGAAAACCCTTTGTGACCTCAAGATGCATTAAAATGACAGCCCATGGGAATTGCGAAACTAACTTAAACTCTTTACCTGTGGATCTATTGTTGTTGTCCATTACCGCAAAATATTGTGTAGTAACAAAGTAACAAGTAAAAAACTTTGGTGCAAGTGGTCTATTGTTTTCAGTAAAATAATCTTCCTCAAACTTCTAACAAGTGCACACAAACTGCAAAGTCTTAGCAACTTAGGTTCGCGTCGAAATGAAGTCCCTTCCTGCTATACCCCAGCACAACCCAATCTTTTCGTCATTAATGTTATAATAAAACTAATTATGCTTTTCACTTTAACTGTGGACAATTTGTGAGAGCTTGAAATGATAAGTTTTTAAATATTATGTTGTAACTAAATGGATTTTGTATGTTTTTCATTTTCCATAGATGACGCAGACCTAATAATACTCAAAATAACACGATCGAGACCGTTACCTCGTCGAATTCTTCGTCCTTGCATGGCTTCACCGTGACCGGCTTCCCGCCGATGACGTGCTGCGACTTCTCCTCGTACGCGAGCTTTGCCACCTCCTTGCCGCTGAACTTGACATAAGCCACGGACCCGCCTCTCGGCTTCGAGTTCAGATGGAGCGAGATGAGCGGGTGCTGCGAGAACATGTGCAAGATGTCCTGCTCCTTAACGTACGTCGGCAAGTCCTCGATTTTCAAACACGCGTAGTCCGTGATCTCCGGCTCCTGCTCTCCGGAATTGTTAAAATACTTGGTAATGTTTTTGCTGCGGAACTTGCTGTCGTCGCCGTATTGCTGGTCCTCGTTCCGCGGATGGTACCGGTCGATCGCGTTGTGAAACTCCTCGTCGCTGATGTGCTCCACCTTGACCTCGATATTATTCAGCTTCTGGCCGTCCCGTTTCAGTGCCTCCATCTTGTAGAGCGCGTTTGTGAATTGCACGTAACAAATCCCGGTCTTGCGTCCGAAATCGTCGTTGATAATCTTGATTCCGCGGAACGTGATATGGAGTCCGGAAAAGAACTTCCTCAGGTCCGCGTAGCAGCCGTAGAAGGGTTCCAGGTGGACGCACGTGTTAACTTCCTCCTCGTCGCCGCCCCTGTTCTGCAACTTTCTCCCTCTGCCTCTAGCGTCGAACTGCTGGTTGCCCCCCTGGCCGAACTGGTCATCGTAGTTCTGGTTGCGTCTGTTCCCGCCCGTGTCCCGCTGATTCCTAAAGTCGCGCTGGTTCCGCGGGTTCCTGCCGTCGTCCGCGTCCCTTCCCCTTTGGTTTCTACCCCTCACGTCGCCGTTAGGCCCGCCCATACCGCCCAGCAGATTTCTCTGGTCATCCAATAACCGACCAGGTTGGAAACCGTCGCCAGACAACCCGAAGCTGCTGGTGGGGTTGGCGGGCGGCCAGCTGTCCCTCTGTACCCGGTTGGGGTTGTTGAAGGCGGCGCTGACAGGGGCCGCGTTTGCCGGGAACCCGTTGATCAGCTGACCGGCGCTGAAACTCTCCAGCGTTCTCTTGGCTTGATCCAGAGTGATGGGGCTGTACGCCCCCAGTAAGCTGGTAGCTTGGGCGGCGGCCGCTTGCGGTATCAGGGGCGGAGGGAGATCCTGAGTTTGCGGCGTCGCCCAAACCGGCGGTCTGGGCTGCGTCGCGTCGTCATTCCTCTTGCCGTCTCTGTCTTTCCGTCTGCCGCCGTCTCTGTCGCGCGATCTGGAACGGTTGCGGCTGCGGCTACGGTCGCGCCTGCGCCTGTCGCGCCGTTCTCTCGACCGCGAACGGCTGCGGTCGCGATATTTGCGGTCTTTGCGGTCCCTACGGTCGCGCGACTTAGACCGAGAACGTTTCTTGTCGCGCTTCTTGTCAGGGTCTCGGCTCTCGCGCTTTATTTCCGGTACCGGCGCGGGAGTCGGCACGAGGGCGGGTACGGCCGCGGGGAGGGGCGCCACTTGTGTATGGGTCGGCAGCATGAACGCCGCCATCGATTGGTTGCGAGCCTGCTCGATGACGCGTTGCATTTCGGTCCGCGAGCTGAGCATGAGCTGGATCTGGACCTCTTTGATTTTGCCATTGTTGCGGTTGAACGCTTGACGAGCGTCCTCGTCGGTACTGCGAACGATCATTACAATAGTAATAACGCTTGATAATATTATTTAATGCGAACAAACATTGGATAATAAAAATTAAGATAAATTAAATATATAACGTTTGTATATTTCATATTTTTCGGCCATCCTTCATTTGGAAATAGATCGAATTTTAATAACTACATTTGAGCGAGATACCACATTTGGATTGTATAAATACTATTAAAATATAAGACATACAGGCATTACACATATATTACAGAAATGATTTAATCACACTTGTGATCAAGATCTTTAATATGATTCTGGAGAATATTGAAAGTTCTATGGTCAAGGAGCTTTTTTTTATCAGATTAGCCGATCCTGCATGGTATGTCCCAAAGTATATTGTATTGCTGTTAACGGCAATTATCGACCGGTAATGAAACACCTGACCCATTGGTATTGTAGTGTAGAAAATCAGGAACGCACGATTAACGACAACACCGTGTCTTTATCAAATGTGTACATTTGATAAAGACACGGTGTTGTCGAAACAATTGTCATGTCATAATATATAATTTCGTGAATATTTGAACTTTTAGTTCTTATTTATTTTGATAAATGGATTTTCACCAAGTAAAAGCCACCTCAGTTCAATAGATGTAAAACAGCATATCCCATTTGTTCAGCTAACGAAACGCACTATAAAACGGGTAATTCCACTCTGCCACTGATATCAGCCGACAAGTGGTCTACCTGGCTCGACCTGTCTTGTCCTTTACCCATGTATAAATTTTTTGGGACAAGGTCCGTCCAAAGCCAAGGAGACATACTTCGGGCCACACCATACCATAACTGTTAATATCGGAATGTAGTGAAAAAAATATCCTTAATCTTATGAATTTTTAACAATTGAATATGTAAAACCAGGTGAAAACCGAAAAGCTTTCCTATAGACTGCAAGGAGACCCAACTTTAACAAAAGTGTAGATTATAGGGATGCCTTCCAATATTACCGACACAGGTTTTCAAAAAACAAAAATATTTTTTAACTGAAGTCTTGTCGGTCGAAACCAAATATTCAGTAAACTAAAATTTTATATTATTTCACACAATTATCAGTAGACAAGCGCCGTTTTTTTAGAATGGACCCCATCCGACAGTGCATAGACACGACAGTAATTCAAGACGCTCACTACATCAGAGCGCGAATTCTAGTGACATAAAGCGTCTTTTTTAAAAATATTTCCGTAGCATTGCCTTTCGTATTACTCGTTTTAAAGATTTATTCTCCACGCTGCGCATGGATCATGTAGACACGTAAGAAAATATTTGGCCTCGTTATCAATTAAATAAATTATTTTAGTTATATTGCTAATAATAAATCTGTTAAGGTACCACGCTATGGCAAAACTCCAATTAATAAAACTAGAAAAAAATCAAAATACATTTTTTTACTCTCTACACATTGTCCATCAGCACTCAGGCCTACGCAATGTCACTGAATTATTGACTGGAAGCGATCGTTTATGGTATGGTATCTATTTGTTGATGGCGGAGGGTTAGCGAACTTGCTAACTTGGTGCACGTAAAAATGAACCCATTGGCAAAACCTGCTGCTGTTATATTTTCAGGAATTTCGAAACAACATTTCAGTAACTCAATAAATAATATATTCATACTTAAGTGACAAGCCAGGGTTGGTCTACGTAAAGTCTGCCTCTGACGTTGTATCCAGCCAGTCCGAAATTTTAATGCGTTTTTTGAGCGTTGTGTGCTACTATTTCAAGCGAAAGAAAATTATTTTCAATCAGGTTGAAAAATCCGTGAATGGACCTTAAGAAAGTTATAAAAAATGGTGAAACGTTGAAGACATCGTTCCTTTCGATCCTTTTTGAAAGCAGGTTTTGGATTTTTACTTATTTTTTTAAATCATTTTTTACTTATTTGACTTATCCAAGATGACCGCTTAAAGTTCGTGAGAATTTGACAGGTTTCATTTCTTTTCTAAACAGCGATTTTCACACACTTAACTCCTTTGTCCTAGAGAAAATATTGCCAGAAAGCACTAGTTGTTAAAGTAGAGAGAGGTAGATATTTTAAATCTCGGGCCTGCGTATGCTGGATCGACCTTCTCAACAGTGTTCCAATAGTTGCGTCATAAGTTCTTGAATTATCGGCATCGGCAGGACCTTTATATCTCTGGTCGCTATATTTTGCCGCCTGATCTAACTTTGACTTTGACTTTAAAACAAAAGATTATCGGTTGAGAATATATATTCAGATTTTTTAATAGTTTTTAAATAAATCAAAAGTATAAACCCAGGTTTTTCAATTTTTTCGCTATTTTCCGGAAGTGTGGGTCAAGATCACCGATAAGCAACTTCATCTCCAATTCGAGCCATTGTACTGTTATCGACATCAAAATAGCGAGTAGACGTTATGTATGTTTGTAGATATGCACGGCACTCTGTGTGCCATTGTAGTTGCAATTTATAAAGATCGGTGTTGAAGTTTTCGGTAGCCTGAGCTATTTCTTTTGGTGTAGTCTCTGACTTACAGGGCAATACTGAAAACACAGCATTTTCAGATACATCTTGTATCTCGATTATTCGACAACTTGTCAAATACATCTACAAGAAATTTTACAATGAATCCACTGGCGCAAGGGTCAGTGAATTTCAAACCAAAAACGGACAAATGTATCAAAAACGGCAACATTAGAAATCTACGTCGCTGGACAATTAGCCGACAACTTTTAAAAAAAATTCGAAACGAAAGTCGAAATTGGACACACTGTACCGGTTGTCTTATTTTTGCTATAAATGTTTTGATACTTGAAAAATGGTATACGATTTTGAAAGTATTTGTAGTTTCTAAGTTACAAAGGAAAATTGAGTAAATTAAGTTGGCGTTTCAAAAAAATTGCCATATCTTCCCTTTTTTTACCACCCTTGTAGCAGAATTGTCAATTTAGAAATGATATTTTTTTTGCATATTTTATAACCGTGTTAGATGTTTTCTATACTGACTTGATTATCTCCAAAAAAACATTTTATAATAAAATTATTTGACAATAATATAAAGTCACAGATATCATAGTTGAAGACATGTCAAATTTTTAAATTCGATAATTTTTTCCTCGTAGTTCACGCTATTTAAAGTAGGACAGTAATGTGGGGTTTTCATCATTTTTGGGTAATGCAGCTCAGGTGAGTTATACGATGCAAATTTCATTTAAAGTGGATAAACGCTTTCTTTGTTATATACGCTATATTATTATTTTTTTAGAGATCTAAATATTTTGAATTTATAAGTATATAAGTTGTAAGTATATAAGCCAAGGCTTTTTAAGAACCTGGATTATAATAATAATAATAACAATAAATTTTATTTTATAAATATAAAGATATTAATGTTTATTAATTTTTTATAATAATTGTAAATATTTTCAATTAGAATATATCAGCGAATAAAGTGTACAACGAGAATGATTCCATGTAAGTAAACGAGGAAAGGAGAGACAACAATCGCCATTATTAGCATTTTTTTCGTATTGCAAAATTTGCCTCAACTTTGTCTCACGTCGTTGCCAGGCCAGGTTAGATCGACTTCACGGTATACCTTCAATAATAACGAAGTTTCCCACAAAAACCAAATTTCTTTGGCTCTTTTGCATGTTATATGTGTAAATAAGCCTAATGACAATGTGGTCAGTCTTGTTTTATGCAGGGTCCGTTAAACCCGAAGGCCTATTTAAAGTATATGGAGAATGGATAGCGGTATTAGGCATTAAAAAATTGTGGCCATGAAGCTATGATCTCTGTTTTTTAAATATTCGCGTCGCCACATATACTCCCACTATACACCAACATCATTTTTTTAAAAGAATGCAACTGTATACTAATACAATTTTAGAATTAATAAAAATTTCTGAAGCTTTGCATGTAAAATAATAATTACTTTTTAGAAAATTGGGCAAAACTGAATTATCTATCTTCCAGCCATTAGAAATTGCGATACATATTAACACAGGGTACGCTAAAAATAAGATTAAAGATGAAATTAAAAAAACTGCCCAGAAACTTTTTTTTTAAACGTCATATTTAGCACTAAAAATTAAGTCAATTTTATATAATTTTACTTTTTGAAATATTTCTTTTTAAACATTTGTCTGTTGTTGCTATACAAGTTGTTTGTTCATAGTTGACCATAATCTTGCCGATACTAACAAATTCAGTCCCATTTAAATATCCGATACCTTCTCTTATCCAACGTTTAAGTTCCTCGCCAATTGAAGGTTTGTGTTTGTAAACTAAATCATGTGTAAAAACCTAGGGGTGTCAAGTCGGGGCTTAATTTTGCAAATTAGGTAAAAAAGGCTAATTAAAAAAAAGAGGGCGATAACGATAATTTTATTTTTTCACAAATAACATCAGATTCTATTAAAAACCCAGCTGCTATTTGTTAATTAAATGTTGCATATATGCCCATATTCCTTTCACAAAACCTGTAATAGTTTTCAAGAAGGGTTGAATCTTCAGGGGAAATTTTGTTATATAATCTCTAAAAGCCAGAGTCCGTTTTTTTTTGTTCGATATGTAACTTTTTAACATATCAATCTTTTACTCTGTAGTAAACATGATGCGCAACCAATCGAATAATGTGTCACAAAATATTTGAATTATGACAGCAATCAAGAACAAAACAGTCCAGGGAGGCAGCGTTCTAGCACTTGTTTTGTTTAAACACCGCCATAGCCTCCTTACACTAACTGAATATTAGGCATATACAACCTAATATAAAATTGCCTTAATTTCTAGTGCTAAATATGAAAAAATTATAGAAATAGGTAGTTTCCATAAAAAAAAAGTTTTTTGGCAGTTTTCTTAATTTCATTTTTAATCTAATTTTTCGCGTGCCCTGTGTTAATATGTATCGAAATTTCTTATGAGATCCGTTATTTGAGTCCTTTGTCTACAACAAAACTTACTCAAGTGAAACAATGAATGCTTCCGAGTGAAGAAATTGGCAGACATTTTACGTCTCGCAAACGTCATTTTTCGCATAAAAAATTAAAAATCTCAAAAACGGTTAGACTTAGGTATTAAAAAATGAAGTAATATACTAGTTTATATTCTCCCACGAAAAATGAAACACCCTGTATGAACGAAATTAAAATAAATTAAAAGTTTGTAATACTCCAATTAACTTTTGGCTCCATTCCTTATAGTTTCTGAGATAACGTAGTGTTTCGAGATAAACGGCCCACCCTATACATTATAACATGAGATTTCACTTATCACATTTTGCAAAATATAAAACCGTAAGTTACTAGCGAAATTTAAATGGATACCACCTTTTTTCGTGGCAACAAAAAGAGCGACTCATTCTTGATCTAAAATAAATGAGTCGTTCTTTATTGTGACAGTGAAAGAAAGAGGTTCCATTCCAATTCGCGCCTAACTTACGTTTTCATGCTTCACATCATGTATCCCCGATAGCTTAAATCTCATGTCATGAATCCGTGACCAAAAATTTCGGACTTTCACCTGAAAAAGAATAAGTTGCTGCCTAGTTCGACTAGATGTGGCAACGCTGCAGTTTCCGAATATTTTAAAAATAAATAACTTAGTCTGCTATGGACGCAACAAAATTAAATGCTTATCTTTTTACATTTTCTGTATACTCCTAAGAGGCCATCGAATTTTGTGAACCCTGTCAACGAAGGTCCAATCTTTACTTAGTCCGGGCGTTGGGAGTGGTTTCGCAACATTCAAGAAAATATCTACCTGAAAGCGATAAAAGCATCTCCCTGTTCACCGCCGACGATGTGCACCCCGCCTTCGGGGATGCTCAACCCCTGGAAGTACTGCCTGATGTCCAACGCATTCGCAGACCACGGCAGATTTTGAAGCCGTATTATGACGCTCATAGTGACAAGGGGCTCGATAAGCACCTGTAATTACACAAAGAAAAACCTCCGTCGTAATGATGCCTTGTTCTATCACGCATTCTGGGCACAGGTCCCTTAAACCTTTTCCTTTGGCGTCTACGACAAATTTTCAACGAGACGTAACGCTACCCCAGAGGCGAGTGGATCAACAATAGTTTTTTTTCTTTCGTAGTTCATCCACTGTGCTACGTTCGCAGTATCCAAGCAATAAAGTATAAAGGAAATTTTGCGATAAATAAATTCTTTTTTTTTTTAATCGACAAATTAATCTCAAGCTCCTTGTTTATGCTGCTGCAGAAATAGCAGCGCTTATCAAGTCACACATGACAAAGTAGACTCCCGTATAGTAGCCCCGAAGTATAACAGAGTAACAAACACCTTGCATACAGTAATTTCTATTCGAGTCGTTAAAAATTCATATAATTTCAAATGTGAAAACATTTGAAATTATTATTAAAGTATAACCTGTAAGGTTGGGGCTCATCTGCAGTCTGGGACGTCTACAGTAGAACGTTACTAACCAACAAAATTTTACTTCTGGAAATCTGTTTTTTCTTCCTCATTTCACAAGAAATTAAGTTGAAGATTTCTTTTTAACTATTTAAATCCGTATGACAAGAGAGGTGTGCAATTTACGTTTACGAGATTTCTACTCAGTTTGTTCCCATACGTTATTATAGGAAATTGAAACAAATTATTTCGGCTGCCCCTGGTTGGCGACATATCAATTTGTTACACCCCGTAGACATTTTTGTAGACGTTAAATTATCGAGTTTACGCAGATGTATAGTTTTCGAAGAGTTTAGGAAGTCATTGTTCGTGTTAAAAGTTTATTGAGATTTTTTAGTAGATTCCTAAAATGGTACGTAAAGCGAGGTACAGATTTGGGCATCAGGCCACTTCCATTAAAATTAAATAATCAGCGAATATTAATTATTTTACTTGCGAGAAATTCTACTCATTTAGTAAATAATGATACCACGAATGGGTAAACGGTAAGCAAATTAGTTTATTTCCATAGCAACATCCAACAAATATAGGTAAAAATACTCTTTTGAAAGACATAACCTCCCATTTTATGCGAACGTCGATGTGAAAATTATTTCATTTTACTTGTGTTCTTTGTCTTGCGACAATATCCATGGAAAATAATACTACAAACCAGTAACAGAAAATTAAGCGGCTAGGTTATCTCGAGGCATTTGTGTCAAATATTGGCAAGGCGCTAAGAAATACAGCCGAATGCGGACCGCTAAGGATAGAAGGATGACTATTACGTGACGACGGCGATGTTCGGTAAGTATCTGTGCACTGGGGAGTTTGATCAGATCAAGTGAAAGGCCGAGGTTCCTCGATCAAATGTATTTGCCAAGTACATCGAAAATAAATTTACAAAATGTAACTACGATTAACATATAGGCATCTGTCGAATTATTCGTAGCGATTATACACTAACATTTACATTATGGTACATATTAAGTATTTGTTAAACGTTAAGATCACATTTATATATTATATACATAGTAGTTCGTGAATATCAAGAAAAGTGTACATTAAAATATTGAGGTATGTATTCGAGAAACCCTAAAACAGACGTTTTAAGATTTTCACAGATCTTTGGATGTAATTTGTTGCGCCACATTAAAGTACGTGATGTAAATAGGAACGGTAAGGTGTAACCTACGGCTTCTGTTCGCGTTTCTACCGGAGTAGAATTCTTTTTCGACTACCTGTATTATTCCCCGCACGCAAAGACAGCTTGTCGAGGATTATTTACTTTCACTTGTAACGTGTCCAATTTAGAAGAAAACAATCGAATGTTAAAGTCATAGGCAGAAGTCGATTCGTCAGTCGGACGAATTCCAAATTGTCGAAAAAGAGAATTAATAATTGTTCCCGCATTAGTAACCAGCCGACCTTCAGCTTGATCGCGTACACTTTGAAGGACGTTTGAAGGAAACTGAATAAGAATTTAGAAATACATCATCCAGCCAGCCTCGAAGGAAGTGTAAAGGTCGCTTAAGTTATGTTTCTCGAGACTAGACCCGCTTGGATCCTAAATGACATACGTGGGTAAAGTCATAGATCTTAAACGGCCACGCGAGTCCAGCCTGAGACTTCAACTTAACCTTCCTAAACGAGTGCAAGGTGACTTTCAAATGACCTGGTGACCTTAACAAGAGCATTTCGACGTTATGGTCTCTGTCCAGGGACGAAAGGACACCGATAATACTGACGAAAAATATTTCGCTGTCTTGTTGCCTTTGGATGGGGCTCGAACGGACACCAGTCGTTCTACAATTGTCCCGATTTACTCCCTCTAGGCCGCGCACACATATTTACACCGGGTATATATTTACATTTAAAGGGCGGAATAACATTAACTTCTTTCGGGACAAGCGGTCTGCATGATTTTGGGTTTTCCGCCAGTGGCGTCGGCGGTCGGGACGCCCAGCGCCGTATGGACCACGATGCCCGGCTGCCCAGGCCCCGGGGGGTGCAATTCGCAGGAACTTCCGGGGGCTAACGACGCGAGCGCCGCAATGAGATCCGTGTTTACTATGGGTTCGCCCTCGGGTCTGGGTTCCCAATCCAGGGGCGGCGACGCGGGGGGCGATATCAGAAATTGTTTGTAAGGCGCGGGGGGTTGGAGGTGGTTTTTGACGGGCGTCACGGGCTGCGCGAAATAGCACGTGATCACCGATTCGTTGATGCGATACTGGTGGAGTTGTATGCGCGCGTTGGCCGCCGCCGGCGCCGTCTGGAAGTTGACCCGAAGCCGTTTGAAACTTTTAAGCCATTGGAAGGTAACGTCGGGGTCGAATATGCGGAACAAGTCCTCGATTTCTCGCCGCTTTTCGGTACTACCGAACACGGACTCGTGAATGTTCGTTACGATCAAAGAGGAGGGGAGACCTTCGAACTCGTCCTCGGAGTTGTGGCCGGAACTGTCGATGTCCGCTTCCGGGATCAAGTTCGGGTGGACGTTGGGCAGACCGTCTTGGTCGTTTATAATAATATTTTTGTCGTCGATTTCCTCCATCCTACGTAAAGAAACAACCGTCAATGTCGTGAGAGTGTCCGAGGGACACCGCGTCAAAATTCGGACGGCCTGTATTTTGTTTCGTTTTGAGTATGCTTGCGCTAGATTTCGTGGACCTTCGAGTAGATTTCTCGCAGGAACGCGATAAGTTTCTTAGCAGGAGTACGTTTTAGTGTTGATTTTTCCCATATTTCTTTTTAATAAATTGAGAAATTACGAAGATATTTTTTTTACTTTCCCTTATTACAAATCGCTAATTCAACGAGGGGATAGACAGAAAGGAAAGAAATAACGACAATAAGGGGCAAGATACAGTATAGTTCAATTCATAATAAGAAATTATTAATAGCGGTATTTAGTTGAATTGAGAAACTTTTATGGTTCCTTTTATGAGGACTGGTATATTTTTTGACAAATATAATAGATACTCAAACTTTGACAACAGCTGCTAAACGACCGCCATTTATATATTTTGGTCCCGATAAGCGTTTGCAAACAGTCTATTTTTAAACATTTGTTATTTATGGAATTTTGTGAACTATATATAAAACTTCGCACAAAAGATAGGATAGAGGTCTCAAAAAAAGGGTAAATATTTTCCTCGTTGTATATAAAATCCCAATCATTACATAGAACAGAACCTCGCAAACTTCTCAAAAAATTCGCAACTGGAAATTTTTATTGGAAATAATAAATAAATTATAGCATATAATAAAATATCCGTCAGATGGCGCGAGTTTTGCACCGCTTACGTGCAATATCAAAATGCAGCAAGATGCAAAAAATTATATATTTTTTTAAAAATTAGCAAATAATTTCTAAAAGACATGGTTTTACACAAAACCTCTTTTTTTATTGTTTGAAAAACGCTTTTAAGCGACACCAAAAGCAAGTTTTCGAAAACCACTTATTGTTTTCAAAATTGTTGGTAATTTGTAGTTAACTGACAGTTAAGAATGGAACCAATTTTATTTGTTAAATTCCACCTTTGTAGAGGTATGGAAACAAATTCATAATTTTCGACAAAAACAATAACATTCAAAAAAATATAAAAGATTTTTTTTTCTTAAACAGTCTCTCGATTCAAATGTTTACGTAAATTAAATAATACAAATTTAAACATAGATACGATGCGAAAAAGAAACATAAATTAGCATACAAAAGAAATTTCTCTCTGCACCGTGGTTTGCATGCCAATCTCCTATACAAAAGTCTCCGCCGAATATACAGGGTGTTCTGAAACTAATGCACCAAATTTTTATGGTATATTCTGCGCCCAAAATAAGAACTATTTTTATATATAAACGTATACCAGAAAATACTTCGTTTTGAAAGCCCTCTAGCTTTCATTGATATTTTGTTCACCGCTTTCACGCAGCAAGACATTTTTTGATGCGATTTTTACCGTCCGGACAAAATTAAAATTACTTTTTGAAATTCCCTTTTAATTTGATATCTTGAATTTTTTGCCAACGATATACTGTCGATGAATGAAGAAATCGCCTAAATTATGTCAACAACGAAACACCTAAAGTTTGAAATAAGTCGCCGGAAAAAATTTCACATAAAAAGATTTCGTTAGTTTGAAAGCAGTGTACATACTGGTTTGAAAATTTCAACACTTGCATCCATATGATAAATTACAGCCTATCTTCGACGTAGAATGCGTCATAAAAATTTGGTGCATTAATTCCGAAACACCCTGTCAAACTCCACGAGCATGAAGTAAAAATTCAAAATGGGCGCGAAGTTTGCAATCTCTTTGCGCAATATGAAAGTTTCTCTTGGCGTGGCCAAAATATTCCTCGATTTGCGCGCGGCGACGTCACAAACCACGCCTTAAAGCAGCGAGTGTTTTCTTATTTTTAATCGTTCAAAGCGAAATATTCCGACTCGACGTATAGCTTTTAAAGTTTTCATGTAGTCATTACCGACAGATTTGCACAATTGAAGGATTTTGAGCGGCTAAAGAAGACTGCTGGACTCATACCCCGCGGCGCTGGTGCTCCAATCATGCGGTGACACGTCATCGAACGACCGAGCATCCACAGTTGCGCAGAGAAAAGCCAGAACCCTTTCCGCACACAGACATTCTCCATTCCCTGTTTTCTCTCTCTTTTTATTTATACCACGTAATTTTCACTGTTTGTTTTCCGGGTTGCAAACAGAGTATGCAAAGCAATGTGTAAAAATGGTTAGTGAACGAAGCAAAATCTAACAGCAATAACATTCCCTCAACGGTTTGGATCGAGTTTCAATGCAAATTTTATATAGGGTGTCCGATATTTCATAGGGTGTTTTCCTAAGTATTTTTAAGGTAAAAAATTACTATAAATGTGAATATTTTGGAAATGTCCATCTCCAAAAATAATAACAAAAATTTGACATCCTGTATATCCAAAACCAGTCATTTTGGAACACACGTTTCTGGTAACTATTCCTTTAAAATACGGAACTCACTCTATGAAATTCGGGAGACTTATTAAATAACACCGTGTCTTCTATTGATTTTTAAACAACCCCAGCCAATGTATTTAATTTAATTTAAAAGACCAAATAACAGCTGAAAATCATATTATACCGTAAATTAGAGTCAAGATTAGAGTGACAGCTTTTAAGTATCTCAAAGGCTTATAGTTCAATTTCATTCCCAGATCTTCTTCTATATAAATTTTGAAATCGACTCGTAAAAAATAATACCGGCAAGGTCGATAAAATTCTGGTGTCACTCAATCTTCCAGCTATTAAAAACATCTAAATATGGCCATGTGTCAGCTTTTTTTATACCGTGAACAGCAGAGCACTTGCTGTTATTGCTTTTTGTTCTGTTTTCTCAGACTAAAACAACGCGGTTGCAAGTGATTCATGAGACAAAAGGGTGATTTATATATATAATAGTGACATTAGTAATTACGCATATTCAATTGCGATTAATGGGTACAAACATAACGCACTGACAACCCCGAGGAAGTGTTTCGGTTGGAGTAGTCACTCTAGACTAATAAAAACTCACCGACTTTTTCGTATACGTAAAAAGTAAAGCACTCACCTCTTAACAGTTCATAAAAAGCAGCTTCCTCGGTATTAACCGAGAAGGGTTATATTTTTGGTAGCGTCCTTTCTTCGTTGTTCAGTCTTACACTTAACACTAGTATCGGAGGGTCAACTTTCACTCGAAACGTTTCCCTTTTCTTGCAAAAACACCGACGCAATCTTGTCGGTTTTTTCATTAAGGAATCGGTGCGAGTTCTCTAAGAGCTTGAGCAATAAAACGAGGCGCAGATTTGTTGGTTCTGCGCATAGGTCAAGAAAGAACATGCGGAAAATAAAATTTTATTATGACCAAGAGATATTCTACAATCTACAAAGCCGCATTCTATCAATCGGGTAAAAATCTATACCGCGAAAACAAAAAATCGATAATTCGAATCACGAGCCGAATAATATACGTTAATTGGACATTTTTCCAGTGCCGCTTTCCCCAACTTGTTTTACATAATTTCCTGGTAAAACGGGACCTGTTATAAGCACCAACTTTCCAAACCGTTTGTTTACTTTGTCTTGCTGCCAAACCCAACTATTTGTTGCGTAAAATGAAGATTTTACCGCGATCATTTCCTTCGCAGGAATTTAAAGTACGAGAAAGTTGTTAAGTGAAATTAAATAATCACAGTAATCACATCACCTACTCTGCGAACTTTGCATCTACATCAGATGTAAATTTGAGTAATTATATAGGAAATGTTGAGTTGGTTCAGGATTATTTTATTCCATTTTCAAACTGCCATTTCCCAGATCCCCCGGTAGTCCTAGATCACAGCCAAATTCATCACTAACGCAATTAACTGCAGTTAGAACAACGTAGCTTGTCCAACACTTGCCTCAAAGCCACCACACTCTAACCGTAGACCAATAATACAGAAATATCAGGAGACTCAAGTAATTGTGCAACAAATGCTCATAACGCTCACAAAACTAGAATAACATGTTTTAAACAGGTTTCATTGTGGGTATTTAAGATTTTAAATTTGTATAAAAAAAATATGAAAAACTTTCAATCTAATTTGTTTAAATAAAATGTCTAGCCCTGAAAACTTTTTAAAAAATGAATTTGCACACTCTTTATAGCTTATTAATTAGAAAAAAAAACCTCCTGTATAAATTACAAATAAAATTAATTTAAGAAGGGTTTGTACATAAACTTCGCATAAATAAGGGTACTATATACTTATGCATTCATAATTTCACCTCAATTCAAAATCAAATCGACCACTGGCACAAAAAAGAATGATCCATGAATAAATACAGGAAATTGAAGCTGTTTACCGAGTAAGTCCCCAAAGGCAATGCACATATTAACCTTGAGCCAAGAAACCCACACTTCCTGTTTAGCTCAGGATAAGGAAATTACAAAAAATCCCATTACGGCAGTGGTAAACAATGTTTTTCTAACATGGGAATTACGGTGACCTTCGCCAATCTCCAAATCTTACTGTAAGAAAACACTAAGATGATGTCCTCAACTAACTGTTCAACATGGAAGACAAATTGTGGTACTAAAAATAGGATAACTCAATAAGTTTTTGGCGCGAAATAGGAAGATAGAAAACTGAGCAAGATCAAAAATATATATAAACAATATTACAAACTGGCTCACTCCGGTCAGGATAGGTTAAGAACCTCTTCAAATTACAACACAGGGCACCTTTTCTAGTACATGAAACATAATTTAATTTGGCATTAATCAAAATCAATATAAGGCGGTTTCGAAACATAGTAACCAATAAATGCATCACTATTTCACTATGATTCCAATAATCTTCCTAAAAATGAAAATGCAAACCAAACAGCGTTTATAAATGTCGCAGGGGTAGCCGATGTTTTTCCACGTATAGTTCAGCCAAATCGAAAGATATCGACGAATTCGAATGTCACGCCACGCCATTATGAAATGTTCGCATCTTGTGGGTATTAAACATGTTGGAGTTGTTGACTTACCTCGCGGATATTAGCCCGAATCTGCACTAGTTACTCAATAATTTTCTATTCTAGTTGGTTATTGTATGTTAAAGTCTGTATAAAACGATATAGATTTGAGAATTTCACCAAATAATCTTCGGAAAACGCTGCAAGACAACTTTCTACTCGACGAGCCAAACAAATTTGACAGCGCCGTTTACAAAATGGCGGCATGCAGACGTATACGCAACGTCGGTTTATACTATGGCTTCACCGTTTCACTGTAACAATTCCGACGACAATAATATTTTGTAACTAGGACAACCGGAAAAATAGAAAATTCGTTGTGATGTTAGCAAATAATAAAAGTATAAAATAAATAAATTATTAAACACCACAGGACATAATATGGTTAGTTAACGCTAACAAATGAGACTGGTGGGTTTAATGGCGTTGGCTTTTTGCAGTCATTTACAAATTAGAGATAGTGACTCGGACCGGAAATTTTACGTAACTTTTTCGCAAATCGACGAAACGATGTGACGCCTATCTTTCTAGCTTCACAGACCGTAATTAACCTTTAATATTTTTGTGTTCAATAGTGGCGCCCTCATACAATCGATGGTGCGTTAGCATTTTCAAAATGTTAACATTTAAATTAAAGGTTGTTCAAATTGCGCACAATCCGAAGCAAATCGATATTAAATGCAAATTCGAAACCCCCTGTTCAATCCAGACGAAACACATCGACCCAGAAACCCACGGTTTCCGAATCCTGCGTTCTAGAAACCTCGCCCATTGACTGGGAGTGACGTTTGACATTATTTCGTAACGTATCGTCTGTCCCCCTCGCCGCGTCTACACGAGTCATGAGCTCGAAGCCGAACATATTCTTGGCTAGGTCATTGTAATGGATGGTTGTTCAAATACAAGTGTACCCGAGCGAGTTATCTTTTGGCAGTGTCGATAATTATTGTGTTGATATCGTGCCGGTGCATTTAGAAAGTAGCTGTTATGATTGACAGAAAAATGAGGTTGAGTAAAAACGACAAAAAGGACCTGGACAAGTTCACCAAATTTTTGGCCTTAAAGGCTACTGAGGTGATCGTCCAGAGCCGTTTGGGCGAGAAAGTGTCCACTCCGTGTAAACCGCACTCGACGGGAGCTGATTGGGTAAGATTTCTCACAGTAGTGAATGTGCGTGAGCCTCTTTTAACGTTTGCATTTTGCAGTTCAATTTGAACATCAACGACCTTCCCGATGTAGTCATCGAAGCGAAAAAAGTGTTGAAAACTGATCTGCTACTCGCTAGACAGTGTCCGTTTTGTATTGAGATATCTTTGAGAACGGCCGAAGGTGACCAAATGGTTCTCGAGTCGTGGTGTGTGCGTTTGCTGCCGGACCAGTGCGACCCGTCAACCACCAATGGGCAAACAATTTACAACCGCATGGGGATTTTGTTAAAATCGTTAGTGTCGGTTACCCGCGTAACGCCCGCTTATAAACTGTCTCGAAGGCAGGGCCCCGATTCATATGTTATGTGTTATCGGATTTATATGGACGAACCTTTGGACCATTGTTTAGGTGATGGCTTTAAACAGATCCGCGTCGGACAAATTTGCACCCCCATCGGTACCCTGCAATTATCAGTCGCATATCGCACCAAAATGACCATATCGCCGACCCAGAATAGCAGGGACAACTCAATCATGCTGAAAAGTGACCATTTTAATACTAACCTTAGCCCCAAGAACAGGAGGTACAGTCAGTGGTAAGTGTTAATTTTGTAATATTGTTCGGGGTGAGAATTTTTTATAATTTCTGTGTCCTACACATAATTTATATCTATTTTGTCGTTTGATGTATGTATTTACTGTCTTATGATGTCACGAAGGAAGATTTTTTCATAAAGCACGCGTTTTTTGCTTAAAAAAATTAAATGAACCACCAAAACTAGGTTGAATTGTTTTCTTGGGGTCCACGTCTCATTAATTTGATATTTCGCAATTGTAAATCCGTTTGGTGAATGGCACGGCATTACATATACTTTCTCTATGTAAAAAGTCAGCGCGCGACCTCCACGAATTAAATTCGTTGCTATTTATAGAAGTAGCGTTAGGAGCCTGTTTTGGCATATGAGATTTTGATCTATATTTCCACGTTTTATTATCGCAATAACCGGTCCTGTGATTTGTCAATCCCACATACGATGTGGAATAGAAAGCCACAGTTGGGCGTCCTCGTGGGTTGACGGCCCAGTAGGTGTCGATTAACGTCTTCCCATATGGTTTTTTCTGTTCCTTTGTTTCAACTGACGTTGCGCCGGAATTACTCATTAAAATAGCTCTACCGAAAACGGTTGTGGCAAGCCGATTTGTATCATTAGGTTGATTTTAACTTTGTTGTTATATTTTCAAGTTTCTTGTAATTTTGCTGTATTTTCATTTTTGCTTCCATTATTTTATTGTTGGGACGAAAAGTCAATGAATTCTGGTATTTGGTTCCGGTTGCGTTCAGTGTAATTTGAGTAGAGAACCTTTTCCTGCTACCTGATTGTACCTACGCGTTTATATGGATCTTAATATAAAAAAAAATAGGGGCAGATGTTCTTCTAAGCGGCTATAAATGGTGCGGCAGCTGGCACAGGTACGGGGCGGTAGTCAATTGCCCAAGAAATCTTTTGAGTTCACAATATGACATTACATTTGTATTATTCTGTTTACATATTTCAATTGTAAACTCGTCATTTTTTATGTACATTTTGGTTCAATTGTTGCTTTTACCTCCTTTAAGATTTTTCGAATATTTTTGATGATCTATTTATTTTTAACGGGAATGTTTTCCAATGATTGCATGAAAAAAGGTTGCGAGTATAACTCATAGAGAAATTAAAAAAAGAGAGGGGGCTCGTTTCGTGTTATTACTTCTTACAGGATTGGATAACAGGCGTCACTAGTGACTAGTTGGATTACCAAGGGAACTAAGTGAAAACGGGTCATTTTAAGTGGCTTCCGACAGAATAAGCTATTATCTTGATTCGGGTTTAAAGGCCGTCGTCGATTGGAATTACTTCCTAACGTTTCGCTAGCACGAGTGTCGAGCTTCTTCAGAGGTCCTTCCATCTCCGATGTTGGACGTAGACGTAGACGTAGACAGTCTACGCCCAACATCGGAGATGGAAGGACCTCTGAAGAAGCTCGCCACTCGTGCTAGCGAAACGTTAGGAAGTAATTCCAATCGACGACGGCCTTTAAACCCGAACCAAGATAATAGCTTATCAACGGGCCGCGAAAGCCTTAACCAATTTTCCGACAGAATGTTCTTCATTTTTTCAGCAGTTTCACTGGCTTATGATTTTTAGAAATTGATTAATTTTTGACAGGATAATTCTATTGGATTTGGAAGTAAATGAAAGTGTTGAGGATAAGTACTCCACCAAGGATATATCAATTGGTACAAGTTTTTCCAATTATTGCCAGAATGTTAGTGTTTGTTTATACCACTGTATAATGATAAATATTTAGTGTATCTTTATCATGGCCATAAGGACGACTTGACGAAAGAAAGAAATGTTGAAACACTGACTAGGAAATATGGCTTACTTTATAGCAACTATCCCCAATCAGCGCTTAGATAATATTTCTTGGTCGTCTGGACCAGGGGAGCCATTCCTATCCAAAACGTTATACATGTTTTCTTTAGTGGTCTTAAATAAATTTGAATATTTTAATCAAAACATTTTATTTTGGAAAACATTTTTAAGTCGTAATTAAAACTCACCTGGATTTTATTCTATTTTCCAAATAAAACACTAAATATGTTTTTGGATTTATTTTAATTTGTAGGTCAGTAACTTTTTGTTTATATTCTGGGGTGATCTGTAAAGAAAATTCGATTTAACATAGATTAGGACAATCCACATTTTTGTATTTTTTGTGCAAGCTAAGAAACAAAATTAAAATTACCAACTTACTAAAACATAACCTTCCGCTGTTGTTATTTAACAAAAGAAGTTATTGGCCTGCGCTTAATTTCTCATAATTTCTGCAGGTTTGTTCCCTTGGAAAACGAATCAAAATGGAATGGATATTGCATGGCTGAATTTAAATTGACAGCTGACATTTAAAATTTGTGGTTCTTTCAAAACTAATGTCTCCTTGAAGGTGCACAGAAAGAAAATTTTGTCTTTGTGCTGTGAATCACTTCAAAATTTCTCTGGGGATTCTGTCGTAAGCATTGCATATACTGGGTTAATCCTCGCTCGCTCTGGACTAAATCTTTTGTGTTTAGTCCAAAATTTATTGGTATCCATTTGAGTTAGGTAGCTGTTTCAGTTTTTTGTCAGTTTTGTGAACATCGCCACAGATGGCAATAGGCGAGTGTCCTCAATAAATTTGTCACGCGTTATGTTAACTGTCAAGCACAAGAAGAAGTTTTTCTCTATAACCTCACATTCCAGTGAATTAAGTGAGCAAATTTGACCGTTTAACTTAATAAAGTTTAAACGTGTTAGGGTGTTTATGTGGTTTATGTGTTTTTTTCGGATATGCGTTTTTTGACAGCCGCTTTCACGGCCTGGATGGGGCAGGGCTAGTTCCCAAATTTGCTTATTACGTCACGTGACCTCCGCGCTTGTAATACTTAACCGTGTCCCGCGAAATACCTAAGAACCGGCGAGGCGTGTCGACGACACGGCACGAAAACGCCGGACGTTACCCAAGTCTTTAAAATCCGATCCGTTCTAAAAATAGAACGGATTTTGATCCAAGTCTGCTGCGTGTTGCATTCGGCGGAGTTGCGGCATCAGCGCCGTCGAGTTTCAAGGGAGTGGAAACGGAACGAACCGGCCAGTGGCGCCGAGCCAAAAATTTGAAATATATATTTTTAAATAATATCCACCACTTGAATGGCGCACCAAATTTTATTTAAAAAGTGGTTGTTCTTCTCTTCTATCGAAAATTTAAAATTGTCGTGGAAAAATGTTTATTTTCTTTTTAAGTAATCATTTCACAACACTTTTATTTCCTTATCAACGGAACAAAATTGAGTATTTAAAAAAGTGCTGTTTTCTTTACAGGAATTTTTAAATTAAAAAAAATGCTTAGTAATTGACGTTCCGGGTGTTTCAAAAAACGTTTCTACGAAAAAGGATATTAAAGAACCACGGTTCTGTAAAAGTGGCCTCAAAAAATCGTTTTTTTTTTTTAAATTATTTCTGAAACCATTCGAGTTACCTAAATGAAATGTGTACCACAAATAGCTTTGATTGGCTCGTAAATATTTTATTTCATAGTTTCTGAAATAGTCATTATTCCCTGACATGGATAGAAAATTAATAATATTATTTGACAATATTCCCTTAAATTTTTGAAAACTTGGATCTTATCTGGTATGAACAAACTTCTGATTTCTTCGCAACAGTTAATACCAAAGTATTTTAGCCGAGACTTTAGCTTTTAGTTTTTTGTGTCCCGTATTATGACAATATACTTGAAATGCAATTAATACAGCCCTGTGCCGCGTCTACAGTCGGTCAAAAAAGTATCAGTACACATAGTATTTTTTCAGTTTTCTTTTAGTTTGTTCTTTCACTTACATTTATTGGGAAATATATTTCAAGTAAATATCGGCAATCTCATTAAGAGTAAAAAAATAAAATAAAAATCATTTGAAATACTTTAGGCAGTTTTAGAAGCAAGAGACTATATCAAATAAGTTTCCGTACATTATTATTTCTTATGATAAATTGAAAACTTTCTTAAGTCTTTTTGGAAGACTTAAAATAAGCTTTCTTGTAACTTCTGGCGATATGTTTTCGCACTCTTCTCTTATCTTATTTTTGAGGTCTTCCTTGCCCGTAACTTGATGTTTTTTCACTCGTTGCTTTAATTGTTCCCACAGGTGCTCTATGGGGTTAACATCCCGAGATTGTGGTGGTGTATGTAGTTGTTGGCGGACAAGCGTAGCAGTGTGTTTTAGGATCGTTAGCCTGTTGCAATGAATAAGGTTGTTTTTCAACACTGGTTTAAATTATTCTTTAGGATGTTCCAATAGCCATGTTAGTCCATGACTCCGTCAGTAAAAGCTAAATTGCTCGTCCTATTAGCTGACATACACCCCCACAATAAAACATTACCTCCACGACCGTAGGACAGCCATTTTAGATTTTTAGAGTTGTATTTGTTTTCCTTCAAACTCCGAAAAGATTAATTTTTGTTTCGTCGCTTATGATAACGTTTTCCCAAAACTCCCTGGTCTTGTTAATGTGTTCTCGGACAAGTTGCAAGCGTTTTTTTCGATTTTTTCCTAAATTAATGGTTATAAACTGATCGAAGCAAGCAGTTTCTAAGCGTTTGAGGGCTAACAGTTTTGGAGAACGCTTCCCTGATTTTGTTTTGGAGCGCTTGTTTAGAATTAATTCTATTTTTTTTTTCACAACAGAAGACTGTTCTCATGCAGTCAACTTCCTGAATACTGTACAGTTGAATGTGATTTTTTAATTATTTTACCAATATCTCTAAAGGAGTGTTTCTCTTTCTACAAATCTATGATTTTTCGAAGCGCAATTGGAATGTCGCAATTTTTTACGCTCAGTTTGCTTTTACTTCAAAACCACTGACTTAAACATGGCGGAAAAAGTAAACAAGTATAACTTATTTGTTTAAGCGAAATTTAAATAGGCTGACTTGATAAAATATTGATTATTAACGGTTCTACCCGCAGGACTCTAAAGTGTATGGAGAATAATTATTTCACATAGTTTCTTGCTTC